GTTCGCAGTAACATTATTTGAGCCGCGCCACTACAAAACCAACATAATGGGTTTGCGACCATCATGGATCCAGACCAGCCTGCGCATCCATGCAGTCTGATCAGGATCCATGCTGTTGGCTATCAGTTTCTCTACTTGTAATAGGGCTTGTAAGCGAACGGCATGGATCCTGATCACACTGCGCGGACGCGCAGGCTGGTCTGGATCCATGCTGGTCGCAAACGCATTACGTTGGTTTTGTCGTGACGCGGCTCATTTATTTATTATTGAAATAACCTGAAATATATAGCATGAACATGCCTCTTCTGGTGTGCCTCTTACTTCAAACCACGAAAGTAGAAATGTCCAATAGTAAGTGCAAATTTTTTCTCATATTTTCATTTAAAACTTATCTGTCTATAAACATAATTTATTATGACGCCCTAATCATAGAAATATTTGCTAATAGAATGGTTTCGGGAATTAATAGAAATTTACAATAAAATCGACATTGCAACCTGGATGCAAAAAAAATAAAAATAAAAGAAAGATGCAAATTTGTTTTTATCACAACATTTAATCACCGTTACTAACGTCAATTTTGACAAATATATTATTGGAAATTGATATGCTTATCAAATTCCTAAGGCTGTGTCAAAATACTTTGTAAATCCGTAAACCTGACAACATCTTTAATTATAAAGAGGGATGCTGCTTTATCCGGAACAGACTTGATTTAAATCGTTTCCTAAATATGCAAATTTATTAGTTTATCGTACGTATGAACGTTATATCGCCTTATATTTATTACTGTCAAGGCTTAAACTTACAGTTCACTTGATTTATCTATCAAGGACCGAGCATGAAGCTTATAAATTTGTTTCTATAAATATTTTAGACAAATGCATAAACAAAATGTTACATTTCCTGTCTGACACCGGCGGACAATGCATTCAATTTATCAAGTTTACATATGCATCTTAAAATATCCATTATTTATTTAAACATGTGTCGTTTATAACCAGCAAAGCCTGTGTAAAACTGGTTTTAGTAAACGCATTTCATAAGTAGTAAACATTTCAATATCTCGCTATCAACTTAACGTGTAATCAGGCAAGTCAAAGGGATGTGAATATCAAAATAATTCAGTATTTTTAGTGCATTTCAAAATATTTATTGTGAGGTTGTGAGGCACAATCGTTTTGCTTTTTTTTTAATTTAACAATACAAAGCTTTTGTATCCTGGTATAGCTGATAAGAATAAGCTAATTCTATTATAAAGAAGTCCTAAGAAGTGATTTTCATCTCTGATCTTTAACCAACCATTCACTTACGACGAACTTTTGAAAAAAATATTTATTTTGAACGAATGAAGCATAAGTTTTGCAACTCTCTAAATATCGGGCATATATATCTAAACATCGATGATGGTCAACCTCTGTTTCAGAAACAGTGTCGTCAGCATATAATAAACAGCTTGAAATATTCAAATTAATCAGAGTGTCATTAAGTTCATTATTATAACATCTAAAACCATTAACTAAATCACTGTTTAAGACAAAGTCCTTTAAATTGTTAAAGAAAATAATAAAGGTGAAAGATTTTCTCATTGACGCACTCTTTGTAGCAGTTGAAATAATCTGAATTTGGGCCAAATTTTGTTTTAAAAATGGTTCGTTTGCTTTGTTATTGACACTTAAAACCATTTTAAGAAATTTGCCATTTAAATAATATGTGACTAAACGTGATCATGGTCCTTTTCTCCAAGCAGTACCAAAGGCACGTTTAAGATCAATAGAAGCACACATTATTTCTTCAAACTTTTTCTAGTCAAATTTGTAAAGTATATAGGACACGCATATTATCTGCAGTAGAAAACAATTTTCAAACACAAGACATTTACATATGCGGCAATGTCAAATTAAAATAAAAACATTTTTTGCAAACGATTATTTGACATCATATTAAAACATTTATCCAGACAGATTGATAAATTGGTCAAGTAATGAAAACCACCAATATCCATAAAGAACGCCCAAAACGGCAAAATTTAAAATGTCGCAGGCTCGTGCATATTGTGAGATATTTGATTTAGAATATCTCTTTGTCTAATTATACATTGCACTAAAACATGCTTTAATGTCTTCACGATTTATAAACAACGTGAACAATTTTAAATCATGCGCATAATTTGTAAAGTTAGATAACTTAAATTACGGTTGAGGCAGATCTTTTGGGATATCGGGTTCAGTTCATAAGCAGATTGGCATATTAATATTTTAGAAGATTAATGTCAGTCAACGTGGATACTGTAGCTGTAGCAGCACAAACACTTTGTAAGGCATCAAATGAGTTTTGTTGTCATTTATAAGATCTTGGTATCGATAAAGCTTTGAAAACTTTGTCTATCTGTTTGGATTAACCAGTTTTTCAGCGTTTTTATCTATAAATGAATAAACGTTTTAAACCGTTTATTCTGGCTTGCATGCAATTGCCGACCGGATGTCTATCCTTTCAACATTTTCTATCTGTTTTGCTGAGTGTCGAGAACGTTTTCACTTTATTGACACGGATTCATTATTTGAACCGAGTTTATCCGGGCATTGTGTGACCACAGTTTTTTTTAGTGCAATTAAAGGAGTTCTATTCAGGTCCAAATGCTTAGAGCTTAAAATTCATACATTGATTAATTGGGACACTACAACTATAAATAAGAATAAAGAATAACAAGAAATATACTAAGAATAATTTTTAAAAAAGGATTTTTATTGCATCTCTTAGCTAGATTAAGTTAAAAACGTTTAAAAGTTTTTCATCTCAGGCCATTTAGGACAATGATAATTCTTGAACAACAGACTGAATAATTGATCTGAAATCTGGCACACAAGTTATTGCTACAGACTTACATCAAATACATCGCAACACGTGTCAATCCTTCCATGACAGTGAAGTCCTTATAACATGGCGTGTTGAATGTCTTGGTATTGTAAATTACTTTGGTTATAAATAAGGCCAAGCAAATACATGTTTTGTGCATGCCTTAAATTGCACGGCGTTATGTGAAGAACTCTTAAATTTATCAATAAGAATAAAAGAATTAAATAAGTACAACCACATGCTGCTGCGCTGCTGCTGCTGCTGTTGTTTTGTGTTGTTATCAAATAACATCATAAACACATTACTGTACCATCTACATGTTTTGACAGTGATGCTACAATACCGTCATATACTTATTATGTAAGCCTAAATAAATAGACATGTATATCCCATGCTCAAAATGAAATTATTATGAAAAATGACGTCTCTTCGGGTGACTTTCTTATGCTATGCACTGATGATGCCTTCTAGCCAAATCGACTGCAGTCAAAATTACCATAAGTTTCTTTTTGTGAGGTTTAAAAGTTTTTGTCACACTAATTATAAGGACTTAAGTAAAACCGACAAACATTTCCAAAGAGTGCTGGGTTTGTTTGTTGTTGCTTTTTTTATTTAAAAGGGGTATAAAATCTTGAAAAGGGGTGATCCCTCGGAATCATTAATCACAACAAAATTACGTTCATGTACATGAAAATTGCAGACTCGCGTTGATTGAGTTATAATGAAAAAGTGCAACATCCTCACACCCTCCCAGCACCGGATTGAGCTGTACTCAGTTTCCAATACTTAAAAGTGTGTGTTAGAATCAATTATCCCTAAGGACCACAATAATATAACAAGAGGTGAAGTAGGAATATTAATGTTGATGTGGCACTAGTGCTTTGAGGAGATTTAAGAAATATTTCGAGTTATGGAACCAGCTTGGGATAAAGACGTGGACTTTTAGAAGGTCTAGTTTTGGGACAAAGAGCTCGATGTTTCGAAAGATAATATTGCTCAAAAGGTTTAAAGACTCTTTGATATCTTATGTTCAAAACTGATAAAATATGTTTTTGAAAGCTTGCAATTTACTCTTGATAGCGAATATGAAAGCAATATGTAAAATGTTATTTTTCAATGACCAAAAACTGTTCAGCTTTGATAATATAATCTCGTTTAACTATCATGTTTTTTTTTTATTGATTGGCATGATGGATTTTTTTTTATTTGTCCTATCTAAAGTTCGGAACAATACCGGTATTACAACACAAAAATTGTATTATTTATTATTTCCGCATGTACATCGCCGAAATTTATAACTGCTATTATCATATTAATTGTTTATATTTCTGGCGCTTGTTAACTATCGCCTCAGGGTGTTTTCAATAACTTTGCTATAAGTATTATAAGGTGTACTTATACTGAATCTGGTTTAGGGTTACAATGCACTCGATTTTTATTGTTGACACTTTTTAATAGGTTTATAGGTCTAATGTACTTATGTACTTTTATCTATTTTACGATGAGCGTCTTACGTAAAATTATAACACATGAAATTTGTATGTCTGTACGCGTGGTTTATGTCTGTAATCGCTACTGAAAAGGTTTCTACTAGCAGATGGGCTTGGATTGTTTTAATAGCTGTGTGTTGTGGAAGGTTATTGGTTTCAACATCGATGTACATGTCAGGTGTTTTTTATGTTGCCCTGATTGGGCACTTCCGAGGGAGTGAGACAAAGACGTCTGTGATTGGATCCCTTCACAGTGGATTGTTGTGTCTTCTTGGTAAAAATTTCATCCGCTTGGCAACAACTGTAATCCTAGAAGTTTCTCATCATAAAAAAACACTTAATTTATGCTTTAGTAAAAATTTCACAAATAAGTCAAGAATTTGAGACAAAATAAAAAAAGTAGGGAAGCTACTGTTTGTATAAATGATTATTTTTTACGTTATGAATTTTGTCCGAGACCAAAAGTATTTGATGATAGAGTTTCTTATCTGTTTCTTCACAAATACTCGGCGATCTTGTGTTTTTACCTTACATTTTGTCGCGACTTTGTTGGCTTTAATTCTTAACGCATTGATAGTCTGCCAATTCCTGTTGATGTTAATTGACTGTGTGCAACAGTGTTGAAATATATATAATCTTTATCGTGTTTCTTAGGACCAATTGTTGCTATCCTGATCGACTTCACTAGTTGTCGAACGTCAATTGTATGTGGAAGCATTATATTGTCAGTGACCTTCCTTGTCAGTTCTTTCATTGATGATATTAACTATCTTATACTCACTCTGGGAATTTGTGGAGGTAAGTAGTGTTTGACTAATATTTTTTGCTTGTAAAGATTTGTTTGACTAGTATGTTTGCTTGTTGGGATCTGAAATGCATAAGGGTGTACATTTTTCTGCTGTGCATAAAGTCACACCAACACTGTCACCTTTACTGGCGTAGAAAGACCTTAGGTGTCCTTCGGTGCATTATTTTAGGAACGAGCGTGTCCATTTAAAAAAAACCCGACGTTCCGTTACCTAGTTGGATAGCCTTTTTATGCAATTACTCATTATCTATGTAGGCAAGTTGTTTGACGTCGGCAATCATACCAACTTTGTCTCATATTTGACATAACTACCTGCAAGATGCAAATAGGCTAATTTTGCACACAAGAAACTGCTGCAAATATGTTCAATTTAAACTTTAATCAAAAAGGTTTTGAAGCTAAAGTTTTGATTTAAATAACATAATTAAATGCCGATAGGCTTTATAAACAAAAAAGATGTAATTAAATTGAAATAACAACATATCTTTTGATTAACGTTTAAAATTCTGGAAACAAAGTGATCCATCGGAAGCATTAATCAAAACAAAATAACACTGTTTTTCTTGTGTGGTAATTGTTTAAAAGTCATTCTGTGTCAACCAGAATTAAAAACCTGATATCTATATATATTAATATAATTTTGCATGTCAATTATAGGTGCCGCAAACTCCATGATTTCAACTCCTTTCAGTATAGTTCTGGGTTACTATTTTGAAAAGCGCAGGAACCTTGTTATCGCCCTGTCAATTTCTGTTGTTGGCCTTGGAATGTTTATCGCTACCCCTTTGTCTGTATATCTGCTACAAAATGATGGCCTAAAGGGTACATTTATAATTGTTGGTGCATTTAATGCTCACATTTGTATTTGTGGTGTAATTTGTAGACCTTCAAATGAAGAAATTGCCATTCAGAAACAGAAGAAAAATATACCTGGAAGAGATTCAAATGGAGAAATCCAGCAACGAAGCGTCAAAGTTACCGATAAAATCAGCAATTGCTTTAAACGCATCAACACAAATCTCTTGAGAAATGTACCGTTCATGTTATTCTTGTTAAGTACGGCTACATGGAATTTCACGGAATCAGTATGTTTGCTGCATTTACCAAATTACATGTCTAGTAAAGGCCATTCGGAGGGCTCAATCAGTATCCTTATGATAATTTATGGAGTGAGTAATACAGTAGGACGATTCTTATCTGCATTAACTACTGAGACAGCAGCTGGTTTTGATACTTTGAAGGTTCATATAGTGACGTTAGCTTTAGCCGGTGTCGTGACCTTGACTTTTCGCCTATACAGTGACTTTGATAACGCCGTTTATGTTTATGCAGCATGTTCTGCTATATTTACTGGATTTCCAAATTCTGTTATGTCATCAATCACTATTCGTCTCGTCGGGTTGAAGGATTTTTCTACAGGGCATGGAATGGAGCTTTTCTTCTGTGGTATAGGCATCTTGACAGGACCACCTCTAGCAGGTAGACAGCTTCATTATATCTAATCATTTTTGCATACGAACCTATTTTTTTTATCTGCGATATGATATATTCTGAAAATGCTTAAAATCATGATACTTCTGAAAGCAAGAAGAAGGTTTAATAGGACATTCACGAATTACTAGTATTACAAATAAAAAGAAATATTGATGAAAATATCTTATAGACTGGTAAAGTATGGTTGACTTTGAAGTCATTTGAATTTAGAAAAATACATCAGGAATATTAAGCGATGGACAATGTCTTACCAGGAAAGTTTCAACATATTTAAGATTTTAAGCCATAATAATCAAATCAGAGTGATTGAAACAGAAAATGTGAAAAACTAGTCACCAACTTTGCGAGTTTGGAAATATTAATTTATATAATGCCGTTAATGCATTAAGTTGACGCAATAAGTAAATTAAACCGTACCGACACACACTTTGAAATTATAGGGACAACCAAAACAAGCTAGGGCGATAAACTTTTCAATTCAAATTCACACAAGGTTAATAAACATATAACTAAATGATGTATTTTCGTTGTCAATAAAAAACATTGTGCCTATACACCAAAACATTCTTTTAAATGTGTGGTCGTTTTTATTAATGCAAACTTGAGGGCATTTAATCTAAGTTAATATGACATTGATGACTAGACTAAGTATGCAAAACATGTCATTTATAGACAATTTAACACACATATATATCTATCTTTCTGATATTAATTATTATCTGAATGATATCAGTTCGTTTAACAGCAATTTGTAAGTTATAGTTACATATGATCAAACAAGTGTAGCATGCCCCGATGACCTTAAAGGGGGACACAGGCAAAATTTTCATTTCTTCGTTTTTGAATTTTTATTCATTCTTCTGTAAATGTCCTCAAAATAAATACACTAGGCAGTCCCAGGAACAAAACTTTTCTCCTCATGAAGAATAAAATTGATGTTTCCTAACTTGACCCACGTGAGCGTTAAGATTTCACAATAGTTGTCACAGAGAAATCTTAAAACGTTAAAAACGTGTCAAATGAATGACTTAGACTTGATTTAATAATACAATATCCACAGAATCTGTTATTGTAACTTCCAGGGTTTGTTTAAGTCACGTGACTTGTTTTAAAACTACTCGGTGATTCTGTCGGCGTCTAAATCGTTCAACATATATATATATATATTTACGCTTAAAACCAAAAATATATAGAATTTATACGAAAACAATCATGCTGGGACTTTAAAAAAATGTCATTTTATCGTGATTTAAGAACATATACAATTTGAATATATTTTGTCTTAATTTGCCTGAGTATCTCTTTAACTCAGGGTATCGTACACCACACCCATAGGATATCAGAATATCACAATTATTTGATAAATAAAGAGATCCAGCAAAAAGTTATAATTCAATATAATTCATCACGAAACATAATTTTATGAACAATGTTTTCCAGGTTATATATTTGAGATGACGAAATCATATGAGAACAGTTTTCTACTATCAGGTACGTCTCATTTCATATTTATGTAAGAATAGAAAAATATTTTATTACGCATAGAATCAAACTTCATTAGACAGAATAGACTTGCACCTTCAAGTACCATCATTGAAAAGGCTCAACAAATCGCTTGCCGCTTTGTGTAAGTGATTTGACATTCAAAAATTCACACCTATCACGATTAAAGTTGACCGTCAAGCAATCGACCTTTTCTCAGTACATGTATTGCCTTTTTGTTGTAATCATAAGGACTTGTTTTGTAATCGGATTTATTTTAGATGAAAAGGCTGAACTAAGTTAATGCTAAATTAAAGGATTTTTATATCGTAGATATAATTTACGAAATACATGTGGGCATTATACCTATGAATTAATAGTATTAATATACATAGATATAAAACGCTCGTCGTTAAGGTCGGTGAGCAATATATATATATATATATATATATATATATTATATATATATATATATATATATATATATATATATATATATATATATATATATATATATATATATATATATATATATATATATATATATATATATATATATACAATTTATATATATTTTATATATAGAGATATTTCGTTTGTTTTGCATGTAAGATTGAAATATAATTTCACTGAGTGAACACCAGATGCAATATTTTCACGAGTGGCGTAGCCACGAGTGAAAATATAATAGCTGGTGTTCACGAATGAAATATATTTCAATCTTATATGTAAAACAAATAAATTTTCTTTTTATTTCATGCTTTTTAAGTGATTTTAAGTATTTTATACTGATTTTGCCGCGTAACGTCGCGCATTCTCCTTTGTGACGTCATCACATCATGACGTCACATCATCAATTTTGAAATATAGTTCTGTTAAATTTCTCTAATTTTGTTACATTTATAACATGATGTATGGTGAAATCGACTTTCTTTTCCTAAAGAAGCAAAATTTACGTATGACGGCATTTATTTCTGCCTGTTATTCCATTTAGTTTAATTTTCTTTTCATCCGCATTCAGATATAGTCCGGCTACAGTGAAAATTATATTTTATAAATTTCACTAGTGGTTTATCAGAATATAATCATCTGATATAATACAATTAAACACTGGAAAGCATGCAATAAATATATATATATATATTAATATATATATTATATATATGTGTGTGTGTGTGTGTGTGCGTGCGTGCGTGCGTGCGTGCGTGCGTGCGTGCGTGCGTGCGTGCGTGCGTGCGTGCGTGTGTGTGTGTGTGTGTGTGTGTGTGTGTGTGTCATTTTTTCTTTTGAATTAACCGCCTCTGTGGTCGAGGGGTTAGAGTCGATGACTTCTAATCCAGTTACCTCTCTGGCGTGGGTTCGATCCCCGGGAGATGCTTTGGTAGTTTAGCGCGGAGGAAGGTAGTCTAGTACTGGTGTAACTCTCCAGGAACGATGGTTAGGAAACTACCCGCCTATATGACTGAAATACTGTTGGGAAAAGGCGTAAAATGAAACAAACAAACAAACAAACATTGAATTTTAATATGTAATTCAATGCACACTAAAGATCGGAAAATCATCATGATACTGCATAGAGTAAATTAAGCACAAGTTATTGGATTTTTGTAGCATTGTCCAGGAACATTCTTATAATACATAAAATTCATCTAATATGTAACAAATAAGACATTTTCTGTAATTATAAAGGATTGCTTCAGGTGTATACCATTTACCAATTTCTTAATATTTTGAAATGTGATAAAGATTCCCTAAACATTTCAGTATTTACCTTTGACAGACATGATTGCAAGTAAAAAAAGCTAGTTATTGTCGAGTTCCATTTTGAAACATAAAATATAAAGTGTATCACGTGAACAACAATCAACAGTTCTGTTGTCGTGCACATCATTTCTTTTTGTGTATGGATCATTTTTGTACTAATTCAATGCAACATAGCGATATTCTTCGTCATGTCATGTGAAAGAAGGAAACGGAAAAACGGCGACAATTCATGTCAATATTTTCGAAACTCTTTCAGATTTTAAAATGTTACAGAGCTTTCTATGAAATAGTTTCATAAATGTTTCAAGATATAAGAATGCCTGATCCTTCATATTATACTTTTTTAAACACAGGGTCGGTGATAATGGCTGGAAGCTTTCTAGCGATTCTATCATCTTTGTTGGCACCAGGAAAGGTTACTGGCGGTGTTGAGACAAACCTTGGTCCCGGCATGAAGATTGGTAGCTTAACCGATATTCGTAGTGTTGTAACTCCATCGGGCGAGGGATGCGCAGGTAGTCTGCCTGGGCAACAGGAACGTAAAAATGATATAATGGAGTCAGTGATGTAGATTTTATGACAGCCGCTACAAGTTTATTTACGTTTAAAGTGGTGATAATAGCGACTCTGTACAACTGTTTACAAAACGCCTTTTTATTTTCTTTGAAGTGATCATAATTTGGGGAGGGGATAAACAGATATGTCACCATGTCTGAAATATAAGTTTTTTACATTTTGTATTTTTTGTATTTTGTTTGTTTGTTTTTTTATTTTATTGCTTTTTTGGGGGGTAGGGGGTAAAATTACGTCTATCAATTCGAAGTGTTTATAAAAATAGATGAAAACTTTCACCTTGTTTCTGTTCCTTTTATAAACATTATAGTGGGAAAACCAATATCATTCTATTATAAAATGGCTGTACCGGATTTCAAATGACAAAAAATATCTATTGAAATGCAAAAAAATATAAATAAATTTATGTAGAAATAAAGTACCATTTTAAAGGTAAACGAAGTCCTTGCATGTTTATAATGCTTGGACTATTTTGCTTTTCAATTCACCTTTTACTAACAATCCGACGTGCACTTAATTCCTGCCTATAACACTCGCGGGAGGGGTTCGCAGTATCCACAGAGAGAGAGAGAGAGAGAGAGAGAGAGAGAGGGGGAGAGAGAGGGACAGAGAGAGAGGGACAGAGAGAGAGAGAGAGAGAGAGAGAGAGAGAGAGATCATGATTACAAAGAGGAGGAAATAAGGCCAGATTACAAAACCAAATAGCACGGTCAACGGCAATGTCAAACTAAAATGAATATGCTATAGAAAAGAAAAAGGTCATTGTCGAATTAACTCTTAATGTTATGGAATATATTAATCAACAAGAACATTGCATTGTAATTTACATAGTGAAAAAATAGTAAAACAAAGGCAATTAAGCATATGGAAAGAAAATATGACGCAACATGTTCTTCGATTTAACACAAGAATCTTTTGAATGTTTTAAAAACTAAACACAAGAATCTTTTGAAGCCTTAACACAAGACACAATAATCTTTTGAATTTTTGAAGATTTAATACAAGACTTTCGAATCTTTAGAAAATTTAACACAATAATCAAGAATCTTTTAAATCTACTTGCTTATCTTATCTATGCGGATTTCACCGTGTATTGATCTCTGTATTTGGTCGTCAAAGTCATGCTTCATGGCTCTTTGAATACTTCTTCCTGCCTTTGTTTTCTGATCTTTCTTATGAATTTGTCCACCTTTTATTTTGGAACGGTCCATGCAAGGTTTAAAGAATTTCAGTATTTCAATACCAACAGTATAGTGTCTGATAAGCCGTGACTTTTTTTCTTCTTCTTTTTTTTCAAAGTATAAATCTCTCCTTTCATTTTAATATTTTATATAGGATGGTAGGTTAACATTATGTATCCTATTTTACTTCTCAGCATGCCTTTTCATTTCTAATGCTCTTTCATAATGTATAACATTGATGACTGGTAAATTCTTTATGTACGTCCAAACGTATTGCAATTTTACACTTTGCTGGTTCTGTTTCAATTTCTCTGCTTTATTACTGAGGGTTATTCCGGATGTTCCGAAATACTATCAAACCATGACGGTTTGATCACGCAAACATTTAATTAATGAATACACATTTCAAAACTCCTTAAGGATAGTAAATACTGTTGATAAATAAAATACTATCTAAAATTGGATTTTTTTATTACGCCAAGCAATTCATTCAATTTTAATTCAGCATAGAGCAAAATTTATCAATAGCAATTGGAGTTTGTGTAGTAGGTAAACCTGTTTATATAGCTTGAATTGATTTTTTTGTAATGATGCAAATTGTCGTCTGCTTAACTGAAGTACATGTTATTCAATATGTATAGATATAAAGCCATACCCGTTCAATATTGTTTTTGTTTAGATGTTCAACTCAACAGTAATGCGAATATTAGATCTATCATAACAATAGCGTGGTTATGATTAGTGTAGAACAGCAATAAACTTTTATCATGTGAGTGACCTCTATTTTTTTTTAGTAATATGTTACTGATACGGCGTGTGAGTAGTGACCAGGTGACCCTATTTCAGTGAAAAGGTAATAATCTGAGGCTATAGACGGGTTATAAAGATCGTATTTCCATATGTGTACAGTATTACGGAAGGAGTATCTATTATCAACATTTATATTAAACTTTGTATTGAGTATATATGACATGTGTGTAACAGTAATTATGCGTCATGGTGTGTAATGTTACAAAGGAACGGCTCTGGACGGTGTTCATCCAAACAACAATATTAAGTTGGTTTACTCATTGAGTATACATATGTTTAACGTTGGATCAGTATTGGAATAGAAGAAGATAAATACATGTATAAACATTCGAACGTGTAAGTTTTATAATGTGAAAAAAATTCTATGTGTATCTTGGAAACAGTAAGCTTACCTTCATCAAAAGCCATAGTTATGTTAATTTAATTGAGAACATAAAGGGTTTTTATATAAGAGACGCCGGATTAATAAAAAAACTTTTACTAAAACAAAATAAAATAGCATCGCTGCATTGAGTAGATCTATATTTTTTCAACTAAAACGCGTAATTGTACATATTTGTCTTATGTCGTCTGCTGGAATGAAGAATAGGGACATAGATGGTGGATGGGCATGGTTAGTGCTGGTTGCTGTATATTGTGGTAAAATAGTTCTGTCTACTGCATTGTACATGTCAGGGGTGTTTTATGTGGCATTGGTTGACTTTTACCACGAAGATCCGGCAAAAACAGTGATCATAGGCTCCTTATATTCGGGATTGATGTGTCTATGTGGTAAGATTATAATTAAACTTATTTCCATTACCAATGCTGTTCAAGATTTGCACCACGTGATGTTTTTTATTAGAAATCGTTATGGATCCAATTTATCAATTTAGCCTCGTGTTTATTTACTACGGAAGAGCATTAGTACCAGGTGTATGTTTTTTATTAGCTCGAAATTTCGAGTTACTAACTCGAAATTTCGACTTACTTATCTCGAAATTTCGAGTTACTAACTCGAAATTTCGAGTAACTAACTCGAAATTTCGACTTACTTATCTCGAAATTTCGAGTTACTTACTCAAAATTTCGAATTACTAACTCGAAATTTCGACTTACTTACCCGAAATTTCGACTTATTAACTCGAAATTTCGACATACTAACTCGAAATATCGAGTTACTTATCTCGAAATTTCGACTTAGTAACTCGAAATTTCGACTTAGTAACACGAAATTTCGACTTAAAAAAACACAAGGCTTCCTTTAATTTGTACGTTCAGGCGTTCTTCAGACATTGTATTGTATCCCATCTGTTCGAACATATCTTTTCACTAATCATATTCTTCTCATCCATGTGAATAGAACGATCATATACTTCACGTGTGGGGCATCTGAGGAAAGTGTCGCGGCGAGGCCAAAATAAGGGCGTGATAAGGCCTTTGTCTGACTAAATTTCATGTCAAATCGGATGCTTTTATATTATTCCCAAAATACATAAAACAACAAGTTCCACTTTTATCAACTTTTATCAACACAATATGAATCAAAGTATTAGTAAATAATGAATAATGTTACTAAAACATTATTAGTATAGAGAAACGTGACAGACTAACTGGCGTACGTATACACGCCATTTAAAACTTATTTAACACATGATATTGCACAGTTTACAATAGGGTGGGTTTTGGACTTGTTGTTTCTCCACATGATGGTTGTGTGTGTGCTTAAGAAAAAGAAACATCCGATTAACACGGAAATGTGGAAAGTGTGATTTTACAACCCCCACCCCCTCCACAAAAAAGCGAAGGATATGTTTAGTATGTGTGGACAATTTGACTCTATTAAATTGTTCTCTTAAATAAATGTTAAAGGTGCTCTGTCAATGTGCAACAGCTACACACGAAAGAAAGTATCTTGAATTCAATCGTTGCTTTCACCGGCAACCAATGAAAGTGTGCAATGTAAGTCGAAATTTCGAGTTACTAAGTAAGTAAGTCGAAATTTCGAGTTAGTAACTTGAAATTTCGAGTTAGTAACTCGAAATTTCGAGTTAATAAAAAACATACACCTGGCACTCATGCTCTTCCGTAATTTACAGAGTGCAAAGAGTTCATATTTAATTCATGGTTGTATACAATTCTGATTCTACTGGACTCGTACACAGCTGCAAACCCTATATGAGATTCAACTAGCGTCTCGTCAAATATAGTTTTCACAGCTAAGGACTCTTCCAATTGAAATCAGTATTTTACTCAACACTTATTATGAATACTTCACGTTCGCAATGTCGCTGTGCATTGGATAACTGTGACGTAAATATTCTACTCAACGTTTGCTAAGCACCAAAAGCTTCCAGTAACGCAGTAATTAACCCAACATCACGGTATGTGCCCTGCAACCGACAGCTTTCTCTCCCCAATCACCCTGTTCCACCATCCCTACAGCTCTTCACATCTCTGCTTCTCTCAAACGCGTCTTACCATAGCTCTTGCCGGGTCAAAGTGTCCAGTGTAAGAAACTTCACCCTTTGAATGACCATAAATTGTAATATCAGTGTATGAGGACAATAACGTATCTCTGCCCCAACTAAAAACAAAACAATCTAAAAACGCAGGGTTCTTGCGTCCGGACCACGAGGCGACGCCTGCTCAATAAACATCTTGCATTTAGGTCGGGTGCCATATAAAAACATTGCTGACTCAAACTATGCAAACAATATAATTTAATTCTTTTTAATACGTAAGAAACTTTTGGTTGGTAGCAAAGTTGAGTTGTATATACATGTATGTAAATATATGTCCCGGTTTCGACCCTCATTAAGTATACAAAATATCATTCATCGATGTGGTCATTGACAGTATCTTCTAAACAACAGAGATATCCACCCTTTTCTTCTGATAATTTCAAAATATGTAACTGTTTATTTCAGTTTTACAACAGTGTAAGTTAAAGGCACATTATATGCCTCAGAAATGAATAAATAGAAAGGGCAAACATGAATTCTAAAACATTTTAAATAGTGGTTTTAGCGTTAGTTAGATACTGATTACCTAAATAACGTAGCAATAAATGTGAAAGAGTTTGCTATATAAGTTGCAAAATGTAAACAAAGTAGTGGTTTTGACTTTCATTCAAAACAATAATTCACCATAACTGTGCTAATTGCCAAACAGCAACAGATGAAAAAGATGGTTCATGGTTCAGGTATTTGGCCAATAAGTTACTTTTTAGAAACTATAGCAGAACAGCAAGCATTAAAAGATCTTCAGAAATAAAAATCAAATCATTTCTGAGGCAAACATTTCAGTTAATTTGTATCAGTATTTCACCTACACCTGCTAAATGGTTTTAGAAGGACTTGTCACAATCATTAAATTTTATGTAATAGTTAATAGAAAGAGCATCGAAACGAGTTGTGACATGCTATTATTGTATCATTCCTGTTGAAAATGTTTCCGAGTAAACGTATATACATTATACATGCACAGTGCGTTAACTAGAGTGGAGGTATTAGTTACCCGCACTCCAGGGTATGCCCGTTGATTAGCTCATTTTTGCTTGGGTTTACTTATTGTGAAGGAGAAAGGGAAAGCGATATATCATATTCAAATGCTCGTTCATTGGTTACTTTTTTTTCTGGGGTTTCATACTGTGACAACAGGGAACGTGTTTTTATGTTTGACTATGATTACAAAAGAGAAAGAGCATCAAAACACTCGGCAATCTGATTAATAGTCGGGGGCAGCAGCAGCAGCAGCAGCAGCAGCAGCAGTAGTAGTATATAACTGTTTGATCGCAATTTCATTTTTTGTAATAAAATCAGCAAAAACATGCGCACTTCAATTCTATCTAATGATGTCGTAAGCTACCTTTTTTTACAGCTATTTATAATAAGGCAGTTGTTTGAAGTAGTTTTCGCTGCCGCCAAAAAAAAAGAAGAAAAAGAAGAAGAAAACAAGATATGCAACCCTTGAAAATTTAAAGACGTTCAATGTCAAACTTTTGTCAGTGGAAATAATTCATTCAGAGGATTAACCTTTCGATTTTAGCAGTTGTACATATATAAATATCAATCTTATTTCATTGATTATCTTTGTTTATATAATTCGGAATGTTCGTTACCGCTGCCCCCCAAAAAAAATCTACACTGATATATACAAGGTGCGAAAAAAACTCAACTGCTATATATAATATTAGTTGAGTTTTTTCTTTACCTATATGAATCGATGAAAAAAAACTGCACTGTTATATATCAATGAGTATAATGGGTTAGTAAGAACAAAGAAAAGTTCGAAACCATGCGATAATAAAATATATCATAAACAATTTAAGCGCCTTGGTCAATAGCATATTTTGCCAGTGAATATCACTCATTATAATTGTATCGTTATCGCTATTATTAAGCATGTTTGTTTTACACACACAGCCATGTGAATTAAAGCGAATTGCTCTTTTCTATTTGTTAAATAAGCCATAGTTCTCTTTATCGTTTTCAATATAAATCGTTCAGCAATGAATCTTTGAAGTCATATTTACAAGGATTTCCTGCATGTATATGTCATATGTTTTATATTTTCAGGTCCGTTTGTTTCCATTTTGATCGAATCGTTCAGTTGTCGTACATCCATGGTGATAGGTGGTGTTCTTGTCTCGTTGTCATACTTCGTCAGTGCGTTCGTTGATGATATTAATTATCTTATAGTTACCATGGGGGTATGCGGAGGTAAGAATCAAATAAGTCATACATATTGGTTGTATCTCATAAATTGGCTAAAAAGAACAATTTGGAATTGATTTGTTCATCATCATCGTCATCATCATCTCTGCTACCATCATTACTAACATCATAATAATAATCATCATCGTCATCAATAACATCATCATCGTCATCAACAACAGTATCCCCACTACTACCATCATAATTATCATCATAATCATAATAATAATAATCTTCGTCATCATCATCGTCATCAATAACAGCATCATCATTATCATTATCTTTTTTGTTAATATCATCCTTATTGTTGCAGAATATTGTAATCAATCATGTATGAAAAAAATCAATAGTACGGATTAAATAAATATGCAATCTTTATGTCCGTAAACTTTATTTTGTGATTATGACTATTATTATTAAAATATTATTATGAACTTAAAACGTGACATGAAATATAAAAATATTTCACAGAAAAGTCATCAAAGCTAAAAAAAAAAGTCGAGTCTATTTCCCTATAATCATTGCATGAAAAAAAAGAGAAATGTATTGAAACATTTTTGCTAGACCTTTATAAATCTTAATAAGCTTTTCTCTCTTCTTTCAGGCATAGCAAACTCAATGGCGTCTGTTCCTTTGAGCGTTTCACTGGGGTACTACTTTAATGAGCGGAGGAATACAGTTATATCTCTATCTATGGCTGTTATTGGTCTCGGGATGTTTATCGCTTCGCCATTATCCTTGTATTTATTAAATAACTATGGGCTAAAAGGTACATTCATGATAATCGGTGCTTTTACATCTCATATTTGCATTTGCGGAATGATTTGTAAACCGTCATCTAGTGAATTAGCAATTCAAAAGGAAAGACAAATTGATCAGAATAAAAGAAAAATTCGAAGAGAAAGATCTAATTTACCTTTTCTTCTTAATAAATGTACAAGTATATTAAGCATATTTAATGTTAAGTTGTTCAAAAATGTATCATTTATGCTATTTTTATTAAGCACTGTTACGTGGAACATCATGCAATCTATTTGTTTAATGCATCTCCCGTATTACATTGTGACCAAAGGTTTTCCAGAAAGTTCGATAACTCTCATTATGACTGTTTTTGGTGTAAGTAACACTTCCGGTAGGTTCCTTTCCGCATTGACAGTCGGAGCAGGTGGTATCGATAGTCTTACTCTTCATGTAGGCATGCTTGGTGTAGCCGGTGTAGTGACCTTGACTTTTCCACTTTACAGCCATTTTGTTTCCGCCGGATATATTTACGCAGCAGTTGCTGGCTTCTACACCGGTGGCCCTAATTCCGTGATGACACCTATAACTTTGCGACTTGTAGGTGTGAAAGATATTTCATCGGCGCATGGTCTGGAAATTTGCTTCTGTGGTATAGGGATTTTGGTCGGACCTCCCATTGCAGGTGGGTACCAGTAATTGAAAGCATTTGGACTTAGATAACCTCTTGGCATGAGACAAGGCTTCCGTATCAAATTTGTCAACGATTTAAAATTACAAAATCGGAATGTTAGTTACCAAGAACATAAAATGATTTATGAAATAGTTTGAATTATTCAAATATGACTTGAAAATGACATTGGCTATCAAGATTTAACTGTAGTTATTTTGTTATTTATGTACAGATTTCATTCATACTTGGATCAAACACTACATATGACAAAAATGAAATTATAGTGATATGTTCCGTCCTTATCACGTTTTGTTTTCTTATGAGGCTAAAACGACATCTCACATACACTAACGTCACAGATTTTATTCGTATCTTCCGGCCTTGACGGTCAATTCCTACATCAAAACTCAAAAACCGGTGTTGAATATCCGCTTATCACCACTGAGACCGATATTATTACTTAAATATTAAACTTTGATTAAATACTGTACAAAATGCTTTCTTTCATCATCTTTCACTATACATGTATAGCTTGGGTGTGCCTTTTGGAATATAAAACGTGGAGCTGTGACTAGTGTCATATCATCTATATTTTCAGGTGTTTTGTATGAAGCCACTCATTCTTATGAGACCAGCTTCATGATGTCAGGTAAGTAAACAATATATTGTTAATTTACATTTTACCACACCTTTCAATTGATTAGTTACATACTTATTTAAATAAGTTTAATATATTTAGGTTTAGTTATGTATATCATTTCAGTTTTACCCGTCATCTATTTATTTCTGTGTTATATAAGTTTCATTTGCAATGTAAACAACGAACTATACAATAAAAAGTATTCCTTTTGTATTTTTCACGGAATAATATTTTTATTACAAGACAAGTTGATTTACATTTGTTTTGTTATTATTGTTCTACAGGAATAGTGGTTTTGGCGGGAAGTTTTCTGGGAATTTTGTCATCAATAAAAGCTCCTCCTTTACCTTCAGAGAACCTTCATAATGATATATCTATCACTAATCCAGACGACACTGAGATAGCAGAAGAGTTACATACTCTAGAAAACGATAAAGACACATTGCGCATAGAACCAGAAAAACATGAAGATCTTTGCGAAGAAGATACAAGTTTCATTAGAAATAGTAAACAGTTATAGATAAAAACAATTTTGTATATGTTTATTTAATCAGTATTTTGATAGAATTCCGGTATTTTTTTTCCAGTTTATATTCACTCCTTTACTGCTTTCAATGACATTATTCTCAGGTAACTCCTATCACGATGAATAGCTGAATAAACGTGTCCATCATTATTTTAATCTGGATATAAATAACTATTCATAACCGTTTAGGGCATTTCAACATATGACCTGACTGTTTATCGAACAGTACAGGCAGAGATGTGTCGATCATGGTTGCTCAGATCGCATATTTTATTTAAGTCGTTGCCCGCAGATAAAAAGTGAAAGATTTGCTTAACTTAAGTTTGGTGAGATATAACCAGGATGTACTGAATCTAACCAATAATGGTCATTAACATTCTCATTCGAGTATAAAAGTTGATCTAAACTGCACTTTAATTTTCATTAATCGCTCAAATACAAAACAGTGTGGAAACCTTACATTATCCTTTTTTTTTCATTTTTTTCATATTCTAAAATCATGTTAATACTGTCAAAATCATATTAACATACAACATTTTGTGACTAAATATAAAACATATCTACTTTAGATAGATACTTCAAAAGTTGGCTTATTCTTTTGGTTTTTGATTTTTGAAATGTTATATTTCATTCGTTTGTAAGCTCTCAAAATATAGATTGTTTATTTTACTGTATGAAAAATGAATATATATTGAAAAGAGAAAAGAATGCCAGTTTGACCATAAGTTTTGTTATAAGTACATTCCAAAAATAGATGATGAAGTGTTTCTCAATTACTACAGAAAAAACCAACAACAACACACAGACACACACATTGGCATTAGAAAAATAATGCATTTGAAAATCATGGTGCTTATTGCCACAAGTCTATGCTTGTAATGAAAATTCACATTTATAGTACTTTGTAGAGGTAAAGTATATATTTTATTTCAATTCAGTTCCGTATCTATTTCCTTTGCCCATTTCTCTTCATTTGGTTTTTAACGTTCCATACTTTTCAAGTTGAATAATGTATAAAAGTTTTATTTATCGTTTTGAATTTTTTAATTTTATTGAGAGCGTATATTTTCTGTCCATATATGATGTGTTAGTTTTCTCGAGGTATATTGTTTAAAAGCATATACCGGTAGTATATAAAATTATCATTATTTTCTATGCCGTGAGTGTTTTAAAATCATTAGAGCCGCGCCATGAAAAAACCAACATAATGGGTTTGCGACCAGCATGGATCCAGACCAGCGTGCGCATCCGCGCAGTCTGATCAGGATCTATGCTGTTCGCTGACAAACCCTTTTACAAGTAGAGAAACTGATAACGTTTATACTCGCAATTTGCTTTCATCATCTATCTTTCAACTTCACACCCTAGGGCAAATACTTTACAATTTCGTAAGTCATTCGTTTATTTGGTACTACCTTCCTCATTACAACTCATTACAAGTATATCATGTCTACTCTGTGGTCCAGGGCTTAGATTCGGTGACTGCTAATCCAGTTACCTCTTGGGCGTGGGTTCGATCCCCGGGAGATGCTTTGGTAGTTTTGCGCGGAGGAAGGTAGTCTAGTACTGGTGTAACTCTCCAGGAACGATGGTTAGGAAACTTCCCGCCTATCTGACTGAAATACTGTTGGAAAAATGTGTAAAATGAAACAAACAAAGAAGCTACATATGTAACCATTAGAAAACCTTGATGTTATCACTCATCGGTGGAAGCACTATTAACGTCCATTCCATACTACATATTGATAGGTTAGTCATTAAAATATCATGTATGTTACATTAATGTTTTTTAACAGTTTGAATATGTTAAATTTATTTTGTTCTTTGTTGAGGGCTTCATGGAATATTGTTATGATGCTCAAATTGGTTCTCAGGTAAATAAAGTTTTTATTATAATTATTATTGTAATAAGTTAAGTCTACCATATATTGCTTTGAATGCATATGATATACAAGTATGTATGAAGGAAAACTATATTTAAAATTTACATTTATTTATACCGTTGTTGATTTGACCAAGATCTTAACAACAGAGATCCCATAAGCTACCAATAGAAGAACCCTGAAAGACAGTATACACAATGATATTGATATAAACAATAAAAGCCCCAATGGACGTAGTCTCCATTAAATTCTCACAAGTGAAGAGGATCGGTGATCCGGTGAAAGCAGCAGAGCTGCACGGCCCGAAACCAACAGTGGTATTTTTTAATCATTTAAAGGTAGAGAAAGTATACGAAAAACAGGCAAGTCAGAAACAGATCATGAGCATATCCCCAGAGAAGTAGAAGATCTGAAAAAGAATTGTGTTATCCTGCTCGAAAACTATCTAAACAAGATCAAAAGGTTGTGTTTGTCAAAGATTGTCTTTATGTCAATAATAAACTGTTTGACTCTAAACATACATTTGGTAACAATAAATTTCTAGCAAAGCTGCACCCTTCGGGTACGACACAAATTACAAACAACCGCCACTTACTAACACTTCGGAAGGACCGACTAATATCCCTGTAACGGGATACGCTCATACCCAAGTCAACAATGGTTTTAAAAACACACATGATTATAAACCGCGCATACAAAACCGGAAGCGTTTGGACTTCAAGACCTTTGCATTGCACCACCTGTAACCGTCACCAATCAATTGCAGAATTATACTGCACCAACAAACAAAAACAGAAAGTTGGCTCCCCTATAGCTTTAGATTTATTCACTAAGCGTTCTTCCTCGAACACATGAGCCACAACAATTCATAGAAACTTTTCGGGAAAATTAATTCCGTTAGTGTTTTTAGTAAATGACGAAATGATGACTGAATCAGTTAGTGAGCATTTGCAAGTATACAATTACGCTGCCCGAGCGTCAAAAAGTGTAGGATAGATGTGGAGAGTCACGTGATCAATTCAGTGAATTACAGGCAGTAGATAGTGTATGTGAAATGTTCGAATACACGTGAAAAATTAACTATTTATATAACATTAACTGTTTACTACGGAATCCTGTTGGGGCCATTCATAACGTCGCAGTCGCGTTTGCATAGTCGACACTCGACAACGCGAAATAACATAGCGATATACCGATTACGAAGTAACACCCGACAATCGCAAACGACGGTGACAATCTCAAACGACAATGTCGCGATATCCACTTTAAAATGTCGCATATAAAAGCACGATATATCGCGATGTTACTTCGCGGTGTCGTCTAAGGGTCGTATCGCATTGTTGCTATGTCACTTTGCGTTGTCGCGATGTCACTTCGCGTTGCCGGATGTCGACCGTGCAAATGCGATGGCGGCAATTACAAACGACATGCCACTATCTCAAAAGACGCTCGCTAATGCGAAGCGACAGTTTAGATTATATCGTTCCCGGTCGTTCCCAAATCACTCATGACGTCTACCGCGGTTCTGTGGGATGTAAGTGAGACTGTAGCTTACGCCAGTTAGGTAAAATAATGGTGCCGCGTATTTATATTGAAATTAATTTTTTTTTTGTCAATTTAAAGCTATTAAATCGGTTTATCAAAGTTGCCAACTATCTTGACATCCTGACAGATGGAGTCAGTTACTTCATTTTTCAAAAAAAAAATCAACAACTTTGTATATATGGATATAATAAATAATATAGCAGGTACAAAAGCAGAGACATATATATTATCTAGATGTTATCTACATCTTTGACGAAAGTTAAAATAAAGAGAAATAAAGAATCCCAAGAGAACATACAAGACGACAAAATTGAAAATGTTTCAGGCTCGGTTTGATCGAGCCTGGTTAATGGACGGTAATGGAATGTACAAGTAACGGCCACGCACCCTAGCACCGGTTTAAGCAGTATTCAACATTTAACATGACCTGGTAAAATTTAGAATTTTGAAACATCCGCTAATGTGCTCATATGGCGGTTATCATGGAACATTCAATGTTACACGTTAGTGCTGTTCCTTTAAAAGCGGCATGTGGTTCCCAGGTAAAAAAATGCGCGGAACTAAATAAAATGGAATTTTGAATGGGGATGAGAGGTTATGAAGCATGGCTATATCACAATGCATTAAACCTTAAGGCAAAAGTTTAAGCAAATACTCTATTCCTTCCTTTATAACAATTATGTCTATCCATAATCACATAATATATTATAATGTCTGAAATGACATTTTTGTTCGTTCTTAACATAGTGTCAATAAAATGCTGCAGTAGGAAAAAGTATTTGCAAATAAAATGAGAGAATATGTAATGAATATTTTATTTGAAATTATCCTATCTAAATATTTCTATGAAAGATCAATGAATTAAGATTAAATATTTAGATACATCTGCTTAAATAATATCGTACCTGATTACGGTTTTAATCTAACCATCTGGTGTATAAGCAACTTATCTTAAAGTGAATAATACTACGTTTTATCATGATTTATCATGAAACATATGTGATGTGCAAATATACATATAATCATACATGTTTATCATACTACAAAGTTAAGCAATTCACAAATGCATTATATATAAGTGATTTCGCACATAAAACCCTAAAACATTTGTAAATGTTACCGTGTAAATTGATATAATTTTACAATTTATATGTTCCGCTACATCAATTTTAACTATCTTTGAATTTGTAAACTAAACTGATATTTTGTCAGAAACATCTTCCTTGAAGTCAACGAGAAATATAACAAGATCTTTGCCAGACGTTTTATTCATACTTAATACATGAATACAGTTATTTGTTACTTTTTCAAATACCATAACAACATTGAACTATCCAAGAAAAGCATTAAAATTTTATATAAACCAATTTATATAAGGTAAATTCTTAGTCACTTAAAATTAGTGGCATAATAGTTTCCTGTAAACGTCTGTACCGTATTATAAGAACAACCATAGTTCAAGATAGTGCAAGAATACACGTAACCACCATCTTCCAATAGAAACCGGGAACTGCATGGGCAAGGATTCTAGTAAATGATAGACTATGTACAATGTACGTCATGTAATAAATAAGGCGACAAATATCATTTCCTATTTGAATGCAAAATCTTTGAAAATGAGCCGAGCGATTCTTGAAACCTTATTATTATAGATGACCAAATGTAATCAAAACATCTGAACTAATGATTACTAATAATAAACAAGAACATCTAAAATTAGGTAAATTTGTTTAGTGCATAATAAGTACAATTTAAGTTATTTGTAATTAGAATAATAAACCGTGCAATATGAAATAAGTTTTTTTTTCTTTATTCCTATTATCAAAAGTCTCATTTTTTGTTTCGAGAGACCTAGTGGCACATATTTATGATTATAATATTTCGCATTTTGATTAGAGCACATTTTTTTATTTTTCCAAAAGAAAGGTAAGGTCTATACACACTAACCAATTCCACCTTTCGTTTCTTAAAATCGAGTGTCATTTTTCACTATTTAAAAAGTGTCATTTTTATCCACTGTATACAAAAGTAATATTCTTCTTCATTTTGTCTATGTTAAACATATTATTATGTCATTCATTATTAATTTCTGTCATTTCTTAATTCTAAATAGTATTATAACACACTATATGTTTAGCACTTTGGTATGACTGCTTCATGATTATATGTGTAATTTAGTTTTATACATATGTTTGATAAATATACAGAACAGTTTTGATTATCTACGTAGGTGATACTTGAAATTATACAAACGTAATATTTAATATCAAATTATTTACTGTTAAAATATTTTGTTATAATGACCTTTTCTTATGTTAATTCAATTTTCAATTTAATATTTTATCCGGCAAATACATAGAAACGCTCATCGCCAATAAAAAATATGTATATACAATGATAATAATTTGCTATTAGAGTCACATTGTACTTTTATTCACGTTTGTCACTTCATAATGTCACGTTTCTGCATGGAATGAGTGAAATAAATGTTGGTTTTTTTTTACTTTAACTACAAACCATGGTTCAATCATGTTTGGGTCTACTTCTGAACCGGAAGCGACGTTTCATCTATATACGGTATAAAACAACTTTTCGGTATGTTTTCACAAATCGCCGCATATGTACATATGTGTTAGTTATTTTACTTGGTGGCATGAATGTCGTGACAACAAGAGTACGTACAGAAATTCCTAAATAAGTTTCGCGCAGACTTTGCACAAGTTAGCCTGGGCTAAATAGAAGACACATACATGTACAATAGAGATATAAAGTAAACAGATACGCTGAATCATGTATAATACTGATTTAATCTCTTAAAGTTTGGAAAAATAGGTTCAATATTAAGAAACTTAAGGTTAAATTAAGTATGGATAGTGTATTTCCGATTTGTTTTCCGGTCACCGGAAAATTACACTAAGTAACATTAAAAAGCAACAGAAGTTATAAATGGAAAGGGTCTTACACCAATTTTTATATCTAAAGTTAAGAAGATCAAAGTATTACATAAAAATACAAAGAAAGAAAGAAAAAGAAAGTCAGAAAGTAAACCAGCATGTTATGAGTCATTTTGTGAATACATTGTTGTGAAAGATCATGCTTGTGTAAAGTATCTCAATTTAAAAGGTAATAATCTAATTATTATGATTTTTGAAAATGTGTGATAGATTCCTTTTCTTAACAGTGTAGAAAGTACTAATCAAAAGAACATTTACTTGTAGGTTAAAATGTTGGTATATGTATATATGAAAGCTGTGTTTTCGAAATTTGTACGTAGCCTGGCAGATTTATAGTGATCATCAATATCTCTAACCTTTTCCTATCGACACCACTTGGCTTAAATTAATCAGTTTCGTAAAAGGACTGCATGTCAAGTGTTGGCCGTTTGTATTAAAATGCAGGGAGCAAATAATGCAGGTGTTTATACGACGGTTGGTGATAGAGAATACCACGCGTATGATTCTCTTCAACTATCGGAAATCGGTCTATATAATGAGGTTACAGAGATACCAGGCAACGTAACAGTCCACAGCCAGACGACTGAAGGTAGTAAAGCATTACAGGTTATTCGTGAAGACTATGTCAGTAAACGACTGTTTGTTGGGGTAGTTGCTATTTTAACAGCATTACTGGTAATAACACTTACGGTTTTGGTTTACAATGTCGAGACGTCAAAACAAAAAGGTGAGTTACATTTAGCTATTCTCATGTATTTCTTACACAGTAATGAATAACGTAATTATAAATTAAAATTTATGAGCTTTCTTTATAAAAAATAAAATAGATTTAACATAACATTGATTGCATATTCAGTTTGCACTAGAATTGAAATGTAATTGTCTTTCCGATATTAGTCAATCAAAGAACTTGTATTTGGAATTTAAAAAATGAAAACTTTGGCGACAATAAGTAAACTTGGGAAAGAGAAAGAGATTGGCAACGGACAAAAGTCCTTCCGACAAAAAACCTTTTCCCGTCCAAAAATGACTGGTCAAACAAAAGCCCTCCCGTTGAAATGACAGGGCGGGCAAAAGCCCTCCCGATAAAATGCCAGAGCCAATAAAAGCTTTCCCGTGAAAATAATAGGGCATACAAACTTTCCGTGAAAATTCAAAAGTCCAACAACAGTCCTCTCATAAAAATAAGTGGATATTTTCTTCCCTCTATTCAATTGTTTCTTGTGAATATACAATTTTTTCTTTAAAAAAGACAACCTACATTGTACCATGCGTCAATTAGAAATTGCCAACAAATAATGTTTTTACAGAAAACTTGGAATATTCCAAGTGTGAGGTGAAGGCAAATGACACAGGATGTGGTAGCGTGCCAAATGTGACAAATGGACATCTAAGTCTTGTAAATTCTAGTCAAAGTACATACCCTACTACTGCCATTGTAACGTGTAATTTCGGGTATGAGCCATCTAAGTCAATAATTATATGTCAAGACAACGGCAAATGGGAAGCGGTTTATTGTAAAATGGAAGGTAAATCACCTAGAATAGTTTCAACTTTCCTCATTTAGTATTAAGTAACATTATTATTGAATACGAAGAAATATACATTATTATAAAATATTCTAATTGAAGCTTTTAAGAAAAAAAAGTGGTCATGGACGATTGTAGTTTCGATCTTCGTATGGAGGTTGTGAATTTATAATATCTTTATAAACAAGGGTGTTTGAAAATGTGTTAATAAATTTGTGTTATTATAGCTTTGCAGTATCAAATACTCAAGACAAGTTATAAGATTGTGTGCAAACGATCGTTTTTCAATAATACCTTCAAAAAGCAACTTTATCTATATATGCTTACAATTGTTTATACCACTCGAATCTTCTAAATGTTTCAGTAATTGATTGCAAGTATATTTTGGATGATACTCTCTTGGTACAAGATGGCATATATGAGATACCATTGTGGAGTTTTAACAGCTGGTTATCTGTTTATTGTGATATGAGCACAGACGGTGGAGGTTGGACGGTAAGTCTTCTTTGACCCTAATTGGCTTGTTGAATTTATCCTCTTTTTATTTGCATTTTATAACATATTTGGATAATACATGTGTATAATAAAATTATTATATCCAACTATGGTGCATAGTAGACTAGGCGTTAAGGCGTTCGGTAAAAAAAACGAGAATAAAGATCAAAAAGGCAAAGGCAACGCTCACAGGACGCAAACTTTCAAAGATAGGAAGGAAGATGTACCTGAACTCTTCACAGTCAGTATATAAAGGAATAGTGAACATACTTATGATGACTAGAAAGTAACACAGCTTATGGTTACAGTTCTTCCATTTTTAGCTAGATTTACGTACATTTGCGTTATTTTTGTCTTTTGTTTTAAAAACATATCGTACCGAAAACATTTCAGGTTATACAAAACAGGTTTGACGGTTCAGTGGACTTTTATCGGAACTTTTCTGAATATGAGAATGGTTTTGGTGATTTGAATGGTGAATTCTGGCTAGGTATGTATCCATTACCTGAATTACCTGAAAAGCGCATGTGAAGCGATGAGTTACTAGTATAGGCAACCATATTGTCAGTGCGCGTTACCATAAAAGTCATGTGATTCCATACCGTGGTATCTAGTATTGTTAAAGTTATGAAAATAACTGGCAATGACTTTTCTTGCATATCAGACTAGCGTTTCCATAAGTTAAACCATTTCGGAAATTTCATTGGCATGTTTGGGTGCCAGATAAGCTACTTGCTGTACAATTGCGACATTCTTATCTTCAGCACGTGCATGTAGCTATGTAAAAAACGCAGATCGCATTAAACTTGCTGAATAGCATGATATAAAACAATTCAAACATTGTAAGATTTGTCTAAAGTCTAAAAAAATTTCTATTGATGTTAAAATTGAATGTTCTTCTGTTTCTGTTTGTAGTTCTTTTATAGTATACATGTACCCCGTCTTCATGCACTTGCGTTTAATCCCACGCGAGAGGTTATATTCTTGCTGATTATTTCACCATTCAAAGTTCACAATAAGAAAAACGAAGTCACTGTATCATTTATTGTGAGTCTTTTGCAAACTTGTATCATTTATTGTTCGTCAGTCTATTGCAAGCACAAGCACCTGTTACTTCTCACAACTGTATTATTAATCACAAGCCTATTTAATTGGACTCAAATTAATTGTTGAGTGCATGGAGTAGATGCGTTTACCCACCGTGGTATTTAGAGATAAATACACGGACGAGTAGGGCCGGAAGATGATAATCGGCTAGCAAAATGAATAATGTAAACGACGGCTTCATTTTATGGTTATTCTAAATTTTGATTTACCCAAGTTTGTCACCTAATGGGAACATTAGGTTTTCTTTTCTTAGTTTTTGAAGTGACATACCGTTTCTCAGATTGTAAATCTGTTGCGTTATTGGATTAGTCAAGACTCAAGCTAGGTTCTGTTTTTCTCAGATCGATAGTTTCTTATTTATTTAACACATTTTGAATTGGTATAACTAGCATGACAAGCTTCTTCTTTGACAGCATCTTTGTCACCCATTTTACCACCAATGTTTTGTATACATAATGTATATAATATGCATAATCATATACAGAGACTACATTTAGTATTCACATATATCACTATTACATTAACTTATTTGGCATTAGGAATATTATAACGTCCTTTCCTTCTTGTTTGTTATCGTTGTTATCTTTTGTAATCTTTTTTTAAAGTAGATCGTTACATTACGTAGTAAACAAGATAATATATTTATCTTACCTTGAAATCCCCGATGTTGATAAGTTTATGTACTCAAATCGTTCATATGATATCAAGTTATCAAGCAATTCTCGTTCAGTCAAAGTTATTCAGTCGGGTTCACCAACAATAACGTCAGCTATACGCCTCTCTTTAGCCACATCTACTAGTGCAAAAGAAGGAAGTATAGATTTGGATGGAATAAGCATAATATAAGGTAATTAATTGTAATTTATTTCATTTGGTGTGGTCGCTGAGTGTAAATTATTTTTAAATTTTATTGTTTTTGTTGTTTCTTCTCGGCGAACATATTATAGCAAAAAATATTCGCCAAAGACGTACATTTACCGTTTCAATTAATTATTATTGTTATATGCAGTACGGCATCTACAGAGCAACACATTATCAGAGACAAAACTGTAGGTTGTTGTCGAGAGATTTTGCTCTAAATGAGCCGCGTCACGACAAAACCAAGGTAATTTGTTTGCGACTAGCATGGATACAGACCAGCCTGCGCATCCGTGCAGTTTTATCAGGATCCATGCTGTTCGCTATCAGTTTCTTTACTTGTTATAGGGTTTGTAAGCGAACAGCATGGATCCTGATCAGACTGCGCGGATCCGCAGACTGGTCTGGATCCATGCTGGTCGCAAACCCATTTTGTTGGTTTTGTCATGACACGGCTCACATAGGTTTAAGTCAGTAAAAGACATACCGGTAGTTCGGAAATATTTGATTATGTCATTGTAAAGGAGTTGTTGTTCTACAAAGGGTCGCTTTGAAGAGGTTACAATGTTAAAGGAAACATTTTAAGAACATTTTTATAACCTAACTGAAATGATAATATAGTATTTAGTTTAAGTCAATTAGGCAGATCATTTATTATCTTTCTTTCTTTCCAAACATCAATATTGATAAGTCATAACCTCCTTAATTTTTTTAATTATTTCTGAAACATTATTATTCTTTCAAAGGCTTACCATGGCTGTTCCAGGAAGAAAAGCAGATGGTAATTTGACCTCAATGTTCAGCGATGCCTCCGGAGAAGATTACGACATTTTCTGTAATCCTTGTGACCTGAATGACGTCAGGTGTCCAGCTTTCGGTTTCTGCACCAATTGCGATGAGCATCTGTGTCAGTCATGTTTTGATAAACACAAGCAGACGACATCCACCGGAAGTCATACCCTTCTCGATAGTCAAAGCATGCCGCTGACTGTTACTCCACTGAAGACAAACGCCACCCATGCTTTCCATTCAGGTCTCTCTGATGATTCCACAGTTTTTTGTTCTATCCACAAGAAAGAGCCCATTAGATTCTATTGTTACGATCATGAGGTACTTGTTTGCAGTCTTTGTATATCCCACATCCACGATGAAAAGTCTTGTAAGGTTAAGGCTATATCCCTGATCTCTAAGGATATTTTAGATAGCAGTGAATACACGGAATCCCTTCAAGCCATCAATGATTTGGTTGATAGATGTCTGAAAATTAGAAATGAAATCAAAGAAAATACTCTAATATCTGAGAAGTCATTAGAAACTGTCCTAAATGAAATACAACGATTTAAGGATGACTTAAATAGAAAATTAGATGATCTAGGAAAACAAATCGAAAATAAAGTCAAAAGGCAAAAAATTGATCATGAAGAACGGCTAAAAAGAGCAGAAGGTTTATGCGATGATATCGCAAAGTCGCTGAAACACGCGTCTGATGCAATGAAACATCACAAGGACATGAAACAAACGGATAAATTTTTCACGACTCTTAAAACTTCTCAACAACTGGTCAGGGTAAGTGAGAGAAAAATATCAGACCTAGTTTTGGCTGACCACACAGAGCAATACCACTTTAAACCAAATCGGGAGATAAAATCTTGTATCCGAAATGCCGTCACTCTCGGTACTGTTGATTATTTTTATCAAGAAAGAGATATTTGCGTTAAAACCTCACACGACGACGAGCGCTGTTGTGTAAGCGGGATGACACTAGTGTCTGATTCCAAACTAGTTATTCTTGATACAAATAACCATTCGATAAAATTGGTTGACCTTAGCGATAACTCTATATCCTACCAATTAAAAACTGGGGGAAATCTTAGTGATATAACTACGATCAGTGGTGATGAGGTTGCTGTTACTGTTTCTAATGAAAAAACTATTTTATTTCTGACGGTGTCTTCAAGTAAACTGTCCGTCAAAAACCGTTTCAAAGTAGATTGTGTTTGTGCTGAAATCACATACTCCAACAAGAAACTCGCAGTCACGTCTAACGACCCATATCCAACAGGATATTTCCAAATAATGGACCTTAAGGGAAAAGTGTCCTCAAAAGTTAAAATTGGCAATCCTCATTCAATTACTTCTGACGATCGGTACATTTATGTATACGACAGCAATAAGGATGCTGTAAATATTTACGACTGGCAAGGAAAATGTATAAGCACGAGCAGGTGTTCAGATGCAAGAAGTCTGACTTTGTTAGGTGACGGATCAATATATACTGTTTCCAGGAGAAACGGTACTTTAACACAAGTGTCCGGAGATTTCTCCGACAGAAACATTGTGATGAAAGATCTAGCGAGCCCTACAAAAATTTGCTGGAGTGACAAAAGTAGATTATTGTTCATAAACAGATTTACTTCAGATGAAAAATATGACAATGTTATCAAAGTCTACAAAAGATTCGTTTTCCATTTTGGGCCTGAGCCGGCCAGAGTACATGTACTTACAAAAAAGAAATAGCTTTAGAAATAGAAATAAAGGTAGAAAACTTATTAATAAGTTATTATGCATGGCATTTTAGACTGTGAGAAAGCAACAAAGTTGTCAATGAGAACGTAATAAACGAGAATGGTTTTTTGTCCATAAAGTATGTACTTTTGAGGTCTTGCTTCTATCCAACCTCGCCATGTGATTACCTATTTTTCATGTATATATTTTTTTTTTGTTTCACTGTTTTAAGCTTGATACTTATATACCGTTTTCTCCAGACTGACGGGTGATCGTCATTTTTTCAATAAACAACTTTCAAAATTGTGGTTCGGACAGGAGGCACTAAGTGAACAATGTTAATGGATAAAGTCACAGAAAGAAAGATTTCAGTCAAAATAAAACCGAGAAAAGGTCGCAAAAGAAAATATGTCCTGTATTTGATAAACATTAATATAAATTTGTGCAAAAAAATTTATGATTCATTCCATGAGTTACCTAGTAGTTCAGTACATATAATGTACAAGTAAAGATTAAAATATACAGTCTATGTAGCATATGTTTGTTTTATCATTCAAAGAAAAGGTAATCAAACTTCCTTTTTTTTTTTTGAACGCGGAGTTCAGAATTCAGACGTAACCTTAATTTTGTTTGCTAAGAAAGCATTTCAAAACGGATCAGGGGTCTTGTCATGCATCATGCCAAGGTTACTTATGTTTTTTTTTGTGATGTGTCTGGTAAAAGTTAAATATGATATTTAATCTGGTTAATATCAATGCGAAGCTAGGTTATCAGTACAAGCATATTCCTTAGGTACCTTTTAAAACAAAAACTTTGATTTTTTTTTACTTATAGCACAAATTAATATAGTTTGCCTGAAAACTCAACAACAATATTAACAAGAACTAAGAACTGCCAAGGTTCTGGCAAGGATACCCTCGCACGCCACTTTGTTTATAGGATATTAATGTTTAGTCTGTCAAAAATACATTATGCATAATATTGTTTGAACTGACTTAGCTAAAAAGATTTCAGCGAACGGGTTTTATAGTACTGCTAGACCTGTTCGCTGAAGCCAATCCCGTATCGAAATCAACCAGAACCGTGACATATTTCACCTATTCTCACAAGATAGGCCCAAGTTTGAAATTTGAGTGTCTCTTGACAAAAGTTAAAACATATACACTTACACAGTTGAGTTTTGTTATTTTTTCAACATAACATGGTTCCTTCTTTTAAATCATATTCACAATAGATGTCAGAAACTGGTATTTAGAAAAAGAAATGAACAAATAATATCAATTTAAAAGAAAAATATGTTGTCTCTGTAAAGGGTTACATGATTTAACACACAAGTGCTGCATCAATTTGTTAAAAACTGAACATATTTTTTTTAATTTTTGTTTCACGACATGTTGAAGTTTGAAAATTAAAAGAATTTCTGAGTGAAACTCTTTGCATTATTCGTTATAAAACAAAACTTTCTTGTCTCCAAATCCAATGTAATCTACGTTACTTAGTTTGCACACAAAAAATACATAGCAATAAACACATTAAAAAAGGTGTTTAAACAGATGAAAATACTACAAAACATAGTATTAAACGATACGCGATACAATGATTAACTCATTTCATAAAAAAAACATTACACCAGAAACACAATTTATATTTGTAAAAGTAATTTAAGAATGTAACTACGTTACTGCTATACTCAAATATTGTGACATAGATGCTCTTTATAGACTATTATCAATTAGATTAGACTTGTTAAACATTCAATATTTCTTTATTTTGTAAAAGTTGAATTGTTTTGTAAAAAAAATTCATGCTCATGACAAATAAAAATGTAATCTACGAAATGTAATCAAACGTTATACCACGGATTTTTTCAATTTCTTGCAAATAATTTGATTTTAATGTCCGAGATATGTTCAGCTGTTTCAAGGTTCCCGTTATATATACTTCTAGATCAATATACACATAGTTTGTTTCCCTTTATTTCAAATTTGCCACATATTCCGCCATTTGCATTTGCAATTTCCCCGCGTAGAAACACTATATTATACTGAGTTCCAGTTATCTTTAGGAAAGTAAACAGGTAAGTGATAAAAATGTTTTTTTTATTATAGTTTTAAGATTATAATTGAATTATACATCTTTAATTTTCAATGAAATTAATCTTGTACACATATAATTCAAACATTTATTGCATATATAGTTACGTAATGGCCCACTAAGTTTTTAACAAATCCTTTTTTTGGTGTCCATTTTTACTTACCAAAAAGATTTTGTTCATAAAGTTTTTTGTCATATCTGATTCTACACAGATACATGTATGTTATCTGTGTTATACCAGATCATCTAAGATTTTATAAAGGTGTAACAAATGTGATACCAATGTTGGTAACGTAGGTTACAAAAATATCAAACTTGTGAAATCTGCAACACCAATAAGTAGTTCTTCTCCAAATATTTGACATGTTCCTATATTGTAGATCATTATATGATTTAATTTAATGTAATAACTCTGTTTGTTCCTGGAGAAAAAACTGTAATTTAGGCATAAAATAAATGGTTTCTAAAAATGGTAACGTTGATTACAAATAAGTAACGTAGATTACTTTTCTTTGTTTGTTTCAAGCAAGAATGGGTATATCATATGCTGAAATACAGCGAGCCTTTGTGGGAGGAAAAATCAAACATAAAGAGTAAATAACTTGAAAAAAGAACGAAAAAGAACAAAATCCTACTGAGCTACAACAGTTAAAAGATAAAAAAGAGGGGGGGGGCCTTTAGCGACCAGAACATAGAATGTCAGAAAAAAATGTCCAGAAATTGACACAGAATGAAAGAGCTTGAGACTCAAATATAAGTTAATACATTAATTGGTCTGGTTGTGTTCAAGATGAAGACAGACTGATTGTCGATGATGTAAATAGTGTACGTTTAAGCACCCGGAAACACGAAAATAGTAGTTAGGCACATAGGTACCTTGGACTGATTGAAGAGATTGTCATAGTTGATGACGATTTTCTTGTTTCATACTAGCAAAACCGAAAATGTAAAGAGGTCAAAGCACCAACTTTCAATTGGCCAAACAATGCCGACAATATTTGTGTCAAGTTAGAAGACGGTTTTTCTGGCATAGATGAGTCATCCAAAGTTAGTTGTTATGTGCGCTCTTTCAGGTTAAAAGAGGAAGAGATAAGATAAATTTAAAGCGCGACATTCAGCTTTCATTTTTGTTCTAAAATGTTTTGTTTTTTTTTTCAAATTAAGTATTTCAGTAATTCAATCTTAGAAAAGTGCAACATATCACTGTAAGAACTACTTTAAAACAGTGTCTAAAGATCTATTTAATTTTTTAGAACGCCGGTGATTTTTGTTTCTAAAAATAGAAAATCGGAAAACGAATCACACGCTTTACTAATATTAAAATAGTTAGCGGACATATAGATTAAAGGAATCCAGGAGTTTAATTATTGATTCTGTAATTTATGATGGCAAATATAATTTTCCACCAATTTTTTTTTATTTGACTTTTATATAAACACAAGGCGCCTTTAAATAAAAGATTCAACTGCTTTGTTTCAAACAAAGCCGTTGTTTTTTTGTTTTTCTTTTTCTTTTTTAACTTTCAATAAACATCATGCCTAAAAATTAAAGATTTTCTGATGCGTTTGATCGGACTTTTCTATTTCAATTTAAGAAATAATTGATTTTCTTTTGCAATAGATCGGACATCAACATTTTATTGTTTGACGTGTTCAAACATATATAAAAATCCTTGAATATAAGGTAATCTACGTTACCATAACTGGTCAATTCTTTTACTTTGTTCATTTGTTATTTTTGGTCTGAAAGTAACAGCTTTAAACCAAGTCATAGACTTTGTTATAGTTTATAATTTTTATATATATGATAAAAAAGATAATGTCTTAATGGCATTCACGAGGTATTTTACGGACTTAAGCTATTAGTTTCTTAAAGAAATGATAAATGAATGTGTTTGAGCATAAACCTTTCATAAATTTATCTCAGTTGATGAACTTATTACTGATAATTACATCTAAGATTATTCAAAAGAAAAAAAATGAAACATAGCTGTCATTTTATCTTTAATCTTTGAGATTTTTTGCTGTTGCCCAGTTAAAGGTGCACACTTTGTAATTTACGTTACCATTTCCTAGTCGTGTTTATATCGGTGTATGCTGCATACAAAATATTTTTTTCAAAGTCAAATACTGTTGTATGCTAATATTTGGTGCTTATAATTCATAATAAAATCAACTAAATAAGTACAACAATGAGTTTGTTTATGTAGCTATTATTACTGATGATCATATTTTCCAGAAATATTCAACCCAACATAAATGAAAAAGTTAAAGCTTGGTGTACGGTTTTATGAAAACCTGTGCATAAAATATGTAATGTTACTTTGGCAAATTATTTATCGAAGTGACTATCTGTATCAAGTGCATTTATAGAATATATCAAAATATCTTTAATATGACCATTGGTTTATTTTTAGTTAAGGTAACGTAAATTACATTTTGCAAAAGTACTCGATTTGTTTCAGTGGCTGTTCTACAGATAATAATCGAGTTTGAGTGCTGTAACTTTCCCAATTTGTCAGACACATATCTCTTTAACCATCTATGTAATAAAACTTTGATAAAAAACAAGTTCATTTTTTAACATTTTGTCAATTTAAGTTGGGCCTATCTTGTGAGAATAGGTGATTTATGTCATGCTGTAATTCAATAATTTTGCGTGATCTGGACAGAAGCTATTTTAATACAGGTAGTTAGATATATTTGGGACACTTCAGTCTATATTTTTGAACACAGAATGTTAGATTTATTAAATAATGCCTCAAAGTTTATCAGTGGGTTCACATTACATAAAATTCGCCGCCATTGCTGCCTTAATTATCACGTGACTAGCGAGAATTTAGGTTCGGATACCTTTGCATGACATTTGGTGACCCGTGACCCAAATGCTATTTTTAATTGAAAACATGGCTTTTGCAAGTATGAATAACGGTGTATTTATTCAATAACAGACATTGTACCAAAAACAGGTTGGATTTATAATGTTTTGTGTGACGATTCATGAATTATGTGTTTGTTTTAATTTAAAATCGTACACTTACTAAAAATAGTGTATGGTCCGTTACTAAAAATAGATGCTAAAATTCCCAAAACTTAAAGTCCCCCGAGCTTTCATTTGAAAGCAGACTCCATATTGGTAAACATTCTCTACATATTTCCCTTACAAATAGTTGGGTACGCAATGTCATTGAAGTTTCATTTAAAAATAAAACATGAAATGATTCAAAATTGATTTGCTTATCAAATGGTATTTTTATTTGAGCCAAATTTGATTAATAAGGGTGATTTAAATAGGTTTTATGTACGGCACACGAACTGCCAAAATTCTGGTAGCCTTTGCAAAAAGGGTTGACCCATAACTTTACTGCCGCACAACGTCAAAATAAAAGCGACATATAAAATTATGGAAGCCAGAACTAGAACTGACTAAGTCTTTTTCACCTTAGAAGAAGTCGTTGTGAAACTTTCAATAATATCGCCGCAATAGTACTTAAGCCATGCTGACCCTGACATGGCAGAATTATCTTTTGCCATATTGAGCATATACATCGGTACCGTTGGCCTACTGGTTAAGTCGTCCGCCTTGTCGTCCGACTTCGGATCGGAAGGTCGAAGGTTCGAGCCCCACGTGGAGCGTTAATTAAAGGATGAATGTTAAACGTGGGACTCGTTCCGAAATGGCCACGTTATGAGCCGCTGGGTTAAAATGAATGGTTACCGATTTCTATCCGCCTTGCGCCTGGCATAGTGGTAGGAGTTAGGCGTTAAATGGAACTTGGTATGCAAGCGAAAGGTGTCTCATAAGTCAGAAATGGCTGGCCTTTCAGAAGGGGTGACACAATAAGACCTTCACCTTTTTTATATATCCGATTAATGACCTACGTTTCTTATTCGTATCCAACGTATCGGTGTAAAAATTATCATTCACAACAAAAATATACAACATTCTCTTAGTTACATATAAATCCCTACATGAGAATATTATTGCAGTTATGGCAAACACTGATGAGGCACCTCACACGCACACAAATCGTACAGTTCGATTTTAGAGAAGAAAAAGATATCCAAATGACCATAGCTTCTGCATAAGGAGATGTTTCCAATACATGCTAGAATAAACGGTTTACATAAATTTAAAGGAAATCCATTTTGTATTGTATTTTCATATTCGCAGGCAAATCGTTTCAAACCATCCCATTTTTTCAACAACAAAAATTTATTCAATGATACATAGCTACATGCTTACACAAACAGTTAACAAGACTTTAAAGGGAATTTATCTTGTATTGTAGGAACAATAGCATTTACAATCCTTGACAAAATGTTTGCCGGAGTACGATCTAAAATACCATTCATTATCAAAGTGCCTTCTTCATAGCATGTTCTAAATCGTAAATGTAGTATGTATTTCAATTAATTCTTTACTTGTAACAAAATAATTAATCTTCGTTTACTTCTATTTAATCTTATATAACACAGCCTTTCAATTATATACATTGTACGTGGAACCATTTAATCGTATTATTACCTCATGTATTCATCATAATATTGATAATACCCCAATTTTTATCAGGTCTGAAGCATATACAAAAGCTTGCTAGTAATGGTCGTACAGAAATTCGGCTCGAGATGACTCGAAATAGCAGTGAAGAAGGTTTTGAAACGTTTAAAGATTTCAAGCTAGTTGACGGGGACGAATATAGGCTTCATATCAATGAAGACTCCGCAACACGCTCTTCTGGTAAATATTTTATTATTTATATATAAATAAATGAAAGCATTTTATAAGCTTCAAGCATTTTTATTTTAGAAATATTTGCAGATAAATTGACAGTTGCAATACATCGTTTGGAATTGCAATTTTTGCAAAGGAAAGGTTTAACTAAAAGGTCTTACAAAATTATCAGTTAGGTATAAGCAGATAACTGTTTGATATACAAATAGTGGTTCCATGCTGTTCGCTATCAGTTTTTTTACTTGTTATAGGGCCTGTAAGCGAACAGTATGGATCCTGATCAGACTGCGCGGATGTGCAGGCTGGTCTGGATCCATGCTGGTCGCAAACCCATTATGTTGGTTATGTCATGACGCGGCTCATTTAATTCTGAATGAAGAACATTTTCTAGCATTTTTGCACATAAAGAAAGTGTATGTTGACACTGATATCAGAAACTGGCACTTTTTATGTCCTCTCAGGTATTTCAGCCAATGTATCCTTCGCATACAACAATGGTTCGCCGTTTTCGACGTATGACCGTGACATGGACAGATGGCTAGGTGAAAGTTGTGCGCAGCGTCGACACGGTGGCTGGTGGTACAACTATTGTACGTTTGTCAACCTTAACGGGAGATATTGTGATCCGGGGTCTCTATGTACAGCATCATCTGAAGGCCACAATCACCGAGGATTTGCTCTGTCAGAATCGCTACTAAACTCTCGTATGATGTTGAGGCGTATAGGAAAATAAATGTGTGGGATTTTTATCTGATTAACATACATAATTATGATTTTGCTCAGTTTGTTTTAAAGTTATAACAAATATTGCTATCATATTTCAAACAAACTACATAATGATGTTGCATAATGAAATTGAGTTTCACGAGAATATAAAGTTAAATGGCAATATAGGTGACACAGCCATAGGCACTTGGTTTCGGGATAGAAACCTTTTTGAGAGGTTTGTAGAACTCATATTTAATTGAATGTATTAAACGAGTTTTTATTTCTTCAACGTCGATTTCTCTTTTCTAAAACCGTCATTTTTCTAATGCTACTTATTTAACAGAGCATGTATAGTAGCAGTGTTCAAAGTTTAATGGGATGTAAAGTCATTTTCAATATTCTATCAATGCTATTAGTTTCATGATTTGTATTTCTAAAAAAAATTATGACAATGATTAAAAAAAAACACACTTTTTTGTTTTGCTTGATTTTACGTCGAACCGGCATTGAAAAGGTCATTACGGTGACATTCCAGCTTTCCTGGTCCAGTAAAGCTGGAATATCACCGAGTGGTGGAGGAAGGTTTCAGGCATCAACGGGCACATAAGAATAACCACCGACATTCCTTTAGCTAGTTAAGTAACTTCTACACATGAAAGAATCCAAAGTCCCTTTTAAGCTCTTAATATTAAATGCAGAAGAAAAACTGAAAGGTTTTTTTGCAAAAATACATAAAAAACAAGAATAAAGATCAACAAGGCAAAGGCAACGGTTACAGGATGCGGCCCCGAAACACTTAAAAAAAACTAGAGCGGACATAAGGGTGAAAGGAGTGGGACATTTTATGAGAAATAATATCAACTAAAACGGACCCTTAAGGGAATTAAAGGGATAAGGCTGTGAGGGTGAAAAGGTGGGGGCGGGGGTTAAAATGGGTGAGAGGGGATTGAGAAAATACTTACCGTCAACGGCAATCCAACAAGACAGACATCACAAAACATGTAACAAAACAGACATGAACAAGCAATTATCATGGTATTGCAAGCAATCCATAAGTCCCCTAACGGTTAGAATCCCAGCAACATTCTGATGGGCCATTGGCCATTCAATTTTACCAGTGAATGAATGACATGAATGAACTTAAATCTTTTGAGTTCTATAAGTTTGTCTGTATCACAGTAATGTGTTACGTTTCCCTGCCTAGTAAGGAAATTATGTTTATACAACCTTGTCATATTATTACGATGTGGAATTTTAAAGTAATTCCTATAAGGAATTAAGACGCTAAAGTGAAAAATACCAATTTCTCGAAAAAGTTCTAAAAAAGATCTAAGTTCATGGGAGACATAATTCTGGAAATAGTCTTGCTAGAGTATTCAACCTTCTCCAAAATGTTGAGTAATAATAAGAAACGTATAATATATATATATAAAGTTTGAAATAAATACATTAGGAATTAAAGAAGTTATTTAACAAAGAAAACATTTTTTTTTCATAAATATTCTAAGTGCAAGGGAGGTAATACTGATATTTTTTGTGCTACAGTTGTTAACCTTGTCACATATGAGGTGTTTGATGACCAGAAACCTATATTTAAAGTTTACAGTAAACACCTTAAGAATAAAGAACTTATAGTGAAAAAGGTGAAAAATTTAAATCAGAAATCTTGAAATACAGGCTATTTGTTGTAATAGCAACCAGAAATTTCAACATAGGAAGAATAGAAAAAGATATGCATAATCTCCAGAATTCCATCCATCCATATTTCAAGTTTCGTGAAAATATTTTCAGTACTTTTTTAGTTATCACGTGATCCAGTTTATGTTATAAATATGCCATATTTTCAGACTATTTGTTGCCATAGCAACCAGAATTTTCAATATAGGAAGAAAAAAAGACGTGCATAATTTCCATACTGCCATCTATCCATATATCAAGTTTCATAAAAAATATTTTCAATACTTTTTGCGTTATCGCAGGATCCAGTTTTGTGGACTGACGGACAGACGTACAGACAGACGGGCGGAGGGTTAACCTAAAGTCCCCTCAGGTTTGACCGGTAGGGGACCAAAAACACGCGAAAGAACACAGAGGGGTACCACCTAAGAACGGTCAGTGGTAGTTAAACCACTGGGAGTTAAAACCGGTTTTAGGCGCGCCAAACCTCACATTTAGCCCCAATATGTTCCTGATTGACATTAAAGTGTTAATAAAAATAATCCCCGCCAAGTGAAATTCTAACAATGGTCAGGGTTACATTAGACAAAATAAATAAAACACATACAAAATTATGTAAATATGTAGAAAAAACCACAGCCTAATGACCATTACCAAAGTACCCGATGCCTTAAAGGAAAGCAGAGCCACAAGAAAATCACCTACAAGGGCCCGACGAAGCAAGACAGAAGACAAACATTAAGACAATTCAGTCCCAAAGGGCTTTAAGAGCTGTCCATCATAGAGTCTCTCACTTAGTCCGTCAGAAATAATTAAGAGGAACGTACCGTCCAACTGTAAAAGGGTTGAACACCAAGCCCGTCACTTTTATTACATAAATATTTTAGAAAGGGAAAATATTTTGCAATTACAACCTTATCCTGTCTAATTTATGAAATAGTTTTTATCATTCAAATGTTTATTAGATATTATCATTACATAGGGACTTTTTTCGTCACTGTTAACATTTAAGTACCCTTCTGGAAGGGTTATTTTTTTCCCAAGGGGACATTATACATCTAATTAGCTACATGACAGGGACAATTTTGACCGTAAAGCCATGAATTCTACATTTATAATACAGGGCTGCCAACAAGAATAATTGAAATCAGAGGAACTATTCGCCGGGGAGCAGCGTCTTTGTGAGGGACCAGGGCGCCTCCGGGAGCTCTTGGGATTTTGTATTCTGAAGGACTGAAATCTATATTGCCTATAATTTCATACCAGATGTTAAATACCTGAAGGCATTGTAGTTTTTCAGCAGAAGTATCTACATTGTTTCATATACTAATCTACACAAAAAAAGTGACTCAATGATTGGCACACCAAAATAATAATCTATTAAAGTTATAGAGGTTCGCTAGGCTATTTATCTTACCAAATATAACAAAACTTTAGAACATATACTTTCAAAGAAGAAATTGAAGCATGTTTTCCTATATACATGTATGTCTTTGTAAACTAAGTAACATCCTGGGGTATGGCCAATTTTGGTATTGTGGGAATGATTTTTAGCTTTTTTAAAACTTTTGTAGAGGACCATAACCTTACTAACTATAAAGTGGAAGAGAATGAAATATTGTTTAAAGAAAGAAATTGTGGCTAACTTCATACAACAGAATACAGACATTTTGCTATCACATAAGCTTCCCACTGTGCACTTTGTGCTGAGGTGGGCTAAAAACAGACAGTGCTTAATATATTTCAAAACGAAATTTAACAAATATTTGTTAAACATAAAACAAACAGTTTAAGTTTTATCCTTTATTAGAAAAAGAAAATACAAAGATAACATTCCAATAAATCAGGAATATAAAGTATTGTAATGCAAACTATTGTTAAAAGGGACTCCACTGAAATAACAGGACTGGAGATGATTCTTGGAGATCAATGTTCAGTGTAGACTTAGGTCTAGACTAATAACTTTTGTTCAAAATTTCAGATCATTTGCTCACTCCGTTTTTCCAGAATAAGTACTCTACTTGTGAAAAACACCTAAAATTGAAAAGCCTTTCACTCAGGCTAAGAGAAGCACATCAATATGATTCTTAATTCATTTCTGAGTATGTTTCTTAAATATCTTTTACAAATCTTTCTTTTTCAAGTGCCCCAGCAGATTTATGTTAGGAATTCATATTTTATGTTTTTGGACCCCAGTGGAGTTCCTTTAATATATTAAATAAAAGCAAATTAACATTATTTTAATTTTGCATATACAATAGTGGGTTAGTTATTCCTTTTTCTATTATATGTCTATTACTACACCTTTCATATTTTTCAAATATGACAAATTCTAAATTTTAAGCATTAATAATGTTAAACATTTGAAGTAAACTTTTACAAAGTCTAATAAAAAATCTATATAACTAAAGTGTCACAGTTGGCTCATTATAAAATATATACATTCTTCTCATTGCTGCCATTTTGAGCAAATGTATAATGATAGGAAACACGGACATTGGACATTCATGTTTATCGGACATTCATGCTTATTATTACTGCATCTCCTTGTGAAAGAATGAAAAAATAAAGCCTTATAAATCTCATATATCTTAACAAGTTACCAAACAAGGATTTGCAACACCTCGATTAAGGGAATTTTTACATGAAGCAAAAAATCATGCTATTTCAAAAGATTGAGGTATGGATCTGGACTTCCAGCTGTGCATGACATGTCTTATTATTGTAAACATTTGTACCCAGAAATTTCATTGTTTCATTAATAATTATTCTCACTCACTGTCATGGTAATGCTTACACAAAAACTACTTCAGTTCTAAATACTTATATATTTTTAAAGAAATACATTTATATACTTCAACTTATACATTAAAATTTATTCAGTTCTCATTTTTCTACATTTTGTCACATAAATCAATAATTTAATAATGCTTTAGACAGATCAAACATGATTGTTAATGGATTTAGAGTATGTTAGATGTTAAACAACTGAAGAAAGTAGCACCTTACATGAAATAATGTGTCTTTAAGGTAGCAAAATGTAAACAAAGTAGTATATTCACTTCCATACAAAATACTAAATTACTGTAATTTTACAAATTGCCAAAGAGCTAAAGGAGCAACAAGATAGTTCATCTATATGAGTAACGATTGGAAATCATAGCATGATACCTAAAGTAAAATGTTTTTTGTTGTTGTTTTTTTTTTAAAATAAAAATATTAGCATTTCTGAAGCTTAATGGGCCTTTAAGCTGTTATTTCATTACATAGTTTACAAATATTTCATTTTTTGACAAATATGTTTACATTCTTGATGTGTGTATATCTAAAACATGATACTTAAAGTACAAACCAAACAAATGTTTACTTTACAATCTCTTTCAATAAAAATGTCAATGTAAATATCACAAAAAAATGTTACAACCAGAGAATCACAATTCAAAACCTACAACCTTGCTCAACATGGTATAAATGTATTCAGATCAAAAATAAAAAGATATTAAATGTTATAAAAGATATTAAATGTTATAAAGCTATATCTTATGGGGTTTTTTTATAGGAATTATAGAAATTTTAACAGTAAATGATAATCCAAAATGCTGGAACATAAAATTCCTTTTTATTTCACATACATACATATTGTAGGTAAAGAAAATAAAATGTTCTGAAATAAAATAATAATTGCTGCTATTTAATTATGAAAGGTTTTAAGTTTTAACTGTTTTCTAGTGTTTAGCAAAGGTTTTGTTCATGCACCACCCACTTTCAAAGAAATAAAGAAACTTACTTCTTTCATGATAAAAAATATTTTTGAAGTATTCTTCTTTCAAAACCAAAATATTGATTTTTGGAATCAGAGATATAGCTTTATACATTTTATCAAACAATAATTATGCACCATTCATAATCAATCTGCTTTACTCTAATGATATAAATCTGGAGAAGGTATGATCCCTCGGAAGAATTACCACAACAAAATAACATGAAAATTGCAGACTCGGTTTGATCGAGTTTGATTGAGTTCGTACATGATAAACTCTACTAAATCTATTTATATGACTATTCTTAACACAGAACCATTTAATAGTTAATTACCTGGTAAATGGATTTAGTTTTATATATTTAGCAACCAGTAGTATAAAGAATGATCTCACTAAATAAATGTGATGAAAGAGATTATCATGGCTTTGTTTTTGGCAGTGAAAAAATCAGTATAATAGGTAATGTCAAAAGTTAAAATTGCATATTCAACACATCTTGTGTTAAAACTAGGAAAGATTCAAATATTGTAAGTGCACCAATATATGTAAAACTAAATATATGGGAAGAAAATGAGGGTTTTGCTGTAAAAAATTAATAAACTAATATCAATAAAGTGGTAAAATAATACAAATGCACCAAACTAATAAAATATATGAACTTCATTTCTGAATTCTTAAGATAAATGAATACAGTTGTCTCTTTGCCTCAGACAGTTAACAGCCCATAACAACATGGCGAGAATGTTTGGCCAAAGCCTCACATGGATATTGTATAATAGCAATTTCACTAAACTCAGCACCTAATTTTTCCTCCAATTCCCTTCCCTACCTAGTGAAAAGTTAAGATATACTGGGATACTACATATTACCGGACAAAATATGATGTTTTTTCGATGTAACTTTTATTTAAAACAATAAAAAAGAATGAAATTTTACCCAAATAATTGTGGGTTCTTAATATACGTAAACATTCCTTTATCAAGCATAAAATTAAACATTTAACCGAAGAAATGTGTCTTTAAAGTAGGGCATTAAAAGAGGAAAAAAATCGTGTAGACAACTCAATTTACCGGACATTGTGTTTCAAAATTTTTTGAAGTCTTGAAAATGGAATTAAGCAAGGAAACTACAACTATTGAAAGGCAATGTTAAGATACTGGAAAAACACAGTATGTCACTAAAATAGACACTGCAGCCATGCTTGTTACGAAGAGGCCAATATAGGGGTGTGATTGAAATTAACACTATTAACTCAATTAACGTATTGATACTTCAAGATCCTTAAATGTATGACACATTTTGATATTCAAATGGAATTTTGTTGTTTCTCGATACAGTTTCCTTTTGGTCATCATGTAGTATGTTGCAAAAGCCATAAAGTATATTTTTTGTACATTTCATGTAGAGTTTCCTCCCATGGGCGTAACCCGTTTCCTTATATGTTTTTTAATTTGCATTCTTTGTAAAAGACAACAACGAGATATTGTTTGAACGAAATTTAAAATTACTTTTTATCATTATTAGAATATGTTACGATTGTCTCCTGAGGTAACATTGAGAAGAATTAAAAGTAAAACCTATCTAAAATAACTCATTGAGGGCCTCAATATTCGGGAATGCGCAGAACAGATTATTCCCCCGCATGACCAGGTCATGGAATAACTAGTAAACAAAAGGGTATGTAAATAAATAAAGAACTGAATCAACAATATTTGCCTGAGAGTGATTTTGTTGTTATTTACTTTGAAATAGAAAGTATGTGTACGATTCAGACCAGATGATTTTTGAATCGAAGCAAAAAATAAAGCCTAATTTGACAGGAATAAACTGGTAAACATGTAGGATCCCAGTATCGGTTAGGACATGATTTAAATGAGATTGTAATTGATTTGAAAGCATGAATTTTCAAACAAAAATGTATCTACATTAAACAATACTATGTCAAAAACTGTGATGATAAACTCGACACAAAAAAACATATTAATGATCATCAAGCCTTAATCTTAAACTTAAATTTGGCACCATTTAAGCTGGAACAAATAATTCCTGAGCCAGATAAGACACTAAAATATCTGAGTGACCTGAGTGACTTGATTACCTGAAAATGATTAACAATTTTAAGTTTCATACCACACTTGAAATAAAGGTAAGGCAATAACTTGACAATCAGTAAAAATAACTAAACAATAAACTAAAGAAAAATGGTTCTCGTATTATTATCAACCCTAAACATGCTGACAATGGACTTTTCGAGCTTCCTTTATTTTTTTGGAACAGTCCATTACTAATCCTGATTGTATCAAAATGAAAATTTTAAGTTGCTCAGGCAACAGTATTGAACCTGGTCAGACAGCATGGATGTACATACTGGCTTGGTTCTGTACTGACAGAAAAACCACTTTCAGTTTCAGAAGGGTAAGGGTCAAGATCAATTTACTTTAAACTAAAAGTATAACACTATATAAATAAAATAGACAAGCTATCAAAGTAACATTTAGATATAAAACATACAAAACAATGCATAGTTGTTTTTTTTTAACTAGGAATGCCTCTAGATTGGGTGTCATTAATTGGTTTACAACATTTCAATGCTGCAACCATTAAATAATGAAAAAATAATGATTAAAAATTTACTTAATTCATATTAAATCCTTCACCCCACCCATTCTTTATAAGCAATGCAATTTGAAACAATCCATAGGTAATCTTAAAAAATACAAAAATTGAGTCAAAATAGTAAAGACAGAGCACACAGATATGCTTGCCTAACTATAGATAAAACTTAATCAACAGACTGTGATAATAAGATTGACTCAGCCCCACTACACATTGTTTTGTGTCAAAAAAAAAAAAATTTTAAATTGCCCAAAACAAAATTGTTTTTTGTATCATTAAAAATGAATTTTTTTCTATATAAATGAGGATTTCATACAAATAATTTCTTTCTCAAAAGTGTTTCATACATTCCCTTAATATAAATATTCTGTCCAACAAATCTTCATGTACATACAGTTCCAAATATATTACAGTTATGACCCCAATGTATATAAATCGACACAAATCTTGAGGCATGCCCCCTTTAAAACAAAGCATAACTAAACTAGATATTAGCATTAACCTTTAACCATTATATCCCTACACACTAATATTTAAACATAAAAACAAATCACACATATCACTGTGAGGAGTATTTTTCTTGCCTACAAACCTTTACACGTTTTCTAATAATAACTGTAAAAAATCTCAAAAATATAACTAAAAATTCACAGCCAGGACAAAGTAACATTTAAAGCTGCATAAGGATATGTTATATAATATGTAATATATAATATGATAAAATGTATTCAATCTTTTTTGGAAGCCTTTGCCTTGGACCTTGTTTCATATGTTCTCACTGTATTCGTTGTTGTTGTTATTGTTTCACTAATTATGTCCCCTTGTCCTCCCAAAAGAATCTAGAAATAAAAATTGTGGTAATATAACCAAAACATAAAACTGTATAATAATTTTTTTAAGTCAATAAATAGGAAGATGTCATGTCAAATCCTTATCACTAAAAATTATCTATCTTGTAAGCAAGTAAGTGGGAATGTGGAATGGGTTTATACACATCTTGAAGGCAACAAAGAGTTTTTACATATTTACATATCCATTACATTGATATGACTTAAAAAGTCCCAAGGATAGCTTGACACAATAAAATATTAAAAAATAGATTATACGCACACTGCCCATCCACTTTGAACATAACTTTCTTTTCTTTCTTAACTTTTGCAAGGATTTCAATCAGATATTCAAATAACTTACCTTCATCAGATATTCAAATAACTTACCTTCATCTCAGCCCAGGACTGCCACAGTAACAGTAAAGGTATCACCACCCACAGCATGTTGAAGAAAACTAAATACACCCATAGATAAAGCCAATTATCTGTGTGCAGGTACTTGCTACCTGTCAACCACTCCGGACAAAATGTCATCCATCCTAATAAAGTAAATAAAACAGATAACATTAGTCTTAACCTGCAGCAAAGGAATGTAATTAGGCTTAGTGTTGGCCATCACTCACCAGTATAGAACCAGGTCAGCCTGCATGTCTGACCAAGCTTATTACTGCTGGTAGCTCAGCTTTTTTTTTTGATGTTGAATATTCTTTAAAAGCTTGAATTGACCGTTTATATCTATTTCCATTCTAACATAATTTTAATAATATTATCTAATAAAAAAGAGAACTGATAAATCTATATGTTGAACTAAATTGTGTGTAAAAGTAATTTTCCTGAAGTAATTTGGTTTATTGATGTCATATCTGGGGTCATGTGACGTGTAAATATTCCATTTTAATTTATTTTTAATCCTGTGCATAATTATATCGTGTAATAATGCACTTGATTGCCCTATCTATAAGATTTATGATTATTAGAGTTATGATTAATATAAAAGTAAACTGAGGTTCTTCCAATGTAGAGTGATAGATAAAGGAGTGGCTAAAATAGTCAATAACAAGGACTAAGAAATGTTGTTTTCTTTTCAGAAGTAATACAAAATGTAAACTATCATGACAGTAAACAAGAGCTGTCGGTAGGACAACAACGCTCGACTATTCTCAGCGCTTGTTAGTAAAAAAAAATGCTTGATAGAGTTACCTCCTCCTATTTACAGCTTGGGGTCATGATGGTGAACAAGTGTGCAAAGTTTCAAAGCCATATGTCAATGGACTTTGAAAATATTTGAACTATTACAAAAACTTTAACGTAAATTCTAAGTCGAAAAAGGGGCATAATTCTGTCAAAATGCTTGATAGAGTTACCTCCTCCTGTTTCCAGGTTGGGGTAATGATGGTGAACAAGTGTGCAAAGTTTCAAAGCCATATGTCAATGGACTTTGAAAATATTTGAACTATTACAAAAACTTTAACGTAAATTCTAAGTCGAAAAAGGGGCATAATTCTGTCAAAATGCTTGATAGAGTTACCTCCTCCTATTTACAGGTTGGGGTCATGATGGTGAACAAGTGTGTAAAGTTTCAAAGCCATATGTCAATGGACTTTGAAAATATTTGAACTATTACAAAAACTTTAACGTAAATTCTAAGTCGAAAAAGGGGCATAATTCTGTCAAAATGCTTGATAGAGTTACCTCCTCCTGTTTACAGGTTGGGGTCATGATGTTGAACAAGTGTGCAAAGTTTCAAAGCCATATGTCAATGGACTTTGAAAATATTTGAACTATTACAAAAACTTTAACGTAAATTCTAAGTCGAAAAAGGGGCATAATTCTGTCAAAATGCTTGATAGAGTTACCTCCTCCTGTCTAGAGGTTGGGGTCATGATGGTGAACAAGTGTGCAAAGTTTCAAAGCCATATGTCTATGGACTTTGAAAATATTTGAACTATTACAAAAACTTTAACATAAGTGGTTACGCCGACGCCGACGCTCGGGTGACTGCAATAGCTCTACTTATTCTTATCGAATAGTCGAGCTAAAAAGCATTGCAATATAAAAGAAACTTACCACCATATAGTTCACAGACACATACACTTATCTGCAGGAAGTGTCTGTAATACCGTCCTTCTATAATGGCATATATCAACATTATAGCAAACAGGGTAACTATGGTTACCGTGAGAATTTCCAGGGAAACAATGGTTGGATCAGATATACCCCAGCGTTCATCCGCCTTTGCATACTCCTTCCCTGAAACAAGAATATCTGTATAAATACCAATGACCATAATTTATGATAATGTGATTTTTTTTATGGATATTTTTTTTTTGCAATTTAAATCTTAAACCTAACAATATTTTGGTGTTGTTTTTTTCTTTGTCTAACGTTTATGTTCTGGAAAACAAAACAAAAATGTGAAAGAAATATTCAGCCCAAAAGTGATGGAATGCATCCTTTACTGTATTAGTAACGCAGTAGAATTATAGTTGTAATTAGTGAAAAATAAGTCATTAATCGCACATAATATGTTAAATATTACTTGAATCTTGACACTTTTTAATTTTCCTTACATCTTAGTACATTTTTCTCAAGTTTGATTTTATTGAAATATTTTGACACATCTGGAGGCATGTAGCTTTAATACTTACATGTCATGGCAGCAAAATGGTCACTGTCCTGTACAGTACTGACCAGGGAGATCACTACAAATGACCCCTCCTGAAAAAATGAAATTGATATTATACAATCAGTTCCTCATAGTTCACTAACTACCTAAATGTTTTTGATGATGATGGCTTACAAAATCTAACAGTAACATGTCATGCTTTCACTTCCTTGTAGTCTGAAAAAAATCTTTACTGCTAAACACTTTTGTAAACAATGCTAATGGAAAGGTTAAAAGTCAATTCAGAGCATGTTCTTCACAAAAGTATAGCGGGCAGTGGGCACCAGGATAAAAACACAGAAGTTTTACAAGCTACCTTGATATTTTCCTGACAGGATTTATACCCTCAGCATGCAGTGAATAAGGGGCAAGCAGTATAATATAGGACAAGCTAATGCTTGTGCATGTTAATAATTATATTAGTACAATAATTGAATAACTGAAAAATATCTGGATAAAATTTAATTGCTTAATTCATTATATCTAATATAAGTTAAAGAAAATAAATGTAATAACATGCATATAGTTAAAGGTCACAAGATACAAGATGTGCTTTTGTTTGTTTTTGTTTTTTATTTCTGATCTATAAATTTAAAGAAAAAGTATAATGTTTTTCATTTGTACTTCAATCACCTCAGGCTCTAACTTGATTTTATTCTCTCAAATTTTAAATAGAATACAACACTGATAGTTACTGGAACACTATGTTTCTGCCTACATGTATGTAACATACTTATATTAAATTCTGTCACTTTAACCATTTGCTTTACACTATAGGCTTCAGGAAAAACTGCTGAAAAATTTTACATGTGGAACATTAAAAAACCGCTTTCTGATACATTGTATAAAATTTGAAAGTATAGAAACTCCACTTACACTGATATTGCTTATAACTATAAGTGTTTCTGTGGTCCAAACTCTTGTGGAATTAGCTGCCTCACTGATGTAATGATATCTTGATATAAGGATACAAACTTCGACTGTCCCCTAAATATTATTTTAAGTGGAGTTTTCTGTATTGAAATGTTAAAAGGATTTCTGAATACAAATACTCACTAATGTGATATGTATAAGAACATCATACACCAGCCAAATTAGTACCCAGTAGTCAATCTGTGACACCTTTCCTCTAAACACAGTGGCAAACAACCATCCAGTCACTGCATATACTGCTGTCAACAGTAGGGAAATAGTTGACTCTGCAGACAACAAAGTGTCAACCTCTTCTGTCTTATTGTACATGATTAAAAACTGAAAAAATTAAGTGTAAAATAGTTCGAGCCATAAATCAACCCTCAAGATTGACTCACCGACACTGTATTATTGTTCTAATTATTCAAAAAGATATCTTTAACTTAGACTTAAATACAAAGGCAATAATAATACAGACACTCAGGCAGAAGGGGGGGGGGGAGGAGAGAGAGGGGGATTAGATTTATTTCTGATAGGGGTTAATATTGCCAGAATACAATAAAAATGTAAATACTGACTTGAAATAGGTAAATATCATTACAACTAGGCCATCAAGATTATCCTATGTACTCAATGTAATAGAAAGAGCATGAAAACAGGAGGCTATCTGATTTGTACAAGGGGGCATAGACCCCCCCCCCCCAGTATAAATCAGATTTCAGGCAGTGATTTTCCTGCTTCTATAACAGACTCTGATAAAAAGCCTCTTCCCAATTGAAATTTTCTTTAAAATCATGCAGTTTTCCCAAAAATCTGAACTTAAACTTGCATTTTTACTGCCCAAATTAGCAATTTTTTCCCAAAATCAAGAGGCTAAGGCCTCTTCCCAATTATGTAAGAAAAGTCACTGGGGTGCCAGAGTGTTTTGATGTTCTTTCTCTTTTGTATCATAGGCAAAAATAAAAACATGTTCCCTCTTGTCACAATATGAAATGCCAGAAAAAAGTAACCAATGAACCCGCATCTGAATATGATATTTCTATTGCTATCCCTGATATTTCTATCACTCCCTTTCTCTGTCGTCAAAGTAACCAGGCTGTTTAAAATGCTTCATCGGGCTTATGACATAAAAAATAATATTTCTAGAAAAGTAATAAAGATATTTCTGTTAAGTTTTGTTTGTTTATTGAGCATAATAAATGACATAAACAGAAAGAAAAAATATTTGGGTACAGTCACTTTTGTAAGAATTATTTCCCTATTTTTATGGTTTAATAACAGATAATTTTTGAAATCCTTTAAAATTATGTCACATATATACAAAGTAGCCCGGGGTTCTATGATATCATGGTACTTAACGTTTAATTATCGGAAAATATTTAAATACAAATATCATCATGAATGAATGAGATTTTTCTTCCATCTTATAATTGAACCTTTTCCAGAACTGTTACAGTTTGTAAAGAAATTATTTCAAAAGAACCAATCAAAATGACATTTTTTAGAATATTTTCAATGTCTGCCATTTTGGGTAATTTCAGAGGAGGTTACTACGGTATCAAGGTAATCCCCAAAAAAGCATGTATTGAAGGATAGATGGGTCAAAACTTTCAAGTTAAGATGTGAAAAACTTCCAACAGTTAACTTGCTATAAAATTAAAACTATATGAACAGATTGTATGTCAGTATATGTGTTTATCACATATTTTAATTGACTGTGTAAAAACCATTAAGGAAATAGGTAGTCAAATATGAAGGTTTTATAGAAAAGTTTTCTTGCCACAAAAACATTCATTATTCACCAAATTTAATTTATTGGCAGATGAAAATGAATCTAGTGTGCAAGTTTTACAAATATTAGCATCATCATGTGTTGCTTTTACTAGCAGTCACAGAAAATTTAAATACCTTGATATCATAGAACCCTTGATATCATAGGAACCGAGTATATAAAACAAAATAGGTTCAATAACTTCTATCCCGAAACAACCAATTTTCAATCACAACCTTAATTCAAACACATTCTTAATTCTGTGGCGCTGATGTCATGTCTGACTAAAGTACATAAAGTCACTTGTTGTATTAACTTAAACACTTGCAGGAATGCCATACTTGATTAATTGTCAGATGTTATCAGAAAAACAATAAGAAATCGTTTATTTTATGTGACACAATATAAATTGCCCAACTTTAACTATCTCAAAATAGTCATTTGTTTAAAATAGTGGTAAAAATTGTTCCAATCAAGTTAATTTTTTTATAAAGTATTGGCTACAGAGTTTTACCATTTACCTCAGTCTTCGGTGTATTTAAAACACTTATTTATATGATGTACCTCTAAATATTCATCAGACTTTACGTAGGGGTCCTTATTGATAAAATCTTAAATTGTAATCAAGTTTTTTTCAGGTGATGATTGTAAAATTAATCTTTGTAAGCGATACCATTTGGCAGATCTAGACAAGTTTCCATATTTGGTAATATTATAAAGTGGGGAAAGTACAATGGCTGTAATAATTGGATACATTTATCATTTCGCACCTCAAATAGCATACTGAGAAGTGCCACCTTAAACTGCCCCTTTTATACACATTTACAGTAGTCATACCATACATTGTACTGTACATATGTTATAACATTAAGTGTAAGTTTTTTAAAATCCTGAAAAAACTGTTGAATATCATTGAATAGACTGTTGTGAAAATTGCTACAATGTTTAGTAGCCCTGATTTATCTTGAACGAATTCTTTAGTGGTGATTACCCTGCTGTTTGAATTTAGGTTAAAATAGGTAGACAGACGTTTCACTATTGAGACGGTTCACACCAAGACGGTTCACACCAAGACGTTTCACTCCCAAATGGGAGTGAAACGTCTTGAAGACATTTCACTCCCATTTTAAACCAAAGTTATTTTGATGCGTATGATATACTACAATAGACCTTAATTGTACTAAAAATGAAAGTTTGTATGTCATAATTGTTAAAGTTTAATTTTTTATTTTTTTACTTGATTAGAGAGATCTTTGATCTGATATCTTTTCAGATATTTATTCTTATTTAGGGAACGATATCATATATGACCGGATATAATTGTATGAAAGTTGCAGTTCTTTAAATATGTTGATGATAATAATTTATAAGTGATTATCTTTGCATTAGGTATATTTTAATATCAATAAGTAAAAAAAAAATCTGTAGATAATCTTACATAATATATTAGATATGATTATCTGATTAAATATTATTTTACTTTTGTTACAATTTATAACCAAAACTTATGGAGGAGTTTCTGTTTCCATGACTTTCGGGTTTTAATTGGCTGAACATTGTCTAAAAATATTTCAATGGTCCGATAAACAACTAATTAATAACTGTTGATGCTAGAGTGCAATGTTTATACAACTAATTTAAAATAGTGATGTCAAACTGTTAATTGGTGGTCTCAGTGTTTATACAACTAATTAGGTGATGAGAATACTGTTAACACCACAATTACCTAAGTTTGTTTAATGGCTACTGTTCAATAAATTGATAAAGAAATAATTTAAAAGAATGATTAATTTTATGCACATTTTCTGCATTTCATTGATAAATATATTTACCAAAAAACTAATAAATATATTTTATATATTGATATTATTTAATTACTGTACTGGTAGTGGTTTCAATATTCAAACTAGTACTTACAATGTGTCTTTGTTCATGAAAATTTTCATTTTGTTATTCTATTATCTTTCTTGATTTATTATATAAATAGAATTTTCTCATGTTAATTGTTACTCTTATAATAAAAACGATATTTCAGACATTTGTCTTTCATTTATACCTCTTATCATTCAATCCATATTTAAATGAGTATAATGATAATCTTCTAATAATTCATCATAATTATGTCCTCATTGAAACATTTTTACTCCTAATAATTAACAGGAATTCTTCAAAACACTGTTTAAACAGAACACAATTCACTTTTCTGAGCTGATACTATACTGTATCTATATAGATCATAATTATTTACACATTCTGTTATATTTTAGAAAAATTATGCTTTTATAATCATTCTTTAAATTCATAAATTCTTCTTAACAATACTCTCAAATTCAAAAAAATGAATCATTAAATTGAATTCCCCTTCATAATGAAAATAAATTTTCTTAATAAAAACATCTAAAAAATGGGAGTGAAACGTCCATACAATTGCCAAAATGGGAGTGAAACGTCTAGGTGTGAACCGTCTTGGGAGTGAAACGTCTGACATTCGTTAAAATATTCCTGGGAGTGACCTGAGTGGGTCATATCGTTTTTATTGTTTTTCTAAGAAAGATTAAGACATATTGGAAATGTACCAAGCTTAAAATGAATAAATGTTGATAGATGCATTAATATCTAAAATAAATTTAAAGCATAATTTTACCTTCCATTTATTATTGGCTTAAATCAACTAAACTGATTGAATATTGGTTGTTCCGGGATAATTCATTGCACCAAACCCTGTTAGTCAAAATATATTGACGTGCCAAAGCTTGATTCTGAGATATTTTCGTTCTGGGGCAGAATCTCGCTTTAGAGGCGAGATATTGCCCAGACACGAAAATAGCACAATATCTCGTCGCGCAGTACAATTAGTTGGACTACAAACCCTGTCAGCATACATTTTATTCAGTTTTCAGAGAAAACTTCAAAGTATAATGTCAGTTCAGTGTCAAAGAATTGTCAAAATGTAAATGCCAGAAACAGAATATTTAATCAAGAACATTTATTTGGGGTCGAAGTTAAATGGTGCGAAACATAAATTATTATGCCAAGTTCGAAAATTGAACCGGAATAAATTTCATGACAGACTATAAAATTGCCTTGAAATTAAAAGATAATTTTCAGTTTATGCGCTTAAATTATTTTCCCCAGACATATATACCTCTATACACTGCAAGCCTGTTCCACCGAAAAATAATGGTACGGGAATTATTGGAACGAATTTTACAAATAGCCGTATGTTCGAATAAGTATTGTAGAGTCTATATTTTTTAATACAATCAATAAAAGAATGTATTGGAGCCCACAATAATATGAATATATTTTTTTATTATATCTTGCATTTAAAATACCCATTAAAAAAGAAATTTGCAAAATAATCGAAACTAATTATAGATTCTATAAACTGACTCAATATTTTGTAAATCTTAAATGAATTTTGATTGGCTGAGTGTATTTACCGGAATAAATCTATATTAATCATAAATGTTTTTTGAAGTATGAGGCAGAAAGATTTATTTCTGATGTCATTAAAAACAATATTTATCTGAATTGTTTGTACCTTCCCGTTATGCTATTTACTCAGCAGGACTGTTTTAACAGAAATGGTTTCGTTTTGGCGGGAAAATCAGCATCCAATCAGAAAGCAGCTTCCAAATACAGAGTTTCATTGACAAGCTGGTCAGACATTTTGGGAAAAGTCGTGGTTTCTATAAAAGAACAAAAAAAAGTACTTAAAATACGGAAGATGACGACAGAATTAGCTTTAAAAGAACGCGGCCATTTGTACAAAAACAAAGGAAAAGATGCTGATGTAAGAGATAAAACCGATTTTTCTATATAGTGAAACGAAAGTTCCCAAAAATTATCCTGAAGGTCTAAAACGTAAAAAGACACCTCGTGTAATTTGATTAAAAGGATGTCTTAAATTTTAATATTCTGAAATTTCAAAACTTCTCAAATAGAAAAATTCTAAAGATATAAACGTAAAATCACTGTAAGCTCGTGTTCGAATTTCAAAAAAAATAATTCAGCTTTTAAAAACTCGAAATGCACAATTTTCCTTGTCTATTGTAAGTTGCACTGAATTATAATATTGAAGTAGGTGCTACTTGTGACGCTTAAAGCTGTTCTGAATTAGATACGAACGTAAACTTTTCAATACAAAACGGGTTTTTCCCAGACCACATAGGCTATATCCAGGATTAGACCCCAAGATCTAAACCAGGATTATATACATAATATAAGGTTCATTCCGTGTTTTTAGTGTATTATATACAAGTTTTACTTCTGAAATATTCATAGGGGTCTAATCCAGGAGATTGTCTAACCTTTCGAGTCAGCTTATAAAATAAGTCAAAACAATTCCCTGAATGGTATCTGATTTACTATAATATGAATGTATTAATCTGTTCATATTTTTCAGGAAATGCGTAGAAGAAGAACTGAGGTTACAGTTGAACTTCGCAAGGTATATTAATTTTTAAAAGTGAAATCTAAATTCAGTTCGACTGAAAAAGTGAAAAGGAAATTTTGAATACACTTAGAACATTCATTTAGAAAAATAATCCAAGGGCAGCATTCTAAATCATAATTGAATTTGAGAGGGATTACTTTTCCAGGCTTATTAGAATAGATACTGATAAATTTTGTTTTTGATTAAAAGTTCAGTTTACATAGAAGCTTTGTTTATTTGCATGGTTTAAATTGTCGCTGTTGTAATTATTGCTGTAAAGCTTTATTATTGAAACATTGGTATACATACATTTTCATTCTTTTTGATTGCTGACTAATTTTAATTATAGAATGTTATTTGTGAGAAGAAACATTTGTAACAGTATTGTTGATGTATCAATATTTTCTCTTGTGTATTGAATTGAGTTCACATGATACAGAATGATTAATGAGATTGTTTTCATTCACAGAACAAAAGAGAGGAGCACATGTTAAAACGCAGAAATGTTCCATTAACTGCCGACAGTACTGACAGTGACGATAGTGAGCGACCCTCGACCCAGTCTTTGCAAGATATTGTCCAGAATGCATACAGCTCTGAACCAGCAGTGCAACTGAATGCTGTTCAGGCAGCTAGGTAAGTCATTAGTGATGTATAACTTCTTGTTGGTTTTACTCTGGTGACATTTCACGTTTGATGTAATGCTTCACAATCAGTAAAAGTTAAACTGTAAAGTCACAATATGAATTCACTTCAAGAAATGTCTTTTTCATAACATGCATCCAGTGCTCTAACTAAAGCATTTAATACTTTGACAATAGCAAAGACTTAGTCAGCTGTGGTTAAGTTCATGTTTTAGCAGAGCTCCAGATAGCATGCGTATAAGCGTAGAATACGCATAGAAAATCTAAAATACGAATCACTTTCAAAATTCGTGCGTCAATGTTACGCACAACAAAATGAAAATACGCTTGTGTGTCAAAATTTAAGCGTAAAAGTATAGAAGTGTAAACATTTGATATTCAGAAACAGGATGTTTTGAGCATAAAAATACAATATATTTCCATTTTATTGCATTGAAAACTAAAAGTGCTGTTGTCAACATCGCATGTTAAAAACGAAAATAGCAGGAAGTACAGAAGGGAGGTAACTCCCGTAGATCAACCTGTGAAATTATTGACAGACAATCATCGTAGGAGTAGCAACCCCAGCTGATTTTTGAACAATTTTAAAATGTTATTTTATAATGACAGTTGTATAGGTCTTAATTAGAGCTTTTCAGAAATGCTTCCCTTTTTAAAATATCTTTAAAAATAAAAAAGTTATGACAATTTGAAATTTTGCTAAAACCGCAATTTTCTTGAAAATTTCCACTATATAATATGAAAATAAATATCTCGCGAACGCGGCACCGCGGAATGAAAATATGTCTTTTTACAAACAGTAAAATTGCCATAACTTTTTTATTTTTTATGATATCTTAATGAAATTTGGAACATAGCTAGATCACACAGGAACCCATTTAATGGTGTATTTATAACTACCATGTTTTACCATTCCTTTACAAAAGACAGCCACAACAATTGAGTCATATACAAACTTTTAATAATCGAAAAACACATCATTTATAAATATATACATGTATCACACATAATGAAATAGCAGGTGTTAGTTAATCATATATAATCAAGGATACATTGAAAACATTGACCAATTACTGTTATTTACATCAAAACATATAATGTTTATAATAAATACAATAAACATAAACAGCCTTTGTACTAAATGATAATATGTACCACACAGAATACAAATCAAAATTCAAATTTTGATTGATGAACATAAAAAATACACTGAAATCTATACTGTCATATTTACTTGCTGAAAAAAATGCATATCATTTGATTTTGAAATATATACACTTAATTACTATTTACACAATTATTAATAATATATACAATTTCCACAATGTACTTGTTGGAGTCAATAAACAGTTCAACACATTCATACAGTTCGACATTAGAAATATACATCAGAATACTTCTTGTAAATTGTGTCAATATTTTGCCAGTCTGTAATATGCCATAACCGGCCAGAATTTAAACAGTCTGGCATAAAACCAGCTGCTATCATGAACTCCTTATTCACAGTCTGTACATCTTCGCGGCAAGGCCAACTGAAGTGTCCGGGTTTTTTACTTGGCGACATGAAACGAACAATGTATTCATCCTTGCCAGTTACTTTCACTATAATACCAGGATACCATGCATCCTGGTATGCTATTGCAACATATTCATTTCACTGACACAGATTGTAACAGAGGATCTAATTGTACTAAGATGTTGTATAAATCATTTGAATTGTGTCCCAATGTTACTAAGTAATGACTGATTTCAATAACTATACCATTTAACAATGGTTGGGCAGGTTTAGTTATGTGTCCCTGTTGTAAATCAGATTTAGTTATATTGTGAAGCTCACAAAATGGACCAGGGTATTTGTCAGCCATGCTGAATCTGAAAATAAAAAAAAAATAAAATAATGATAATGATTTTTTATATTTATATGTTAAATTTTTAAAATGGCTGTGCATTTAATGACATTAAAATTCAGATATATTTCTCTATAATTCTAAGTGTATAAATAGTTCAAACAGGCATACATAATTTTGTAACTTATGAATAAAAGCTTAATTAACCAGGTTTTCCGAAGGAAAAAACTGGTTATTAGATTGAGGTATGTCGGCGGGCGGGCGGATGGGCGGACGGGCGGGCGGGCGTAAACAATTTCTTCTGTGCGCAACTCCTCCTACATTTTTCAACGGATTTTGACCAATCTTTCACAGAAGCTTTGTCATCAAGTGCCCTGGCGCATATTGTTGGGGTTTTGCGATTAGATAATATTTGACCTAATTATGGCCCTTTGTTTTTTTTCCTTATATAGAATATATAGTGAACAATTTCTTCTGTGCGCAACTCCTCCTACATTTCTCAACGGATTTTGACCAAACTTTCACAGAAGCTTTGTCATCAAGTGCCCTGGCACATATTGTCAGGGTTTTGCGATTAGATAATATTTGACCTAATTATGGCCCTTTGTTTTTTTTACTTATATAGAATATATAGTGAACAATTTCTTCTGTGCGCAACTCCTCCTACATTTCTCAACGGATTTTGACCAAACTTTCTCAGAAGCTTTGTCGTCAAGTGCCCTGACACATATTGTCAGGGTTTTGCAATTGGTATATATTGGACCTAATTATGGCCCTTTGTTTTTTTCATTATAGAGAATATTATAGTGAACAATTTCTTCTGTGCGCAACTCCTCCTACATTTCTCAACGGATTTTGACCAAACTTTCTTAGAAGCTTTGTTATCAAGTGCCTGGCACATATTGTCGGGGTTTTGTGATTGGATAATATTTTACCGAATTATGGCCCTTTGTGTATTTTTTCCTTATACAGAATATAATAGTGAACAATTTCTACAGTGCGCAACTTCTCCTACATTTCTCAACGGATTTTGACCAAACTTTCACAAAAGCTTTGTCATCAAGTGCCATAGCACATATTGTCGGGTTTTGTGATTAGATAATTTTTTACCTAATTATGGCCCTTTGTTTTTTTTCCTTATACAGAATATATATAGTGAACACTTCTTCTCTGTGCAATTCTGTGCGCAACTCCTACAATTCTCTAGGGATTTTGACAAAACTCTCGCAGAAGCTTTGTCATCAACTCTTGCTGCATGTTGTCAGGGTTATGAGATTTGATAATGTTTGACCTAATTATTGCCATTTATTTTTTTCCCTTATATAGAAATATATTGTTTTTGTTCCATATATAGAATATAAAGTGAACAAATTCTTATTTGCACACCTATTCCTACAAACTATTTTGACAAACTTTCACAGAAGCTTTCTCATCAAGAGTCCTTGTGCATATCATCGGGGTTTTGTCATTTTGGGTGGGCGGGCGGGTGTTCACTTTAAAACAAATGCCCCTGCATGACGAAGCTTCTGTGAAATATTTTGCTGAAAACCTGGTTGCATCGCATTGCGATGTTCCTTGTTAAATCTATTAAATCAATATTAAACTCCAAAAGATTAACAACAGGTAATTGATTATTGATTTGTAACATATTAAACTTAAGTAATTAAATGTAAGCCTTCTACATAATTTATGCCGAAAAAGTACGAATCGGAAAGGGACGAAACTACCCGATAAAAAAATTGGTCTGGCGAGGTTTAAATGACCAAAACACAAATAAAAAACATTTTAATTGTAAATATTTTATAAACAATTATCAAATAAATCAAATTCTACAATTTTAATGGTGTTTTCGCTAAAAACAGAGCAGAATTATCGGCGAACTAGATAAAAAAATTCGATCTTTCGTACACTCCGTGGCCCGGCGTAAAGGAAAGACAAATTATCGCCCGATTTCAATAAAATAACTTAAATAAAAATACTTTTACTCACCAAACATATTTCTCTATCAATAACAATATCTTTTTTATTTGTTTGAGTTACGAAAATGTTAATTTTCCAACTTTATTGGTTATTTTTCTTTACGATGTCGGTAAACAAGCGAAATCAAAATGGCCGCTCGTAGGTCAGAGTGCGTGACCTCGGGAAGTTTCAAAAACTGCATTTTTCGTCAGCACATGCGACCGGGTAATTTTCATTTCCGAAAGCTGATTTTGGTATCAAAATAAAATTTAGAACTTAAATTTTATGAATATCTATGTTGCATTTGAAAAAAAAAATGTATTAAATGAGAAAAAATGCTTTAACTTCGAGGGACTATAACTTTGCGTAGAAACATGATACCAGGCTTCGCGAAACTGCTGAAAAATTTGCCTGACATTAGGTCAGACAAACTTTCAATTCTTGTCTGACCGAAAGAACTTTTGTCTGACCGAATTTTTCCCCCCAAATATATGTATATGGTAATACCTTGGTGTTTTTTTTTAAAGACATCACTTTTAAAGATTTGCAACACAATTTTATTCCCTTAAATAAAACATTAGTTTATCCAGATTGATGGACTCACAGGCGCTAGTCACTAGAGCTGTCATTGATTCAGTGCAAAGCATATCAACGATATATCGATATCAAGTGACTAAAATCAACGATACTACGATATATCGATAATATCCTATACTCACTTGTCTGTCATTCACTTTCATACCTGTTTCAATGATTTCAGTCAAAAACATGTTCTGTACAGTGTCTTGTCCACTGCATGATTTTTTCCAGACAATATTTTTTGTCACCATTGCTATGAAATAATTCCACTATATAACAAAAGCATAACATTAGATATAAATAACTGCTTCTGTATATATTTTGGGTGAATTTTATAATTTCTAGACATTTAATTTATTAGTCAAAAGTATCGATTTTTTAAAATGTGTATCGATTATTGATCGGCAGAAAAATATCAACGATACATCGATATTGTCGATATCGATGACAGCTCTACTAGTCACATAATCAAATATTTTACATAACCAGTCTATATATGTATATAAAAATATATACTATATAGCCCATATAAAACTTTAAAAAGTTTGTTTCAAGCACCTGTGGATGGACTCTGTTTGGAAATCAAAACATTCATGATCAAAGCGGCCATTTTTCCATTTACCCACAAATTTTCTCGGCGGGCGCCTGGACTCGTATTCCTTTTGTTTCGCTTTTTTTTCTTCATTGGATAGTTTACGATTTTTGCCAGCGTAATAATGTAGTAACACCGACATTTTGGTTATTGACAGTCGTATGTATCGGACAATTATAATGAAACGGCGAATCAAAACTCGTTTTACATTTTTTTATTCAAGGGAGAAAACTCGGTCTTGATCGGTCTTGGATATATCCCGGTATCCGTACCGGACATAAGGTCCGGAACCCCGAAAAAAAATATCGGACCGGCCTGATTTTTGCCGGACATGTCCGACGGTCCGGCAACTTTCGCGAAGCCTGTGATACGAATATGCAACAAACGGTAAATTGCCCAGAAACCACTTTTTATGATTGGATAATATAAAATCATTAATATTCATAGCTTTTAAACCCCTCGCACTAGCTATCAAAGCTGATGCCTATCACGCGCCAGTGGCATGTTTATTGTTTATTCCAATCTGCCCCCAATTAACAGCGCACTGCTGATAAACAAGATCATAAATCAGATAACATGGGATTAAAACAACAAAGAAAATATGCAAATTAAAGGCAATTTTATTAGCTTTCAAACTGTTTTTATTTCATCTTGATCAGATAATTAGTTATTTATTAGTGAGAAAAAGTATCCAACTGGTACCAGATTCTTGTGTATTTCCAGGCTAATTAGTAGGCTTATCAGTGATAAGCTGGGGTTGCTAGTAGGAGTTAACATAGTATTAAGTTTGTTTAGGCATCTATTGACATGCTTATGTCTCAATATAAACAAAAATATATTTTAATTTCTTTCACATTTGTTGTTGGAACAAAATAACATGTTTTTCACCTGCAGTTTTGTACTCAATATTTTCGTACCCAGACTACAGTTACGGACAATTTTCTCTCAGACCAATACTTTTTTTAAGGAAAGATAAAAAATCTTGTTTATTTTTCTTTGATTTTTAATTTCAACTATAATTGTTCAAACTGAAGCACATGATAAGCTACATGCCTACAGAAATAAAGAAAGAAAAATATTGACTCCTAGAAAATATATTAATTTTAGGGCTTCCACTAGTGGAAGTTTGGGAGTCATTTACTCCTTCATTTTGGCAGTGACTTCCAATATCAGAGATTTTGAAATCTTTGACTTCCAAATTTTGAAAATGGAAGCCCTGATAATTTTGCAGTGTATCTTGAACTTGAGTTCCAGTATACTCTGGAAGTCTGACTTTAAAAAAAGAAAATAAACAAACAAACAAAAACAATAAGTTTAATTTGTTTATAAAAATGCAAAATGCTTTTTTGACAGATTTTACCCCTTAAGTTTTTCAGATTTTACAATTTACCCCTCACTCTAAATTTTGAGGGGTAAAAGCCCTTGGCCAAAAAAATTATCTGGAGCTCTGTTTTAGCAAATAACTTCATGTTTAAATCATCATACAGGGATATATGTCAGCACTTATAACTAAATGATTATAAACAAGATACAATATCTTTATGTTAAAACTATTTTGCTTCTTACTTTCTCAAATCTTCATCCAGTATGAATTTTTGTGTGTTTACTTTGTGAGACTTACACACAAAATACTTAAGGCTTACATTTGCATTTACCTTCAATTACATTTAAATTTAAATTTCTTTCAGAAAATTATTGTCCAGTGACAGGAATCCACCTATTGATGACCTGATTGCATCTGGTATACTACCCATACTTGTAGATTGCTTGACGAAAGAAGACGAGTAAGTAATTTAAGTAGGAGTGAAACAAATTGCTATTATGAGCTGACAATTTGATTCCGGATTAGTCATGGCCATATTCTGATTCAATTCTTTGTCACCATTTTGACTAAAGTATCTCCTTTCTGATAATTATTAAACAAACATATTTAAGCAAACCTTTCTTTCATTGGTTGGGCAACCTTTCTTTCATTGGTTGGGCATTCTCACAGATCCAAACAAAATGTGTGATATGTAAACACTAATACTTGATGTTTAAAAATGGAAGACATACTGTAAATTGTAAAAGCTCTTTGGTGATGAATGTAGCTAAATGTTGAAAATCAGCAGATTAAGGGGTTCTATGAATAATTTTAAAATGTATAAAAATTTCTGCAGATAAAGACAAAAATGCATGTTAAAATGGGGTTATGGAAGTTATTTTATATTCCAGTGACCCATCAAGGCCATCACTACAGTTTGAAGCAGCATGGGCATTAACAAATATAGCATCTGGCACATCAGCACAAACAAGGGCAGTTGTTGAAGCAGGTTTGTTTTGTTTGACTCATAAGTACTAGGCACTTTTTTGAATATCTGTTATAAGCATCATTTGTTGTTTCGTTTTGGTTCAAATCTCAGAGAATTCAGATTCTTTTATGTGAATGAATTAGCTTACAGAAGCTTGTACAAAAGAATGCTTCTGAAATCTGTATATGACTGAAACAACATCAGTATTACTTTTAAATCCAACAAAAATAATAGAAAGTATCATGTAAAGAAACAGGTCAGAATTTCATTTGTGTCATAAATAATGCACAGAGGGGCACCTAAGCTCTTCCTTCAGTAAAACTGGAAATTTGCCATATAAGCTATACTGAGTTGGTGCAACATAAAAAAAAGATAATAAAAAAATGAAAAGTTATTGCCTATTCTACATCTAAGGTTTAAGGTCTGCTGTGCTTGTTTGCCATAGAAAATGACCCAATTGATGACTTTAAAATTGTACTATTATATATTTAGTTATAGGTTTACTTTTTGCAAATCCAACTCACATGAATAACACAGTTTAAGATTGTCAAATATTTTGATATTTATGTTATATAAGCTTAATGTGATATTTTTCAGGTGCTGTGCCTCATTTTCTAAGACTTTTACAGTCTGACCAGCAGAATGTTCAAGAACAGGCAGTTTGGGCTCTTGGTAATATTATAGGTAAGTTGAACTGTGTGAAACTGTATGTTAATGAGTAAGACTATTACCAGGTTTTCATACATGTGGGGGAAAAAACTATGTATCCTTTTGTAAGGCTTTTTTTTTTGCTGTTTCAAAGTAATTTGTGCTATGGTCAAAGTGTTGTAAAATATATGTAAGGCTGAACAAACTGAATATTCTAGTTATCATTAGTTTCTTTTTATATAAGAGAAGAGGGTAAATCATAGAAATAAAGCAATTTTGTAATTTCTGAAAATAAGTATTTTTAGACTGTTGCGCTTAAAGGTTAAGTAAGAACATAACTGAAATGTTCTCATTATTATGCATCTTCCTAGAGTATTGGATAGGAAATGTTATGTTATGTTACAAGTAACTGTTTCCGTTTTCAGGTGATGGGCCTCAGTGCAGAGACTATGTTATCAGTCTGGGAGCTGTGAAACCTTTGCTGGAATTTATCAACCCTAATATACCACTCCCATTCTTACGTAACGTGGCTTGGGTAATTGTAAACTTGTGTCGGAACAAGGATCCCCCACCACCTGTTGATACCATACAAGAAATTCTACCCGCGCTTTGTGTGCTTATTCACCATCAAGATATAAATGTAAGTACTCTTTGTTTTGTTTTTTAGCTCACCTGTCACAAAGTGACAGGGTGAGCTTTTGTGATCGCTTTTCGTCCGGCGTCCGTCCGTCCGGCGTCCGTCCTTAAACTTTTGCTTTAAATGACATCTCCTCATAAACCACTGAGCCAATTTCATCCAAACTTCACAGGAATGTTCCTTTGGTGGTCACCTTTAAAAATTGTTCAAAGAATTTAATTCCATGCAGAACTCTGGTTGCCATGGCAACCGAAAGAAAAATCTTTAAATATCTTCTTTTAAACAACCCTAAGAGCTAGAGCTTAGATATTTGGCATGAAACATCTTCTAGTGAGTTTTTACCAAGTGTGTTCAAATAAAAGCCCTGGGGTCAAAATTGGCCCCGCCACAGGGGGTCATTGATTTTCCCTATATGCAGGGCTTCCACTAGGAATTTTTTTTAGGAAGTCAGGACTTCCTTTCAAGGAATTTTGGAAGTCATGAGGTAAATTTCTGGAAGTCAGTTGTTCTTACGCGTATAATTTTCATGTTTCAATGTTTGATTTATAGTATGGGATGATACAAGTAAAAGCAATTATTTTAATCACAAGATTCTGAAAATGTCATTCCTTTAAATGTTTTATTATACATATTTAAAAAGTTCAAAGTATCTTTACATGATTGTTGGGTAAATATTTTCAATAGAAGTAAGAACATTACCTGAAAAGGACTGTATTGTTGTTATTTAAGGACAGTGGTAACCGTGTAGAACCCTTCAGTGATAACATTCAAATAATTGCTCATTGGTATAACAGAAAAAATAATATTTCCAGAAAACTTTTAATTCTTTAATCAATCATGGTACAAGTAGATTCTGAAATGTGTATGATGGGTTCTTCTTTTTCTACCTCTGGATCAGTACCATACAGCTGTGATCAGCCTGCACAGCATTTTTGTGGTCCTTGGATTCATTGTGTTTTAAAAGGGTGGATCTCTGTAGATTTCCTGAAATAAAAAAAAAACATGACATCCTTTAGCATTGTTATATTTCTTATTTGTAAAATAAAAATTGTTGTTTAAATATCTCTTGTGTTTAAAATTATTTACTACAGTACCGAACACAATTTCAGTGTATCAAATGAATCATAACACATTAACAACCGAAAATGGTTAAATTTAATCAGGCTTATAAATTGAAAGTTTTATGAAAGTAATTTCGAACACCGTTCTTGACCAAATTAATTTTTTAATTACGTTTTTGAGATACGCCAAATTGCAGAAGTGAGCATTGAGACATTTTGAGAGTGGGTAGGGAAAAAGATTTATAAATGTAACTTTGCTTCTCATAATAATTTCGTAATTAGCGAGTGAAAAAAAAATCAAATCAAATCAACATCGATAGAATGTGTGAAAATAAAACGTCTTTAACTTCAAAAAGGAAAAAAAATCAAAAGACAAAAACACGCTTCGCCGACTCGGCAAACTTTCTCATTCAAAACTTACCGATGCACACAATAAAGAATAAATCATTTTTATCTAATTTAAGTAATTAAAAACAGATACCTACCACAGTTTACGTCAATTAACCATCCATTATCCGTACAAAACAAACAATTAATCCAATCACTTTGTTTTCACGCTTATCAAGGTCATAAATCAACACTCGCTAATTCGTCACGCGCCAGGTGCATTCGCATAATTTCCCCCATCGCTGTCATGTCAACCATTCAATTCAGGGGGCGGAGTTAAATAAATAATCCAATCGTACGCCAGGAAAGTGAGAAAATGGTCGTGGCGTACGTCACGGCTTACGATTTACGCCGTATTCCTAAATTTTTGGAAGTCAGCGGTACGTCATTGATCTTAATTTTCGGCGTACAGATACGATTTTCGGGCGTAATTTACGGCCGTACGCCCGTTAACGGAAGCCCTGCCTATATGCATATAGTAAAAACTTATAATATCTTCTTTTAAAGAACCCAAAGAGCTAGAGCTAAGATATTTGGCATGAAACATCTTCTAGTGAGTGTCTACCAAGTTTGTTCAAATAAAAGCCCTGGGGTCAAAATTGGCCCCGCCCTGGGGGTCATTGATTTTCCCTATATGCATATAGTAAAAACTTAAAAAATCCTCATTTAAAGAACCCTAAGAGCTAGAGCTAAGATATTAAGCATGAAACATCTTCTAGTGAGTGTCTACCAAGTTTGTTCAAATAAAAGCCCTGGGGTCAAAATTGGCCCCGCCCAAGGGGGTCATTGATTTTCCCTATATGCATATAGTAAAAACTTAAAAAATCTTCTTTTAAAGAACCATAAGAGCTAGAGCTTAGATATTTGGCATGAAACATCTTCTAGTGAATGTCTACCAAGTTTGTTCAAATAAAAGCCCTGGGGTCAAAATTGACCCCGCCCCAGGGGGTCTTAGATTTTCCCTATATGCATATAGTAAAAACTTTAAAAATCTTCTTTTAAAGAACCCAAAGAGCTAGAGCTAAGATATTTAGCATGAAACATCTTCTAATGAGTGTCTACCAAGTTTGTTCAAATAAAAGCCCTGGGGTCAAAATTGGCCCCGCCCCAGGGGGTCATTGATTTTCCCTATATGCATATAGTAAAAACTTATAAAATCTTCTTTTAAAGAACCCAAAGAGCTAGAGCTAAGATATTTGGCATGAAACATCTTCTAGTGAGTGTCTACCAAGTTTGTTCAAATAAAAGCCCTGGGGTCAAAATTGGCCCCGCCCTGGGGGTCATTGATTTTCCCTATATGCATATAGTAAAAACTTAAAAAATCCTCATTTAAAGAACCCAAAGAGCTAGAGCTAAGATATTAAGCATGAAACATCTTCTAGTGAGTGTCTACCAAGTTTGTTCAAATAAAAGCCCTGGGGTCAAAATTGGCCCCGCCCCAGGGGGTCATTGATTTTCCCTATATGCATATAGTAAAAACTTAAAAAATCTTCTTTTAAAGAACCATAAGAGCTAGAGCTTAGATATTTGGCATGAAACATCTTCTAGTGAATGTCTACCAAGTTTGTTCAAATAAAAGCCCTGGGGTCAAAATTGACCCGCCCCAGGGGTCTTAGATTTTCCCTATATGCATATAGTAAAAACTTTAAAAAATCTTTCTTTTAAAGAACCCAAAGAGCTAGAGCTAAGATATTCAGCATGAAACATCTTCTAATGAGTGTCTACCAAGTTTGTTCAAATAAAAGCCCTGGGGTCAAAATTGGCCCCGCCCCAGGGGGTCATTGATTTTCCATATATGCATATAGTAAAAACTTAAAAAAATCTTCTTTTAAAGAACTCAAAGAGCTAGAGCTAAGATATTTAGCATGAAACATGTTCTAATTGGTGTCTACCAACTATGTTCAAATAAAAGCCCTGGGATCAAAACTGGCCCCGCCCGGGGGGGGGGGGGTGGGGGTCATTGATTTTCCTTATATGTGTATAGCAAACTCTTAAAAATCTTCTTTGAAAAAACCCAAATAGCTAGAGTTTAGATATTAAGCATGAAACATCTTTAAGTAAATATCTACAAAGTTTGTTCAAATAAAAGCCCGGGGGTCAAAACTGGCCCTGCCCCAGGGGTGTCATTGTTTTTAACTAGCATGAAACATCTTCTTATGGGTGTCTACCAAGTCTGTTCTAATAAATAAAAGCCCTTGGGTAAAAATTGGCCCGGGGGGGGGGGCCTATATACAGGTGAGCGACCTCAGGGCCATCATGGCCCTCTTGTTTAATAAAAATGTGTGAATTTTATCATCTGACTTTAAAGTCTAGTTCTTCTTATGTAGAACTTAGAGTGACAAACTCTGGTTCTTTGATTTTCTAATGGAGTTATTTTAAGCCAACCAATCAAACCATTTGTTACAGAGCTGCATTTGGCATAAAAATTTCGTAGTTAGAAAAATGTGTACCTTGAATGGGACTCGAACCTGGGACCCTCTGAATACCGTTTCGCAGCTCTTATCGACTGAACTATCCAGTAGCTTATACAATCTCCCCTAATAAGTGAGCACCTCTTAACCATGACAATAATATTAGTGTCTAAAGCAAGTAATCTACCTATATATCAATGAATAATTATCTTATTTCAGATTCTTGTCGACACTGTATGGGCACTGTCTTACCTTACTGACGGTGGCAATGAGCAAATACAAATGGTGATAGACTCTGGTGTTGTACCTTTCTTAGTGCCTCTTTTAAGTCATGTTGATGTAAAAGTTCAGGTAAGTGTCGCAATAAGGTGGTTTCCTATTATGATGTTGACTGGACTTTATTTAGGATAATAAACTAGTTAGCTTGTTTGAAAAAAAAGGTGATGTATTGTTTTTTTTTATTTAGAATAATAGAAGGGCTGTCAATGATGGAAAATTTTGTATCGATATATCAAGAGACAAATATCAATGATATATCGATATATTGACTTTGACAGTAGATACAATAAAAAACATTTATATATGTGTTATAAATTGGGATCTAGGTGTTATGCATACATGTATTACACATTACAAATACTACAAAATAACAGAAAGTTTTCTTTTCTATGTTATTCTTGTCATTGACATTTGAAAACGTTTAAATTTCAAGTTAACCAAGAAAACTAGCAAAAAGTGACTTCTCCTATAAGCCAAAATATAGAGGTATATTAACTAACAGAAAATATTTTTTTAGCGTGTATCGTTATGTGAAAATGTGTATTGATATTGTATCGGATGATGAATATCAATGATATATCGATATCGTGATAATCAATGACAGCCCTAAATAATAGTAATAAATTTAGATTGAGACGCTTAGACATTTTATGAGAGTTTGAAAACTGTAGATAAATTAAAGATATTTTTCACTGCATTGTTTCTAATACTTGATTTGAAAAAAACGTATCTGTTAAGCTTCTTTTTCTAAATATATTTTTTTTTCTTTCAAAACAAAAGTTTTGTAAATTTAATGATTTTGCATTTGCTTGAAATCAATCTTGTACACAAGATGTATAATGTTGATGTAGTGAGATTAATCCTTTGCCAGATTTGAGACATGTAAATCAAAGTAAACATTTACTTCTTCAGACAGCGGCATTAAGAGCTGTGGGGAATATAGTAACAGGCACAGACGAACAGACGCAAACAGTCCTAGCATGTGACGCACTTTCACATTTCCCTTCTCTTCTTACACATTCAAAAGAAAAAATAAATAAGGTAAGCTCGATTTCCAGACTTGTTTATGATTAGTTCTATGTGGTTGTGTAGGAAGTTTCAAGCTTAGAGACATTTTTCGTATCTTTAACCAACTACAACTAAGCAATGAGTTTTAACAATGAGTGTTAAGTATTCTAGCTTAAAGAAACAAATGCTGGAACTCTGGTAGCAAGAGGCCCTTAGATAAATAGTCTGACATTTTAACCACTTAGCCATGTCGCCACCAATACATACTTTAAATTTTGCAATGACATTCAAGACTAAGAATTCAATTATTTACCTAAATTGTAACCAAGTTGAAAGATAAGCCACTTTGAAAAGGCTTAATTAATCCAGGAAAGAGTTCTTAGGATCTCAATTTCACCATTTTAGTTTGTCAGTATTGTAAGAGTTCATGTGGCATTAAAAACTGACACAAAAGAAAAGATTAACACATTTGCTAAAATTTGTAGGAAATGATGAAATGGGGTATCAAGAAGACTTGTCCTTTGTCTTGTGATATGAGTGTGTGTATGCAAGTGTTTTTATATTTGTGTTATAAATAATTTGTATGTGAGGATGTGTGTTTGTTGTATTTGTGTCTTTTCTGTGTTTAAACCATGATGTTCAAGCCTGAAAGGCCACGGTATTATGGCTTTTTGATAGAGAATGAAGTGCAATTGAGGCTCTCCATGGGGGCTGATGATGAAAAAAATGGAAGTCTTGGGCATCATGGTTATAGTCTTCTGTGTAAAACCCCATGCAGGCTCTCACCTAGTGATTGAGCCTCATTTCTGATCTTGCATCATGTTGATATGACATGATAATTCTTGGATTGAGCCCAATGATTGCAGTGATGTTATTATATAAAAAGGTGTTATTTTCCTCAAAATAGTACGAGTATTCAGGATAAAATCAAAATGTAATAATAGATAGTATAAATTAAGAAAAAAATATGTTAACAAAACTAATCTATTCGCACAATTTTGATATATTTATTGTATATAATTAAGATACTGTTGTACAGCATAAAATGTAAAACATTTATCTCAATGGAAGGGAAAGTTTAAAATGAGATCCTTATTTGACATATTTACACTTCAACTATATTTATAATATACCTAATGGTAAATGTTTGATGTGTAATACAGGAGGCAGTGTGGTTCTTGTCCAATATCACAGCCGGCAACATGACGCAGGTTCAAGCTGTGATAGACGCAGGTCTTATACCAATGATAATTCATCATCTCTCAAAGGTAAATACTCGAATATTTCTTCAACTACTTTCCAGACGAAGAAAGGTTGTGAATTTCCAAAACTTTGCAAAATCCTGTGCTGCTTGAATGTGGTTTGCACTGTTCAGTGTTCCGGTCAGTACAGATTTTGAATGGTCTTGTCCAGTTTGAAAAATTAAAGGACAAGTTAGATTGTTAGCTGGTAGGGGTTAAAGATGGCTAGATCAAAAGGTGATTACTAACACAAAACACTGTCTGTACGTAAACATTTAAATGAAAATCAAACATGAAGTTGATATGTTGTTTTTTCTTTTTATAGAAACTGAATTATCATATTTTATTTACTTATTACAGGGAGATTTTCAGACCCAAAAGGAAGCAGCATGGGCAATAAGTAATTTAACAATAAGCGGGAAAACAGAACAGGTGAGTAAGGTACTATATTCTCTCTAAAACTATCTCACAACAAGCATTGCTCTTGGTTAGTTTATCTTTGCTCTCTAATATGATTAAGTTGGATAGGTGGTTTGTTTTAAAATAAGTGGCTTTGCTTAAATGTGAACAAAGCACTTTCAAGGTGACAATATGATATGTAAGGGCCCTTATGTAAATAACATAAAACCTATTGACTTTCCCTAAGTAAAGTTTAAGGTGTTGAATTTACCATGAGAAATACAGGGGTTGCCTTTGACACAGTTAGTTGTGTTTATACAATTTTAAACATAATAGATGAAAGTTAGAGAGTTAATGGTGTATGTATAGTTAGAAATTTAAATTGATTATTTAGTCTTGGAGTTAAATTTCTTACTTGCCCATTGGGTCATCAGAATAAATTCAACATTCCGAAAGCCAGCTTGGCTTTTTAAACAATGTTCTAGTAGCATCTTTTTAATGTTTATAAAGCTTTGGAGAGTACTAATTTCTCATGTTGGGAATCTAGTGGCAGTGGTTCAGGTTGTTGACTTCAACACTGTGGTTTCGAATCTTGACATGGGACTTTGGATTCTTTCATGTAAAAAAGCTATCCAGGTAGCCTATGGAACGTCATTGGTTCTACTGAGGAGCCATTTGTGCCTGAAATAAATTGCTCCATCTGTAGAAAAGGTGGAAAGTCGCCATATGACCTTTACTGTATTGGTGTGATGTTTACACCAACCAAAGAAAACAAGAAGAAATTTACTTCATAGCCTAGGCTTCTTGTGTTTGTGTTAATATTTTGTTACCAGAAATTAATTTATTTGATTCTACATATGCTTCTCATTAAAGATAGATTATTTGATGACATATCATGAAATTGGGATTATACTTTACTAAATAATAATTAAAATGAAAATTGTATTTGATTCAGTATTGGTAAAATATTCCATGAGCAATGAATGATTTGGTTTCAATGTTATACTTTTTCCTTTTCGATTATTTGCTGCTTTCTACATATTTTCACCTCTCTTCCTGACAGTTTACATCTTTACACTATTTTGCTTGTTTATAAAAGGCACATTATTCCTTAAAAAACAATTTTTTTTTTCTCGAGAAAGAGAAAGGCGGTAAAACAAAGTAGTGTTTTGACTTAAGTGCAAAATACTAAATCACTGTGCTGATATTACTATATGCCAAAAAGTAACAAAGCAAAAGAGGGTCTTCAACAGTACATCAAACATAAAAAAGATTTGAGAATTCAAACTTTTAAATTAAAAAAAAAACATTTCTGGAGAATAATGTGCTATTAATGTTAATTGTTGCTTTTTGTCTTTCTTTGTTTAGTTACTGCCTGTATTAAAGTTTTACTGTTTTGCGTTGACATTTTCAACTTTTATTTTATTGATTATACATACCTTTGTAAATAAAATTGCACAATTAAAAAAAATGGTAAATTTTAAATATTTGTACTTAAAAATAGTTTTAAATTGGATGTAAAAACGAATTTGATAAATGATGAATTAAAAGTATAAATAAAAGACCATCTTTAATTAAGGCAATGGATGATGTTGAAATTTGGAAAACTCAGCAAGACAATGTTCTTCTATATTATTAGTTAACCATAATGCTGTCAAGTGTTTTGTATTGAACTTGTTGTATTATCCCTTGTCCTGTAACCCATTACCTGCTGGAACCAAAGTTGATTATTCTTCGTGATCAGTATAGAGTCATATCAGCCTGCACATCCATACAATCTGACCAGGCTCTATACTGTTTGCTGATCAACTTCCTATTTTCATCTTATTATACCCTAAATTGACAATGAGCAGTTCCAAATATGGAAGCATTGTCTTTTCTAGGAGAGGGGATGGGGGCTGAGGCAGGGGGAACCTTTTACATAGAGAAAGAAGGAAAAAGATCAACAAATGTAATAAATTCTCACTTTTCGATAAAAATCACCCCTGTTTTTCGAATCCTAGAATTAACACTGATTGAAGATGGACGAGTCCATTGAACACTTTCAGTAGGTTAAAGGTCTATACAGTCTGCCCAGGCTCTACACTGCTGGCTGATAAACTTTGTATTTTGATCTTGTTTTACCCTAAATTGGCAGTGAACAGTTCCAAATATGGAAGATGGGCAAGTCCATTGTTCACATTCAGTAGGTAAAAGGTCAAAGGTTATTCAATATCCAAAAGTAAAAATTGAACAGCGGACAGTAAAATGTCTGTGTTAGACTACACAGTGATGCAGATCGTGTTTACTTAATGCAGGAAGCATAGTCAAGTCATTACTTTAACTGGCATTAAAAAAATGAGCCGCGTCACAAAAAATCAACAGAGTCAGTGCGTTTGTGACCAGCATGGATCCAGACCAGCCTGCGCATCCGCGCAGTCTGATCTAGATCCATGCTGTTCACTTACCAACTCTATTACAAGTGGAGAAACTGATAAGCATGGATTCTGATTAGACTGCGCGGATGGGCAGGCTGGTCTGGATCCATGCTGGTCGCAAACGCACTATGTTGGTTTTGTCGTGATGCAGCTCAAATATTGAATGGACTGTCAACAGATAAGCTGTGCAATAAAATCAGCATATTTATCATACTAATTGTCATTTTTACAGGTGGAATACGTTGTACAGTGTGGAGTAATACAGCCATTCTGTAACTTGTTAAGTGTGAAGGACACACAGGTGGTAAATGTAGTGTTAGATGGTATCAACAATATTCTAAAGATGGCTGGAGATGAGTCTAACAGTATAGGTCAACTTATTGAAGAATGTGGAGGTAACTTGTTGCTAATTGTATAAATGCATAGATCCTTGATTAGTCTAATTTTAATTACTAGTATCACATTAGCGGATATAATAAGAATTTCACCATATATTTGTTAACAAAAGAGCACATGTCAATGTTTGTCGTTAAATCAATTGTTATTCAAATATAATATAAAAGGTCATAGTAGGGATCTATCAATTATAGTAAACAAAACTAGTTCAGTTATTATTGTGATTTTGTCTCAAAGAGAAGATTTATGTGTAACATGCCCAAAAGTGTGGCTTGTCTAAGTATAGGTTTGAACATTTCTTTCAAAGCTGTCCAGCTAGCATTTAGAAGCCCCCCAGACAAGATTTAGAAATTGCTTTGATTATTTTCATTAAGAAAAAAAAACTTCAGAATAATGTTTGTTTGTTTTTGTTTTTTTTTGTTTTTTTTTCCAATTACTTGAATTCTGGTTACTTGGAGACGAAGTAATACGTCTTTTTCTTTCAGGCTTGGATAAAATAGAAAATTTACAAAATCACGAAAACGAAGAAATCTATAATCTAGCCTACCAAATTATAGATCAGTATTTCTCAGCAGATGTGAGTATATATATTAAGTTATTATTGCCTTTTTGGATCATGCTTCATGAAAAAAAAATATGCAAGGGTGATCAAGAAAATCCTTTAGTGCAGAAGTTGCCATCCCAAAAAACATATTCCTTCACCATATATTTTAGAAAATTACTGATTTTCAATTTTAGAAGGTCTTGTATAAAACTGCATTATTGTAAATGTTTTTGTCTGTTGTTAACTGTGAAATTACTTACTTGAAAAATACCATAAATGAAAATGTTTAAATCATTCAGTGACTTGTAAGCCCAATGTGGTCAGGTGTTGTAAAAATAAATATATATCCTCATTATGTATGTACATCATACATGAAACAATGTCACTTTAATAAAATTTACTTATCTTGAAAAGATTTCAGGTAAGCATATAATACATTTTTTCAAGAGATGGAAAAAAAGGTAAACTCACATACTGAGCGTAACCTTTTTGATTTGAGAAAATAAAGGTATTGTAGGTATTCTAAACATATTTTATCTAGACATTCACTGTTTACAGACTGAAGAAGATCCCTCGTTAATGCCAGAGGTGAGTACAGAAGGTTACCAGTTTGATCCGGCACAGTCTATACCAAAGGAAGGTTTTAATTTCTGACTAGAGGACAGTCACGATGTAGGCAATGTGGTAGAAATTTCTAGTGACTCACTTCAGAATCCTGCAGCCATATGTGATACACTGGTTAACCAGTCCATTCTTTTACCAGATGGTGACAGCTCTAATCAATTATCTGTGAAAGACGATATTTGTAGCAACGCTTCCACTTGCGGATCGGAACGCTCTGCAAATCATTTAAACAGTTGTAGCTCTTCGGAAACTCGCTCCAGTAGCGTCGACATTAATCAAATCATGGACGAAAATGAAAATTTCGAGAATGTTCCATCATCGGCAAGAGTTTTCTGGGGTGAAAGGTCAGGCGAGCAGTCATCTGATGGCAGCCACGTCAGAAGTTTACAGAATAGTGAACAGCCAGAAGCTGACCATTTAGATCACGCGTATATCCGAGGAAACTTTTCCAATGATCCAGACCTACTGACCTGGTATTGTCTAGGCACATGCTAATTTTGTGCACTAATGTCCGAAAGAAGAGTTAAAATCATAATTGGGATTTTTAATAATACCTGATAGTTGTTGGCCAAGTTTCCCCTAGCTAAAGGATTTCATGCATTGAATATAAAGAATTGCTTAAAAATCCACTTTTCTTAGAGTTGATGAATATGAAAAGATGTCGTATAATATTATTTTATTTGGTCGGCAACTGGATAACGCCATCCTGTAGGACTGTTCATAAGCAAATTTCCTCGAACCCCAGTCATACTTGCATGTATGCTTTTCTAAATCAGTTATAGATCTCTATATATGTATATGTCTTTGAAATAAAGTATCACATTTCATGGCTATTTGATAAGAAATATCGCAATTTATCTAACAGTTAAATTTGTGTGTACAACAACAGTCATCATGTGAAATAAAATTTATCTTTTATAGGTACATGATTATTTTATTTTTACTTACATGTGGACATTGGTATAAACAGCTTTCCTGAAGGTTTTTTGCGATATGAACATTTTGGAGCTGTTAAGTTTATTGTTTTAAAATCAGTTTGAAAATTTATTTTTTAACAAAACGCAATTTATTTTTTTTTCAGTTTAATTTTTTAAAAAGAATGATCTAAAAGAGGTTACTTTTCTGAAATGTAAGAGAGATAACTTTGGGGAGGAACGAGAGAAATGGTGTGAAGATATTTCAGAAATCCTTAGCGTATTTTTTTTTTCTAGGAGAAAACATTTCTTCATGGTGGGAGAAAAGGTGAGATAGTACAGTAAGATAGAGGGAGGGAGAGTGAGGGGAGAGGAAAATCAGTATTATATTTGTCAGGCAGAGTTTGTCGTATACTTCTTTGTTAGTTTAATGACATTTTTAAAGGCAATGATTAATTTTAGAGAATGTATTGGACTTCTTTAGTGGCCACCAGAATCTCAGAACTTGAGAAGTTAAACATTCCTAACAAAGTAACATTCAAGTCTTAAATCTGAAAGAAAATATTAAAACGAGAAAAGATCATGGTTTAATTTCATACTTGCTCATTGATTTGTCTGTAAAACTCAAGATATATTTACTTGTATGGATAACTACACAAGTGGCGATTTTATTCCACTTTTGTATGGTAATAATCTTACTGAGGAATCTAGTGTTCCTTTATCAGGCTTGCCACTGTATTAATCTTGGAAAGTTGCTTTAACTACGCTCAGGTGTTCCTGAAAATGATACTGATTTTAATAGGGAGAGTTGTTGTTCTTGATCTTTAAAGGTCGTTCATTATTATGATATTTGCTAATGATATCAAAAGTAATTCATGTTTTCATATGCAAATGAATTGAGTCGCGTCACGACAAAACCAACATAGTTGTTTTGCGACCAGCATGGATCCAGACGGAGGCACAGGCTGATCAGGATCCATGCTGTTCGCTTACCAACTCTATCACAAGTAAAGAAACTGATAGCGAACAGCATGGATCCTGATCAGAGTGCGCGGATGCGCAGGCTGGTCTGGATCCATGCTGGTCGCAAACGCATTATGTTGGTTTTGTCTTGACACGGCTCGTATAAATTATTGCGGGCTGAATTGGATATATGTTACCAAACGATTCAGTTATGCTTTTTGTCCAAAGGTATATCTATAGAGCACTGAAACAGTTGTGCTTTTATGGCCCATTCCAATTAAGCTCAAATATTTTGAGTCGGTGGTTTTATGTGTTCAGTGTAATACATGTAGATAGGTTACTGTATATTTAATATTGTTTTAATTCCTTATATCTCTTCTTTTAATTTCTGTTTTTGACCAAACAAAAAACTAAAATTCCAATGCCTTGAGTTAATTAAATGTGATGTGCCCATAAAGAAAATAACAATTTTTTTTATGATGTACATATTTCATCTATTTAGATTTTCATTTCTGTTATTTTGTAATGTAATGCTTTTCAAAAACAGGAGTGAAGGGCATGAAAAAACTTAACTGAACAAAAAGTGCTATGTTTATTTTCTTTTGAATATTTCTCAAGTTATTTAATACTCAGAAGGAAGGGTCTCTCATTTTTAGCAAAGTAATATGGAATTTTTCAAATTCTTTTCATTTTTTTTAATGATTAAACCAAGTAACAAGTTCTTGAAAAGTTCTTAACCACAGTACTTTGATCTCTGTGTGAGAGAGAGAAAAGGGGAGAGAGTAAGGGAGCTAATTTTGGGGTATTTTACGAGAGTTACTGTGAGTTTAAGACGTGTTTTCTTATTTAATAGCCTTTGATCCACAAAAGATTGCTAGGCTAGGTCTGTAAAGAGTTTTTCTTGTTTCTTTTTTTAGATTTTAACGATGAAACAGCGTGGGACGACGGTTAATGTAAAATGGGGTGCGTGATTTAGCAGATTATTATTTGTACCATTGCTTCTTCTTATTGAATATTAATTGCGCCTTAGTATGACAAATCAGTATTCTGTTTTATCATAGATTAAATTTATACACTAAAGTTCCATGAAGTTTATATCTCATTTTTGTTCACTGGTAGCGGTTACATATACCAGGTGCATTTGTGTGATGAGCTATAAAATATCAGTACACAGTATAATCATCATTGTAGAAGACAATTTCTGTTTCATTGTAGACAATATTGTGCTTTAAGAAAAAAGAATGGCTAGTTTCAAATGAGATATATGATTTATTCCTGTGAAGATGACGTTTAACATATGTGTTTTTTTCATAGGCAAAAACATTGAATGAACTTTTGTTAAGCGTTTGTTTTATTCCATCACTGATAAAGAATTTTGCCATATCTGTTCTACTAATGTTTGAGTCGCTGCTTTATACTTTAGCATTATGTTCCACATGATGCTGTCAATTAATTACATGTATAAGCTGTAAATACACATATTTTTTTTGGTTTTGTAAATACATGAATAAAGGAATGTAAATTGTTGTATTGATATGTATAGGCCTTTTTAATCTGATGAAATTTTACTTGACACATGATTTTCGTTCATGTGAATCAAATTCATGTTTTCGAAATATCGGATTAACGGATGTAAGGCAGGTTGGGAGGGAGTGGGGATGGGGGTAAAAATCACAATTTTTGATGGGTTAAATAAATAATAATGATGACAGGAAGAAGTCTTGTTAAGCAATATTGTTTTAGTTCTAACATTTTTAAATTTGCTTGATTTTGTTGAAAACTAGAGGAGTTATTTAAAACGCTGTTTTGAGTCTGCTTCCTGAAATTTTACACGAGAAAACATGATCATAGCCCAAGTAGGGCTCAAACCCAAGATCTCAGTTTTGAGAGGCAAACTTTCATTGTCTGTTAACATGTTTTATACTATGTCGCATACATGCAATTCCTGTTTTAAATTGAGAGGTTTTTTTAAAGAACCTCTGATTTGTGCAGATTCTCAGCTGTACCAACTCTTGACATTGGTTTGTTTATAGAAACTTCAATGCAGCAAGCTTCTTAGGGATTTTTTTGTTGTAACTTTTTTGTCAGTTTGTCAAACACTATTGAAAGATTGTCTAAATTTGCGTTGGAAAAGACAGTGTTTTAGTGCAATGTAAAAAAAAAATTGTTGCAAGTACAGTTCTGTTATGCTTTACATCCAAATCCCTGATATTCAAAGCAATTGAACATTATTTTTTTTATGTACATGAGTATTTATAAATAGTAGGGACAATTTACATGTTTTCATTTCTCATTTGTGTATAAAAATGAAACACCTATGGGAATTAATTAAAGTTTAAAGATTCATTTTTTTAAAGTGTATTTATATATTTCTATTTTCAAACATCTGCATGGTCTTTTAAGTTGAGAGGAGAAATTTGTCTTTCCCAGTTAGTGTTGAAAGTTATCTAGTATCATTTTACATTAATTACATGATTTTGAAAGAAAAGAAAGAATAAATAATTAAAAACTGTTGTTTTTTGTATGGTGGGCTCTTCTCAACAGCTATTACCATAAGGGTTCAGGAATTTATCAAGTGATATGAGCCATGTCGCGACAAAACCAACATAATGGGTTTGCGACCAGCATGGATCCAGACCAGCCTTCGCATCAGCGCAGTCTGATCAGGATCCACAAACCCTATAACAAGTAGAGAAACTGATAGCGAACAGCATGGATCCTGATCAGACTGCGTGGATGCGCAGGCTGGTCTGGATCCATGCTGGTCGCAAACGCATTATGTTGGTTTCGTCATGACACGGCTCATATATTTCTTGGGTTACAAATGACAATTGAAAACAATGTGATATTGATGCCTAGCTACATATTTATTTATACCTTGTGACTGTGATTTGTTTAAAATTAATTAATTAAAAAAATCAAATAGTCTCTAATAGACGGGTATTATCAAGTTAGGAAGGCCATTAATAAATTTGTTATTATCATGATTTTTAAAAAAGCATTTTGCATTGTATTTATTTCTTGAATGATGAAGTGTGTTAACATAAATATGTATGTATGCCTGTTTTTTAGGTTGGATACCTGAGGCAGTGCAAATCAAATGGTTTAAATAAAAATCAAGCTTGTTAAATTAAGAAGAAATTTTTCAATTATTCTTTTGATGAAAATTACTAAAGATTTGATTATTTTTTTCTTTTGCCTTAAATTACAAAATATAAATTTGATATTTTGAACAGGTGTAGTGGGGAGGGGGTGTAGGTAGGTAAAAAGTACTTATCATTGTTAAAGTAGTGACATTGGCTAATAAGAAAAAAGGACTTAAAATTGTTTGGCAGTGACATGTGTTTACTTTCATATGTATAAAGTTACATAATGATGGAATTAGTGTATAATTGTATAACTTTAAATACAACACAATAAAGAAATGAAATGTATATTTTACTCTTATATTTATAGATTGCAACACTATTAAAGTGGTTTCAAGCAAAAATCAACTTTGCTTATTAAAAAATCGAGTCAAAAGATAAGTTAAGATTCTTTTGTCAGGTGTATGATTACTTTTATATAATTTGAATGAAGACAATAGGCCATACACTAATTGTCAGATTAAGAAAATGTTGTCAGGATAGTGAGTCACATGAATGGAGCAAGTGATATACAGAGATCTAGATCTCTTCCAGATAATAAACAACTTACTTACTGCATTATTTGCAGGTTTCAGCACTGCTACTATAAAGCTGTTTGTGTTGCATTATTAATGTCCTTTTAATGGACACTACTTTAGCATTACGTTTAAATCTAGGCACCAGTACGATGCAGGGTATAATTTCTGTTCCAGCAGCTTTAGGGTTAAAAGAAAGAGCATGAAATGAGGAATAACTGAGTATGTTAAGAGTGTTCATATGAAATTTGTGTTTTTGCTAGGAAGCTGTGAGCTTTTGTAAATTTTAACAGCCATCAATATTCAGTCAATGTTGATGAAGCATTTTGTCTTCAGGTTTTATGGGTTAAAAGTAAAAGCATTGGGAAAAGATGGATTTATTTATTTATGAGTTTTACTGATTTCTTTTCTCAAAATAACTAATGTGATACCTTGATAAACTTTAAAGTCGGTGGGATTTCTCCATGATGCCACAAGTGACAAGTCTAATAATGTGATGCTTATGGCAGTATGTTCTGCAGTTCTTGTATGTTTGTAAAAATTCCTTAGAATTAATAGGTTTTTTGTGATTGAGTCATTTTAGTGAAGCTCTAAGGGAATCTGGGTTTTAGGATTTTATTTTTGGCTATAAAAAAATGGTGTCATAATTAATTAGTATAAAAAAAAACTGAAATTAAAATCTTAAAAGGGAATAAAAATATAGAATTCTCAATTGCTATTGGTCAGTATCAGAATTAGCCAATCAAATGCTAGAGTTTTTAGACTGGTTTAAATAATAGTACTTGTTATATTTTAACAAGATTTTTTTGCTTTTAGAAGGCTATGATGTTCTTAATGAATTAGATATTAGAGTTGTGTCTTATTAAATCGCCAGTTAATAGATATGCCATGCTGCATTGCTAAAGGGTTTTTAACAATAACTAGAAAATAGGCGCTACTAAGGATAAGTAAAGTACTAACCTGTGATTATATTAGGTTATTATAAACTTTATCAAGGTAGATTGTCAACCTTATAATCACACCTATCATTTATGTATTGTTGATATTTTTTTGCTATGTTCATTTTTAAAAGAGAAAAACAAGGTTAAATATTGCTCAAAATTGCGTATTTTCTAAAGTTCATTCAAAATAATTCAACGTGCTAAGGTGAATTTCAAGGAAAAGTACATGTAGTAAGAAAAAAAATATCTTCTTAGTAAAATATTTTTGAAATTTCAGACCACTGCATATTAACAAATTTCAGGACCTCTGGTGGAAAAACCACAACATTTTGATTTTATTTAATAATAATTAAGGAAATCTATATTTTGACAGGTCAAGTTTTCTGCAAACGTTTTAAACAGTAAATTTTAAATATCTTTTGTATGCATTTTAGCTTTATTTACCTTGATCTATGATATTTTTAGAAATATGTTAAGTCTTTCATTTTGTTTTCCTTCTGAAACTGTTCAGAACAACAATGTATTTTTTTGAAGATAAATGTAGTTGACTAAAATGTCCAAAACTTGTGTCAATTAATGCATGGATTTTAGACATGCCGAACTACAAATGAATAAAGCAATGAAAAAATTGTGTTATAAAAAAAGGAATGAATAAAATAAGAAGAGGTCGCCAAAAATTGTTTTTGGGGACTTCTTCAAAAATCATTTCAAAATGATCTGATTGTTTTGTTTTCTATGACACATTGCATTGTCAGTTTTCCTCTGTCTGTTGAAATAATGGACAGATTATCCAGTTTGAAGATCTATAATTGAGCCGCGTCACGACAAAACCAACATAATGGGTTTGCTACCAGCACGGATCCAGACCAGCCTGCGCATCCGTGCAGTCTGATCAGGATCCATGCTGTTCGCTATCAGTTTCTTTACTTGTTATAGGGTGTGTAAGCGAACAGCATGGATCCTGATCAGACTGTGGATGCGCAGGCTGGTCTGGATCCATGCTGGTCGCAAACCCATTATGTTGGTTTTTTATGGCGCGGCGCAATTTAACTTCATATACATAGTATTTATAGGTTCATGCTCTGTCAATCGAAGATGGGTTTATTTGAAGGCAGATTGTGCCTCAAAAACGAATAAATCTTTCTTTACAAAGGAAGATATTTGAGAGTTTAAAACTTTTGAATTGGTTTGAGATCAAGTCAGATGCTTATCCCCTGAAGAAAATAGCACTTACTGTGAAATTATTCGTCATGAAGCAGTGAAATGGAAGCAAGATTGTATTGTGACATCCATAGTGATACAAAATAATGAATCATCGTAACTGCATGGGTGCAAGTTTTTAGTCATATCCCTGAAGCTCAAGTTTTTCGAGACAAATTTCATCATGTTTTACTATTATTTTATTTTATGGTTATGAATAAAGGTTTTCAGGTTTTTCCAAATTTTCAACTTGCACCGATGTAACTGTACTAATTGCCAGAAAGGCACAAAAGCAATGTATGGTTTGGTAAAGTAACATTTTGGAAACTGTAACGGTATACCAAAATGTGAAGCTTTTGGGAATTAGAAATAAAAGTATTTCTGGGACATGGTGGACCTTTATATTTTGAAGTTCCTAGTGAGATGTGATGAAGGCGCAGCATGGTCTGTACTTTGAGATGTGGTATTATTACTTTGACATTTTAACCTCTATCTATCCGCTTTCTTTCACATGTTCATGGAATACATTGGTAAATTAGCTTTCATTTGGCTTATTTAGTTCATTATACATGTTTGAAGTGCACAATAATGATGGTGATACCAAACATATAAGTAATAGAAAGAGCATCGAAACACGAGGCTATCTGATTGATTTGTACGAGGGGGCGTAGACACCCCCCCCCCCGTATTAATCAGATTGCCAAGTGTATTGATGTTCTTTCTCTTTTGTATCATAGTCAAACATAAAAACACATTCCTTGTTGTCACAATATGAAACTCCGGAGAAAAGTAACCAATGTACGAGCATCTGAATATGATATTTCTGTCGCTTTCCCTTTCTCTGCCGTCACAATATGTAAACCCCAGCAAAAATGAGCCAATCAATAGGCATGCTCTGGAGTGCGGGTAACTAATACATGCACTCCAGTTAACGCACAGTGCATGTATAATGTATACGATTTAACTCGGACACATTTTCAACATAAAGGTCCCCAAACTATGATACATCTCTATTTACTTCGCTAAGAGAAGGAATACCTGGCTAATCACTGGTTGGAAGTACTACACTGATGCACTTTATCATGAGACATAATTAGGAAAGTAATCTCTTAGCGTTCCTAGCATCATATCCGGACATGATGTACAATATTGTAAAACGTACATAAATTATATTCTTAGACTGCCATATTGAAGATAAGATCCATATTATTCAATAGTAATGTACTAACGTTAGTTTGTAGCTAACTTCTCCGGATTAGTATTAATTGCCTGTTATTAAATTATTATTTTTTACATTAATTGATAAAGACGTGCATAAAGAAAACACAAAGACTGTTCGAATCTATGTAACAAAAGCGACAACGGATAAAACTACAAGAATTGTGGGGGGGGGGGGGCGTCCGTGGCCGAGTGGTTAAGGTCGTTGACTTCAAACAACTTGCCCCCTCACCGCTATGGGTTCGACAGGGACTTTGGATTCTTTCATGTGAGGAATTTATCCAGCTAGCTTACGGAACGTCGGTGGTTCTATTCAGATGCCAGTTTGTGCCTGAAATAATGCACGGAAGGGCACCTGAGGTCTTCCTCCACCAGTAAAGCTGGAAAGTCGCAATATGACCTATACTGTGTCGATGTGACGTTAAACCCAAAACAAACAAACAAACAAACAAAACCAGAATTGTGGCTAATTTTATGTGTACGTAATCTTGTATGAGTCAAATAAAATACAACCTGTAGCACATATATAGGGAAAGAAAGATGACCTGTTTGTTTTGTTAATCCATTACTTTATTTTCAAACTGTTTATTTCTTTTTAATAAGCCTATGAAAAGGTGTTTTGAGAGCATCACGTAACGTGTCAAATTTCTCCTCTAGAGGTCTTATATCGATGACGTCATCACCAGGTAGACGTTCAAGGCCATCTGTAAAACAATAATGACAGGAGATGATATAAAGTTGAAATGAGATCGTTTCGTTAATTCAACAGAGTAGTTTGGGGATAGATTGCACTGATGATTCGATAAATGCCATTATCTACACGTAACCTAGACTCATTCAGCCACGCGACGATAATGGCTCATCTAGAGGTGGTATCCATGAACGCTATTCAATCCAGTATTTTAATGTTAATGTTTTATGTTAAAAATTTCAACACTTCAACGAGTATATTAACACATAATGCATAATGAATGATAAAATATTCAATTTTGATTATCTTAGCTTTGACATCCATAAGCACAGAATTTGATGTCCATAGTTATTTTGTCTGTTACATTGAACATTGAATTACACAAACGGTATAGAATAATGAATAATAAAATGTTTAACCCAGACTCAAGAATACGAGAGTATGACTGATACAGAATTCTTATTCGTATGATTGTCCGATGAAAACCAACTTACCGGCCAGTTCACTTTCCATACACACACCGTATCCCGGGGCACTACGGACCTTAGGGTTCAAGAAACATTTCGGATGCGGGAACCCTTGACTCACGTCTGATGCTCCTGAATAACAATAACAATAATCAGAAATAAATGAGCCACGTCATGACAAAACCAACATAATGGGTTTGCGACCAGCATGGATCCAGACCAGCCTGCGCATCCGCGCAGTCTGATCAGGATCCATGCTGTTCGCTATCAGTTTCTCTACTTGTAATAGGGTTTGTAAGCGAACAGCATGGATCCTGATCAGACTGCGCGGATGCTGGTCGCAAACCCATAAGGTTGGTTTTGTCATGACGCGGCTCATTAATAAAGTTGGCCGCGGATGATAACCTGGACAAAAAAGATATAATAAAAGCCGACTAGAGATTTTGTTTTTCAAGAGAAGTTACTAGATTTGTATGTTTATCAATCTTTGTATGAAAATGATCGTTCCTTTAAAATAGTTAACACTAATGCAAACCACAATAATATTGTGTAGGCTTCTTGGAAAATTGACAATAACCAGCCGTTGAAAACAATTTCTTGCATTTAAAGTGATTGCTATCCGGTATATATATGTATGTACGTAATGGAAGTACAGGCTATGCCCGGGAAACCAAAGTGGGAACATAAGGAAATAGAAATAGTGACTACGGACAAAATGGAACTGAAGTACGGGCTACGGAACCGTATTATTATTAATGAATATCTAGTTCCACATGTAGGACCTAAATCGTCTACGGTCTCAAGTAAATGTCCATTGGCAAGCGATAATGGTCAACTTCGGATTCAAAACTGGGTAAGTTTATTATAAAAAAAGCAAATCAAATTCACCATAGAAGAAACAATCGTTATCTTTATTACACGGAACATCTCGTCTGCAATCCTTCTCGTAACACAAACTTCTGCCTTCATAATCGTTACAGTCTTTCGAGATGTCACAGGCCTGAAAATAATCATATAATAAAATCATATAAAGTGTATATGAATCACAATTTTTTCCTAGAAGTATCACCGAGAAGAAGGCGCTGTCTTCGTACTTGTTCGTACGTCTGTCTGTAATACAGACGTCTTACTGTCCTGAAGTTGACAGTCTATTGGCAAGCGATTATGGACAACTTCGGATTCGCCTACAATCGTAAAAACATGACGACAATCGTGAAACAATCTTATGCCTTCTTGTAGTCATAAGCGGGTATTTTAGGCTACGGCAACAACTTTCTGTGCGACCATAAAATCTTTGACACGCAAAAGAATTCCCGATGGACCCTTATGGTGATTCCTTTTCGTACTAGTTTGCCTTTGTAAAGCTACTGTTAAGGCATATTGTCAAGTCTTTTATTCGATGATCATGTACTTTATCGGGATTTTTTCCTTCGCCATGATTATACAAAAGAAACAAGAAGATCCCCGACTGTCAGGACAAAGTGAAATCCTCGCAATGCCATTTTCCTGTCATCATATACCGGAGTAAATGTCTGTTAATCACATGTGCAAATATTCAAAACAATCAAATTCCCTAAACATTTTTGTCATACGCGTTTTGAAACGGAATAAAAATGGAATGAAATTTTATAAAGTACTGTGACCAGCCACACGACATTTAACAGAAGCTTTGCGTTTCTTTTAATCAGACGTATTAATACGTTTTTCTGATTGTAAAAATTAATGGTGTCTCCTAGAATTCAACAATAAAATGCCTTTATAGTGTTAAAATGCAATGGGCGTTACAGAAAGTTTATAACTTTTTAAGCACAAAATGAAAATTCAAGTAGAAAATGAGTTAAATGATAAAAGAAATATGTGAAAACTGTGCATTTGTGACGAGTTAGAATTTTAATTTCATGTGAATTTGACATGAGCACGTATATAGGATATTGAATTAGTGTAGGTTCAATGCTGAATTTATTGAAGGAGTTGAATAAATTTTTATTATGCAATCCTATATTTAAATAAATACCGAAATGCACCTACACTTATACAATGTCATATCTATCACATACATAAGAACAGTTTGCAGTAAAAAAAAGAATCATTTCTCTTTGACGCGCTAATAGTGTAACGCAATCTTTTGTGTTACGTGAATTACGTTGCGTCAAAAAACCATAGCCGTGTAATACCATTTTTCGGAGTCTCAAAAATGGTACTAGTACTTCTAATTCTATCAATATATAAATGAAATGTGAAAATACTTACCGAACATATTCCAATAACTAACACCAATACTAAAGCTTTGACAGTCATTTTGTCACGAATGTCCCTGTTCAATATGACAGATTACAACTACTGTGGTATATTTATAACAAAATTTACTTGCAAGTTAAGCAGCTATGTGAGGCCATTTTGAGGGTTTTGAAATTAGATATTTTAAAACTTGTCGTTTTAAACGATATGAAGTATTTTAGGATATTTTATCAAAATTATTATCTATATGTTAACTTTAGATAAACTGGCATTGTAAAAACATAAATATATAAATAAAAAGTTAAAGCATGGCATTATGTGAAAGTGTTTCACGCTACCAAATTGCCAAGGTTGCACTTAAGGGATAATCTTCCGCCGCCATCACCAACAACGACAACCCCTAAAAACAAAAACATTTAGAATATTTGGAGGGATGGGGGAAACTTTTTGTCACTTATATTCTTCCCTCTTAAATTACCACTGAATTTTTATTTGTCTGGGCACGCAATCGGGGAGGAAAAATCCTAAAACGGGGACTATAGATGAATAGTAAGAAAATAAGTTCACTTCTAAGAGTGGACTCATGTGTATTTTTTGTTTGTTAGTTAAAAAACAGTGATAATTTTTCGTTTACAAAAACAAACTTTTCTCACATTGATAGTGTTGCAAGTTTCTTCCTGCAGGGCCTCGATTATTCCTCGGGCCAATTTCCTAAAATGGTCACACTATTAAATCAAATATTGTTATGAATTGTTAGGTATTTACCAGAATTATTCAAATTAGATGACCAATTATTTGACATTATGTCTCACGAGGAACACAGTTTGTAAAAATATTGGTTCGCAGAGTGTCTCGACAATTTACTGATACGGAAATAGTCGCAAAAGGTCAATAGGAATTAATGTCATTTAACAGCCCAGAGTAAATGTTACAAAAACCCGCCCAAGTTATTCCCACGAATGCATGTATTGTTTTAATTAACCTTGGCCTATTAAAATGTACATGCATTATTTTTCTAATTTAAATTAGAGCACTATTTACGATTCCATCGCACGTCTCTCCATTTTAGCTGTTTCACTGTTTTTTGTTTTTTTTTCGTTTTTTTTTCTTTCATTTTTTTTTCTGATCAGCGTCTAACTATGGCCTGTATGAATAGACATACAATGTATATGGTATAAAATTCCAACAACGTTATGGTATGGCATCTTCGTTAGCCTCCCCTGTTCTTTCATACAACAGGTTACTTGAAAGTCACCAATGGTCATTAAGTTGTCTTAATTCATTGAGTGTCAATAAAATGTGTGACTATGTATTCAACCGCCAACGTATCGAGAGGTTAAACCCCTCTTCATTTTCCAAAAAAATATATATATATTAATCTGTTTTTCTTACTAAATTATGCCTACATATCAACACATACAATTTTAGATAACATAGTGTAAGAAAAAAAAGATGAATATGTGATTTATGAAATAAATAGCTAACTCCTTGGTAAAGAGGGGTTCAACCCCTCGAAACGTTTGAGGCTGATAAACTTTGTACGTGTCATCAATTGATTCCAGAATAGTTTCCAGTAAACTATGGAAATATGTTCCGACCGCTGACAATGCTTACATAAAAATTGGCAACACTTAATTGTTCTGCTTACAATAACGTTTACAATGACAATAGAAAAACGACCCTAAGATATTACTGCTATAGTTGTTGAATAATTAATATTGAACACAAACACAATCTGTATTAATGATTTTTCATGAAACACCGAGATGGATATGCACAGCAACATTAAAAGATAATGACATTTTTACGTTTAAATAAATCTTATGATGAACATGTTATATAGATGGCAATTAGGGGGCGTCCGTGGCCGAGTAGTTTAGGTTGTTGACTTCAAACCACTTGCCGCTCACCACTGTGGTTGAACTCCCGACAGCTATGCAGCTAGCTTAAGGAACGTCGGTTGACTTGGTGTTTCTACTCATAGGTCGACTAATAACAAATACTGTGTTGGTGCACAAAATGGCAATTAATAATATCTTATGTAATTTAAGTTGGCAGATACTTGTGTAAAACATACTAGTGCTGATTGACATTCGTAATGTATTTATCGATCGGTATATATAATGCCGAAAAACTTATAAATTATGGAGCCAAACATGACTTTACCAAACCAAACAGTACACCTAACCTATCTATATAAAAATAAATAAAACAAAACTTAAGCAAGCTAAACGAAATATTGCTTCATATTCAGTGCTACTTTCTTCAGTTTGTTCACTATCTAACAAGCTCTAAAGAAACAATAATTAAACCATAATTAAACATATGTTTCACCTTTCTAAAGGATTTTTAATTGTACTGCTTTAAGACTACAACCAACAAAAATAAATTAAATTCAACTAACTGTATACTTAACCAAACTGAACTTATTCCTAAACTGAACTTGCCTAATCTAAACTCATCTTAACTAAACTAAACCCGGGTGAACTAGATTAAAGCCAAATAATTAAAAATGAATTATAAATTCATGCCACTTGTGCATATGTACTAATTGTTTCGAAAGTCCCTCTGGGAATGTGGTAACGTAACTGTCAGTGGCAACAATAATCCCTCATTAGTGTCAATAATTAATTAAATGAATGAGGGTATAATTCTTCTCTAAATTGCTGTATAAATGATAAATGATATCATTTGTCTCGTGGTATAATTGCTCTTTTATGTATTTCTCACACTTTAAATGTATTTTTTGTATTTATGAATTTTTTCGCTACGTTAATTTGACATTCACTACAATAATTGCATTTTGAAAATGAAACCTTTCATATTTTTTTCTATTTTTTTTTGTATTATAAGTAGTTTAGTGGCGAATTCAAAAATAGAAATAAAAATATATTTTGACGCGTTGGATTTCTTGTAAAATGACAGTTTCCATGGTAACCGTATATCTCAAAACTGTCAAAATAGCCAAACTGTGTTACATGAAATAGAATAGCTTTCATATCGCTATATTAACTTGTGTATCACTATGTTAACTTGAAAACCTCTTTATTAACTTGTATATCGCTATATTAATTTGTATATCGCTATATTAACTTGTATATCGCTACATTAACTTGTATATCGCTATATCAACTTGAATATCTCTACATTAACTTTCATATCGCTATATTAACTTCTGTATCACTATATTAACTTGAAAACCTCTTTATTAACTTGTATATCGCTATATTAATTTGTATATCTCTACATTAACTTGTATATTGCTATATTAACTTGAAAACCTCTTTATTAACTTGTATATCGCTACATTAACTTGTATATAGCTATATTAACTTGAATATCTCTACATTAACTTTCATATCGCTATATTAACTTGTATGTTGCTATATTAACTTGTATATCGCTATATCAACTTGAATACTACATTAACGTTCATATCGCTATATTAACTTCTGTATCACTATGTTAACTTGAAAACCTCTTTATTAATTTGTATATCGCTATATTTACTTGTATATCAATATATTAACTTGTATATCGCTATATTAACTTGTATATCGCTATATTGATTTGTATATCTCTACATTAACTTGTATATCGCTACATTAACTTGTATATTGCTACATTAACTTTAATATCGCGATATTAACTTGTATATCTCTATAATAACTTGTATATTGCTACATTAACTTGTACGACTTATATCTCTACATTAATTTGTATATCTCTAACTTGTTAACCGAATAAAATATCTTGTAATTGGTTAAGTAAAATGGAGCCAGTTGGAATATGAAGAGTCATTATTGGTCAAATTAACCTTACCGCTGATCAGTAAACGGTCGGTTATCTCAATGAAGGCTGAGTTAAAGTCGGCAGGTTGTTGTCGGGGTCGGAATGGTTTAATTAGGATCTGATTGGTAGTCCGGTTGCTGTCACACAGTGAATGTAATGATTGTTTCGATGTATTAGTGCGACTTATGGTGTAAAATTGTTAATATGTGCATGAGCTTTTTCTTCGATACAATGTTGATGCAGTTATAAATCAAACTGTTTGTAGGTAAAGGCTAATTTGAGTTTGTTTACATTTATACAAGACAATTGTCTTTTATGTAATGAAATCAGATTTTGTGAAAGGGCGACAGCAACTTCTCGAGCCTTTTATAGTTGTTTATAATAAAAGCCGATCATTCCGATCGGTATGAGGGTGCTTGATTATTAATTAGTCGCGATATGTACAATGAATAGCGAACTGGAGAATTTCGCAATGCAAACATTTTCAAATTAAATAACCTTTTCCGTCAATAAATCGCGCTGTTCAAGGTATTTTTATTTATCATTTTGTAGTACAAAGTGGATTATTATGGTATGTTATTCCGAAAGCTGTAAATAGAATGATGAGTTGATGACCTAAATATTCCGAAAATCTATTTATAGAGGGATGTACTTCTGTCGTTAATTCCCGGTCCCTCCTGGTCTATTTTGACGACCGGTGAATAGTACCACACGTTTATTGTCCGGTCTCTCCCGGTTTTGGAGTAGAAGTTTGATATCGTTACAGAACAGAACAAATATTTTACAGATAAATAAGCTTTTTTTTCAAAATGAATGTTTGTCACTTAGTTTGGTTACAATAATTAATAAACATAGATCAACTCTCAAAATTATTGCTTATTATTATACATAATCATACAATTCGAAAAAAAACCAACAACACAAATCGCATGTTTTATTTTATCTATATGAGATAAAAACAATAAATATGAACAATAATTGAGAAAAAATGTACATTTTTATGGCATTAATATGACACTATCAACTTTGAAACATTTTATTTAATTTGTTATTCGTGTTTAGTAAAGATGCCGAGGAATTATTCAAAGTTACAAATCAGATTTTATGAATTATTCAATTGATTGATAATTTAAGAAATGATAAAGAAAAATACAAATGTACATGTATATGGTTTAAGAATAAACAATATTATATATTGAAAGATTAACCACAATTTACTGACTTTTTCCAGTTAAGTTTTGACTTATAATCGTCGGTCATTATGACAATTGAATTCTTAAAATAATAGTAAACGTAAAAACTCAGTATTAAAATAGCGCATAAAACACAGAAAAGAAAAGAAAACAATATTCATAAAATCTGTATTTTTTTTTATTAAAAAAGATATTACAATTAGTGTATAATAAACATTTATGCTCAACATGGTAATATAACAAGTGTCATATTGTTACTAAGTGTGAACAGATACTTTAAGAGGGGGTCTTCGCTAATAGCGATAACATAATAAGGGACAATTACACAAGTGTGGTGTTGATCATGCGTTACTCATATGGATTATAAATGATTGTATACATGTATATCCGTTGCTATTAATAATCACGATCATAAAGAAATAACAAGTAATATTCTAATTTCTAGCATGCCAATCAAATTTATAAATAATGAACAATGTCTTTCGTTCGTTCATTCATAAGTGATATACAATTCTGGTAAAAACCAATGAACCATTGAACAGTTTATCATCATATATCTACTAGTTCATCTGCACCTGCTGCATTTCTTGCTTGGACGCCCTTTGATGCTTTGCATCAATGCTTTTCTTGTAGCTGTACTGTAACGCATAGACGTTTTTAAGTTGGCGCCAAAATAGCAAGGAATATATATTCAACTTGCAGTGCGGAAAAATATAGAAAGGCGTTCAACCATCAGTCTGTCCTGCACGGTAGGGTTTCCCCCTTCGTAATTTGCTAGGAACAACATTGTAATTGGCTATCGTTCAGTTGTGTACATATCACGGATGACTGCACAAATAACGACTTTATGATGGAACAACACTACCCGTATTGTTATACAGTTTCAAATGACAAATAACCATAAGCTGTATGCATTATTAATTGGTATGTAAACAATTATTATTACAAGCTGTTGATTTAAAATTGAAAGCAAAAGAGATCATCGAAAGTTCGCATCATTGACCATGCCTGTAATTGATTTCTCGGTCCGCTTGATTTTATCTAAATTCCCTTAAGGAATGCTTAGAATCACATTCCTCGATAAGTCAAAACTTAATCGAACGAGTTGTTGATTCAATGGATGTTGGGCATATATGAGGTCGTTACTAGAGCCTGATGAAATAAGAGTGGAGTCCACGTTGCGTAAATTTCATCGTATTGCATTTTCTTTTTTTAGATACAACATTGACAAACAGTCGTTTGTGTTTCTCAAATAACTTCCATTAATAAACATAAGTATATTTAAATAATTATCATACATAACGTTTGTGAAGGCAATAGTGAATTCATTTAGTGATTTTCTAAAAAGAAAAAAATAGGATATTGTTTTATCTTGTAATAAATGTGTCTTACACAAGACATTGTGGCGATTTTATATAACAAAACACGTTTTTAGTATAATTACACAGTAGGATAAACCACGGATTTATATTACATAAATCCGTGGATAAACAAAACAGCCTTTTACAATGGCGGGTGAAAATGGACGAAAAGCCGTTCTGGCTGACTACATGGATTATGCGACTGTGCATGGAATAGGGCGTTCCAAAAACTCCCCGTATTTGGTGTTCAAGCTATTTTGGGTATTAGCTCTTCTTGCTTCTCTAGGAATGATTATATGGCAAGTTCGTGACTTATACGTAAAGTATGATAGGTAAGTTACATTTGACATTGTATGTGACGCGAGATGGCAGTCATGAACTATAAATAGAAATAACTTGAGATGGATGAAACTTTTGTCAAAAATGACATGCATTTTTCCTACTGTTTTTCTTTTCTTGTTTAATGTTGCACCTAAGGAATATTTTAGGTAAAAATCAATTCAAACAAAAAGTTAATATTAACCCAGACAGCCCATATTGTAGTTATATCAAAAGGGTCAACTCATACGATTCTGAAGAATCGCCTAAAAATTAGGCGGATAACTGCAATATGGACCGTCTGGGTAAACGAAAGTCTGGCATCTTTGTCAATGCTTGACCTCATAAATGTTTTTGTCCGTTGCTATGGAACGTTTTCTACCAGACTTACAGGCATCTTTAATTAACTCGCTGTTGCCATAAATACGAGTATTACAAATACCATGGTAAACATTTTCAGATCAATTCGAAGTTTTGCTTGAGCTTTTATGTAAGCCTGTATTTCGGCACTTTCAACTAAATTTTTACCAGCCATAATTTATATGAGGTTACCCCTGTAAGTTATTTTTAAATATTTTTATAATATTATTTTAAAAATTCGTTATCGTTCGAATGCAGACATGATTTTAAAATCATTTGAAAGCAGATGCTTTGAAACATTAGCATAGTTTACACAAATACAAGAATCACGAGCTAAATTAGAAAATATGATTCATATTGCATGACGAATTCACCCACACCATCATACTATTTATTAAATTTATTAACAACTCTGTGTTTTCTCATACACTGTATCTATACCAAAACGTCTTATACACTATATATAACTGGATCGACGAATTCATTATGAAGATTTGATAGATAATAAAACAAAAATAAAGCTTAAATATTATAGGAAATACCAACAAGATGTATTTAACGATAAATTATTTTAGAAATATCAACAAGTATTATCTTTGGTAAATCTATATTTCTATATGTTGCAGCCATCCAGTAAGTACGTCAATAGAAGTGAAAACAGCCAAAAGATTGAAATTCCCGCCAATTACTATATGTAACACAAATCCAGCCCAGTACTCGTTAGTTGAACCAGGGTCAACATTAGATGACGTCATACAAGAGGCTTCCAAAAAATATTCTATTGACCTGAATATTTACAACAGCACGGTACGTATTCTATAAACATGCCATGATTATTATGTTAATACTCATTCTTCGTTCATCTTAACACGTATGAAATATCTGCTTGTTTGGAGACCACGATTTCGATCAGTTGCAAAGAATATATAATCTTAATTTTCATAGAATAAGATTATGACTGACAACAGACGGGCAGACACAAATAGACATATGTTCTCACAAGGCTAAACTATCAGATACAGACATATACACAGCTAGGCTAGGTAGACGAACATAGAAACAGCCAGGCAGACAGGTAGTCTTACATAGAGACAATTAGGTAGTTCTACATAGAAACAGTCAGGTTGACAAACATAGAAAAAGCAAGGTAGAAATACAGAAAGACAGCAAGGTAGGTAAACATAAAGACATACGGTTAACGGACAAAATGACAGACAAACGGCAAACAGAAGGGCATGCAACACTTTGCAAGACATATAGTCAGACACCCAGGATGACAAAAAGATAGCCAGATAGACATACATAAAGACAGTCAAGTAGATAAACATACAGACAGCCATGTGGATCAACAGAAAGGTATCCAGTTAGATACACATGGAGACCGCCAGGTAGACAAACAGAAAGGCAGCCAGGTAGACAAGTATACAGACAGTCGAGAAGTCAAACATTAAGAAAACCAGGTAGATACACATAAAGAAAGCCGGGTAGACAAACAGAAATGATCCTAGGTAGACAAACATAGAGACAGCGGTAATTAAACATAGGGACATCCAGCTAGATAAATATAAAAATAGTCAGGTAGACAAACAGAAAGACAGTCATGTAGACAAACAGAAATGTACCTAGGTAGACAAACATAGAGTCTGCCAGGTTAACAAACAGAAAGGCAGCCAAGTAGAGAAAGACAACCAGGTAGGCAAACATGGAGACTTATGATTAGCTTACGAACGGATAGAAAGACGGCAGACGGACAATGATTTGCAAGACAAACTGACAATAATATTAATAGTACTATTGTGGCAACATTCTATATTGTGTCATTTTTGTAAGCAATGAATTTTATTATTTTTCTTTGCATAAGGTAACATTTCACAGTTACTCTGAATACATCTTTTGTGATCCACAAGGAGCTCTTATCGGCAACAACAACTACGAACGATGCATTTCTTAGTTCTCAATTCGAAAGGATCCCTATAGTTCTCAATTCGAAAGGATCCCTATAGGGTGTGAGACTGGATAAGTTTCTTGTAACATAAGCATAAGACAGATAGCAAAAAATAATATTTATGTTTCGTCTCTTAGAAACTATACAACTATACAACAGGGAACGAATGTTCCTGGACACGCAACGTCTGCTCTTCTTATATTACATAACTAGGCCCAGTTAAATAATATCTGTCTCGGTTAAATCTCATCAATTATACATGGTAATATCAATTCAAATCTTGATAACCCTAGATCAACGGAAGCTATAATTATACCATCGATCAATTATTATCAAAAGCAAGACAATTAACTTTTCAATGCTTTTAATTCTGATCTATCGGTATAAATTCCAGCAAACGTTCCCAGAGGGGCACACTTTTATTGAAAGTTATTTAAACGTATTGGATAAGTTATATAACTTTAAAAGGAGTCATGCTACACTTTGACTTAATTTACACCTTTTATCAATATTATCAATATCGTTTAAAATGACGAAGTCAGAATTTGAATTGATGTTTATTTAATGTGGTGAATACCATTAATATCTATATTACCACCTGAAGGACAGTTGACTTAACCGTTACCCTGCCGGAACTGAAAGTAGGCCAGTCTTTGCCACCAGCATAGAAACAGTCAAACAGCTCTGTATAGAAATTACTATTTAACCTTGATATTTCTATACTCAGTTTACTAACCGATTGAACGTAAATTGCAGGGATCCTTTCTAAGAGAGCACTTATATATATGTACTTTCAGAAGAATGCTCTAGGCATTGTGACATCATTTTAAGTACATTACAGGCCGGGCCTGGAAGAGGATACACATTATGAGGAAACTGAAGTTTCAGCTTGACCGTAGATCTCTTGAAGTGATATATTTAACTTTCATCCGACCAATTTTGGAATACGCCGTGACTGCTGTTGTCAATCTTAACTGCACACAATATGAGAAACTTGAGCTTGACAAGATTCAAACTGAAGCGTAGCGTATTGTGTGCGGTGCTACAAAACTTGTATCATTAGATAAACTCCTTGGAATCCTTAGAATCTTGAATAAATAATCATATGCTTATCTTACTTTATAAAATGAAAAATGGCTGAACACCAGATTATACTTGTGTTCTTTACTTCGACATACTGTAGGAGATACTTCAAGGTACATTGTACAATGAACACAATGCCATGAATATTCAGTCTATACGAACACTAACAAGTCTTTATCAAAATGATTTTCTGCCAACTGCCCTGATCATATGCAACGCCCTTCAAAGTGAAGTACAACATTTACGTTCATTGCCCTCTTTCAAATCCCATTTGAGACGAAGCAGCTCTAGTTGTCCGATTTATTTCTATGAAGGCGATAGAAAATGGCAGATCTATCATGCTCGATTTCGTACTGAATGTAGTTCTCTAAATCAGCATCTATTTATGAAAAAAATATTTCTCCATCTCATCATTTCTTTGTCAGTGTGGCACAGTGGAAAGTAATTACCACTTTTTCTTTGAATATTTACGTTATGTTAGGGCCTGCATTTTTAACACTATATCTGCCATTTGTTCAACACAACTATCCAACCTTTATTAAATGGTGACCCAAACATTAGCGATGATGCAGAAAATTGTTTGAAGCCGTTCATACCTACATCCGAGATTCTCTTGAGCATATTCACATCAAATCAAATCACGCTTCGAACTATCCAAATGATCTCATTTTAGTATTTTTTTCTTTTTCAGATTTCTGAAAGTTTTTGCCTTACTACACATATGCTACATTCTTGGTTTATTCCTCGTCGGTGGTTCTACTCAGGTGCCCCTTCGTGCCTTAAATAATGCACGGAAGGGCACCTGAGGTCTTCTCCACCAGTAAAGCTGGAACGTCGTGATATGACCTATACTGTGTCGATGTGACGTAAAAACAAAAACAAACAAACAATTCCTCTTTAATTCTATTTAACATGATATTAAATGCGGTCTTGTATTATCATTTTTTTAATTTGTATATACATTGTAGTCTACTTTAGTTTATAACTAAATTATAACTAAATGTAAGAAGCAATCTTAACTTTAATTACTTATAAAATCAGCAATTTATATATACTGTCATATTGTAATTTGTGCATTGTACATCTATAAGGAGAACTTGAAGTTATTTGAAATAAATTATGTTTAAACTAGAAAGAGCACTTAAAGATACGTTATTCGTAGTTGTAACTGTAAAGAGCTCATTTATAATCACTCTTTTCAGCGGATAGTGCTCCATATAATGCGAGTATAGGAAATTACAAAGTTTTAATAGTCTTAATAATGTTGTTTATTTCTTTCACTTTTTCAGGACATGTATAACTATAATTTCTCAGCGTTTGATGAACAGAATAAAAACTCTTCTCTTGGTAAGTGTTCACACACAAGATGTTTTTGATAGCCCAAGAATACCTATTTGATTTATTTCAACAAACAACTTATTTTAGACATAATCTACATAATTTTTATGATATTCCAATATAAAATAATTTTCATGTTAATCTTGCTTGTTCCTTTGATTTTTGTGTATGATTAATATTATACAGTGCTTAAATACTACTACGTCTATGCGTCAATACTGGATTTTTTTATCTATAAACATGGTATATTTAAGGCAATCCAATGTTCGATCCAATTTGACCTCACTTTCCCAAAGAATAAAAAACATCCTCAACAGCTTTTGTTCATTTTTTCAACTTCTGAGAGGTTGACTGTTTTGACATTGTTTCTAAAATGAAGTTACAACTTGTTTAATCATACATGTGATTTTTTTACCACGTTTAAGGTTTTTTTTTTAATTCTCGTATTCTTCAAACTAAAATGTGATATGCTTTCTCGCCACGTACCTTTTTCCCAAAAATTGTTGGTAAAAGGGCCCTGAAGTATTGTAAAAAATGAAAGAAAATTCTTAAAGAACAATAATAATGAAAAGACTTAAATTTTTTCTTTCCAGAAAATGACATAATGTGGATAACTGCTGAACAGTTCCGGATGAAAATGGCCACACTTGATGATTTTACACTTGAAAATATATCCCAGCCATTACCTGAATTCTTCCTACTCTGTAACTTTGCGGGAAAACCCGGGGCGACTAGTAGTGGTGCGCAATTTTTAATTGAAAAGATTGTGAATTTATATAAAAATATTTTTTTTCCCACACCTTTAAAAGTTTCAATGTAAATTTATATAAGATTTGGTGGGTGGTATTGGTAGTTTTCACTCCGGATCAAAGTAGTACATTTACCAGAGCCAGTTGGCCCCACGGAAGTCAGCGTTTACTAGTATAGTTGCCCCCATTTGCAAGGAACTGAAACTTCTGTACAGCAAGGGCGGGGGTACAGTGTGAATGACGTGATGTTTCATGTAAATCACCAGCCCGGGGAAATCGAACCGGGTCCCCCGTTCACGCCCTAAGCTTCCCCTTTTGGAAACCCCGGACACTGCAGTAGTTTCCCAGGTTGTCTTTTTTTTTCCATAAAAATGAGTTTTGGGCGTTCCTTTAGAGCCATCATTTTTTCGCATCGGCGACCAGTAACTAAGTGATGCGCTGAAACAACCAGACGAACTGATACTGCGATGCGTTTCGTCGCTCCGGTGTTCTTGGCTTGTTTTAGGTCTCTGATAAAAAGAAACGATAGCCCCCGACGGAACAACGTATGAATCAGATTCTGATAATATTAGAATGTTTAATTTTCTATATGTAAGCCTATGATGTCATCAATGCACATGTTTTATATTAAAAGCTTCATACTGCTAGTTTATGTTACAGAGAAGCAATCACGCAAATCCGGTCGTACACATACGGTTTGTGTTACAAGTTCGAACCCGAGTACATACCCGAGCTTTCACCCCATGGTGAGGTGGCGGACGCTGGTCCAAAATATTGTAAGTACTATGAAATGTGTGCACGCCCGTTTAACTCACAACGAGTGAAAAATGTCCATCGGTAAAAATGTTGTGAGCAACTTCCGTTCCTCGTTGTGAGCACTCATCTATGACGTGTGACACGATAAAAAAGGGTGGTTTTTCATAATTTTGAAGTTTCAGCTTTATGTAAAATTTCGGAATGGTTAGCTAGGTTGTGTTTTCCAGTTGACATGAAAAGATTTGTTGGTCCTTTGTGGAAGTCGTGCGACGCAGTCCTTGGGTAGTGGAAAACTGGAGCAACTTCCCCGAAAAAATTTTACTTTGGGAAAACGTGTTTTTGGTGAGGTTTTTGTGCTTCAAACCTTTAAAAAAGATGCCACAAGTTTAGCGAAAATTTTTAAAGAAATCTTCTTTAGAAACAAAGATATCCCCTTTTTGTTTAATCTTGTTGGGCATAAAACCCTCTTTGTGAGCAAACAAGCGCGTGCGTGTTGGTTTTTATTTTATTCGTGGTAAAAAGGGGGGTCCGTGGCTGAGTGGTTAGGTCGTTGATTAAAACCCACTTCCCCCTACCTCTTGGGTTTTGAGATCCCGACAGGGGACTTTGGATTCTTTATTGTGAGTAAGCTATCCAGCTAGCTTACGGAACGGTCCGTGGTTCCTACTCAGGTACCCGTTCGTGCCTGAAATAATGCACGGAAGGCACCTGAGGTCTTCCTCCACCAGTAAAGCTGGAACGTTAAGCGATATGACCGGGTGGTCAATTATGTATATTACTTTTGTATTCCATTACTAACAAGGTAGTATGTTTTGATATCTTCATTGGATTTCTAATTTCGTTAGATAGTTGAATGCAACATATATCTTGATTCTAAAGGCGTTTTAAACATAAATATGCATAAAGATACATGTTCATATTTGGAGATTTTAATCGGTCATTAATGCACCAGTTTAATTGGTTGACCAGTTAACCAGTTCACCAAGGCATTCGTATTTCCTTGAATATCTGGAATTTTGACAAGAATTTACAACAAAAGCCCGCATTCTGTGGCAGAAATTCCACAATATGACTCCACAATGCTTCACGAGTTGGAGCATAACTTCACTCGCTAAGCTGGAGCGAAGATAAAATCACCGCATGACCTGGTAGTGTGAGACTAGTTGGTAGTTAAACAAGAGGGCCAAGATTGCCGTAGATCGCTCACCTGACCAATCGAACTTATCCGAGCAATTACCTAGACGTGTGATGATGATTGAGGCAAAAATGTGACCACAAATGTGGACGGACAACAGACGACGGACGACGGACATTCAACGATCCTAAAAGCTCACCCTGAGTTAGCTCAGGTTAGCTAAAAAGTTGGCTTATTTCTCAAATGCCACCCCCCACTGTCCCGAGGGTCGGGACCGAGTCACCGAGGTAACATTTTACTGGTGTATAAACTATAATTATATTTATGGAAATGTGAATGCTTGTGCCAAATGCCACAATTAAACACAATTAATCTTTCACAATGGTACACACACGCTAAGTTGTAACACAAACTTTCTTTTAAACAGTTTGATACATATGGTGGCTGATTTGGAACACTCTTGGGTGTCGTGTTATCGCTAGCGACCGCACGACAAAGCGCCAATCGGCGCGATGTCGGACTTTCGTCTTGTCGTCCTGTCGCTAACGATGCACTCCAAACGGCGCGTTGTTGTGCGGCGTCTTGTTGTGGTGTCACAATGTCGCTCGGCTCAAATCGAGGATTGGCTATTTGTTTACAAATAAGCCGCACGACAACGCGCCGCACGTGAACGCGCCGTTTGGCGTGTTTCACTAGCGACAAGACGACAAGGTGATAACGATACAGGTTTTGTTGTCGCCGCGCAGTGTACTAAATCAGCCACCATAAATACGTGATTTAACTTAACGTTGCATTGTTATTTTGCAAGCATTGGAAATACTTTTGAATGTTGACCAATCCGAGAGTATTCCATTTGTGACGTCATCAGCGGGTGTCGTGATCGGGTCAGACTCACGCAGCCAGATTTTTCACGAAAATAACGGAGTTTTCGTGCCAACAGGGTTTGAAACAAACATTGCTTTGTCACTCGTAAGTATAATTGATCCATCTTTTTATCTTAACTTTATTTCTACACAGAGTATAAATATTCAAAAAATGGCAAAAAGGGAACTCCTCACCTTAGAATAGGTATTGCTTTTGCCATTATGATCATATAAAAAAGGTATCTGCTATTTTTCTAATGTTTTATTCATTATATGATTCAAATCATGTTCCAGGCAATAAATCTCGACAGTACGTTATTTTTTAAGGCTACACCCTCGTAATATAATTCCTAGCATCCGAACTCCAAACAGTGATTGGCGTCCGCGCCGAAGCGCGACGCTCCAATGTGACTCCACCACGTGACTCCACCAATGGAATGAGAAAGGGCGACAGCAACTTCTCGAGCCTTTTAGTCGGCCATAATAAAAGCCGATCATTCCGATCGGTATGAGGGCGCTTGATTATTAATTAAAAATGAAATGTCGCGATAAGTACAATGAATAGCGAACTGGAGAATTTCGCAATGCAAACTTTCAAATGAAATAACCTTTTCCGTCTCTTCGTTTTTTTTTATTTATCATTTTGTACTACACAGTGGGTTATTATGGTATGTTATTTTATTTTGGGATAAAATCACTGTTTGGGATACATTATTTCTTAAATGTTGCTCTTGGGAAAGATACACACGAAAAACATTGAAAGTTACGTTCCGTCGGAATGGGTTAACATTAAAACAATATACAGCTTATGGTTATTATTCAAATATATACGAAAAATGAGGGAATACATTTATACCTTAAACATTTAATTCACTGCAATGACACGCACTGTTACGTAAACACATGTTATGGTAATTTGGTTGAGTAATTGTGGTATAAGAGGTAAATTGTTGCGCTTAATGAAGTACATGTATGTATACATTGCAAAGTGAAATCCTATGCTGTAGGTCTGGGAGGTAATTTCGTCAATTTTAATGTTCCCTCTTTTTAGATGATTTTGAATTATCTTAGGAAAGAGATGGTAAATAGCGGTTTGTCTATAAATATAGTTTTGATTTTGTTACAATTTGCTGATGATACGGTCATTTAGGAGAAAACCAAATGAAATGAATAGAAGTTTGTCTTTATTGAATGATTATTGTAAAGATTCTAAGATTTAAAATATCGATAAAACCAAATTTGTTGTTTTAGAAAACGCAGAGGCTTAAAAGACAATGACTTTTTTTATTATGAATGCAAACATTTAGATATTGACGATTGCTTCAATTATCTAGGAATAATATTTAGTTATACTGGTAGTTTTATTTTAAATCAAGAACATTTGATTGCCAAAGCTCCTAAAGCTCTAAATGTACTATATTGATTAAATGTAATAGATATCAGTTAAAACCTTTAGTTTTATGTCAGCTTTTAATATTACTCTTGTACGTTGGTTCTTTTTTAAATTACGCTGCCGAAATCTTGGGCTTTACTAAATCAAGGGAAATTGAAGGAATTATCCTTAAATTTTGTTAAAAGATATTAAATGTATATGTTAATTCATGTAATGTTGCTGTATATGGTGAACTTGCACGTTATCCTTTATATATTATAAGATAATATTTCGTTTAAACTGCTTTAGACAAATTATTCTTAAAAAAGGTACATAACATTGATTTTGAAGACGGTAATAATGATAAGAAAGAATTTATTATCAAATGTTGTTATGTAATCATGGTTTTAATGATATTTGGGGTTTTTCCAGATTCAGTAAAATATAAAATGAATAAAACTGTAAGAAATGAAAGATTTTGTATATATTGTAATCTACATTACGAAGAAGATGAATACCATTTAATTTTAATTGGTCCTTGTTATATTCATATAAGGAAAATATATAAAAAGATACTATTAGGTCTATACTAGACCTAGTATAGTTAACATTCATTGGTACGCTGAAATCAGACAATTGCAGTATTGTTTTAAATTGATCCTTGTTTGTATTTTAAAGAGATGCGATGTCTCATAGAAATACCTTAGATATAGTAGATATAACTTTAATAATTCATCCTCTATATTGAGTTGAAAGGGACATGTTTTGATCTGATCTTGCGATTAATGTTTATATGTATTGTAAAATTGTTTATATTTGTTTGACGATGTATAATTGTACATGCCAAAAATAAAGTATCTATTCTGTTCTGTTCTGTTCTGTTATTTCCTACCATGATTTAGAATATCAATCTCCCACGCAGTGATCTCTGCCACGATATAATGTTTTTTGCAGTTTTGGTATTTATTCAAAAAAGTAAACACGGTTTTGCTTATGTTTCAAGACCGCTAGAGTGTTAGATGTTAACTTAAATAAAAAATAATTTTGGAAACATAAATATTATGAAAATGAGTCTTACTATCGCCCCGTTTATTTCCAAAACGGCCGCTTTCGAAAGGAAATCATTCAAGTAATTAACAAGCTGTTAAACTTAACCTGCAATTTCGTGAAAATAATATCACAATGCACATGCTTTTTACATAAAGTTATTAAATACAAATATAACAACACATTTGTTTACTTGATTTTTACGAATCAAAATAAAACTAATTAACACAACATGAAATTAACTGCTAATAACAACAGCGCCTTCCATAGGCAAAAATAAAAAGTATTCCATAATAGACGACGCCGCTCACCGGCGTCGCCAATAATTGCGATTCTACACTAATTTTAACAAAAATGTTGTTTTCTCATCAATCATTTCGACAGACTTGACACCAAAGCTCAAGTTATAAAAGCAATGTTTATTACATAAAAAACAATTGTTCGCTTATCCGCAATCTTGAAACAATCATGTGATAAGACCATCATCACGTGATTTGTGTCACTGTCCATAGCGTGACCGTAGCGCGGCTGTAGCGCGACCGTAGCAAACCGGTGTGCAGAGTTTGTCATAATATAGTCAAGAGATTATGAACTTACGTGGTGGTAAAAACATCAGAATAGTCAAAACAGAAATTTTTTGTGTTGACCAAACACTGCTTTATCGAAAATCTTGCTGGCTTTACCTATTTATATGACCTATACCGCTTTGCTTATTTTTCAGGTTGACACAGAGAGGGTAACTGGTTATGATAAAACCCCACGATGCGACCAATCAAACGACTTCGAAAGCTCCCTTTTGGTATACACTTGGGCATAATACCAGTTTAACACCCCCGGGTGTTTTTCTTTTTATTAGAAAAATCCTGGGGTCATTTAACGATATAAATATCTGTGTCGTCATACTTGTTCTATGTTTTAGAACATGAGGGTTGCCTTATCATTTAAGTTCAATATTTTTTTCAATTTTCATCAAATTTTTTTAAATGCAAAAAAGATAGTATTACTCACATTGGTGTACGTATTGCATTATAAAACTGTAGTTTGTTACATCGATTTTCATTGGACAACCGTCATGCTTAAATAATCTATAGACACGGCTACTGTATTGTTATAGAGTATGTTCCATGTATCATCATATGAAAGGGTTATGATGTTTTAAAATCTTTATGTAGATTATTACAGGTTTTACGGTCGTAGATCCATATAAAAAGGGTCAGCATTATTTAATACGAATCGTTATCAGCTAACAAAGTTAACGTTTAATTGGCCCATATGACCAATAAGCAGAGTTAAGGGTCTGACCCCCAAATTTTTATGGCCCAGTTACAATGTTAGTTTTTGATGCATGTATGTGGCAGTACATACATGCAACACATATCTCAATTGAAAATCCATCTTGAAACGAACGTGCAGTTATTAGTTACCGAAGACTGTCAATTGTGTCACGTAATTACTTTTTTTTTTATCACAGGACTGTTTCAAATCTTGTAAACTACGAGATATCGTGAACAGTTGCGGCTGTTACCTGCATTTCTTCAACATTGGTTCTATAAATAAATCTGTCAGCTTAAACAACACGTTTGATGATCTGTTTGGCTACTCACCATGTTACACCAAACAACATTATAAATGTATCCAAGAACTTGAAGCGACCTATATACTACAACCAACGGATGATTGTGACGAATGTTTACCACCATGCAGGTACGTACACTATTTTACCATGCAGGTACGTACTCTATTCTACCATGTAGGTACGTACTCTATTCCACCATGCAGATACGAACATTATTCCATCACGCAGGTACGTACTCTATTCCACAATGCAGGTACGTGCACTATTCCAAAATACAGGCACGTGCACTATTCCACAGTGCAGGTACGTACTCTATTCCTCCATGCAGGTACATACTCAATTCAACCATGCAAGTACGTACTCTATTCCACCATGCATATACGAACATTATTCCGTCACGCAGGTACGTACACTATTCCACCACGCAGGTACGTACATTATTCCACAACGCAGGTACGTACACTATTCCACCATGCAGGTACGCACACTATTCCACCATGCAGGTACGAATACTATTCCATAATGCAAGTACGTACACTATTACTCAATGCAGGTACGTACACTATTCCACAACGCAAGTACGTACTGTATTCCACCACACAGGTACGTGGTCTTTTCCAAAATGCAGGTACGTTCACAATTTCATCTTACAGGTACGTGCTTTATTCCCCCATGCACTAACGTACTTTATTCCAACACGCAGATACGTACTCTATTTCACCACGCAGGTACGTACACTATTCCACCATGCAGGTACATTCATTAGTCCACCATGCAAGTACGTATTCTATTCCGCTCCGGAGGTACGTTCACTATTCCGCTTTGCATGTACATACACTAGTCCATACTGCAGGCACGTACTCTGTACGAACCATGCAGGTACGTACATTTTTCACCAGTTAGAAAAATACAACAAGGTTAATCTTATCAATAAGAGCTATTAAAGAAATTGAATATTGAAGCAGAGTTGTGGCATAGTTGTGGGTGTAGAAAGAATAGAATGCATTATTTCTGAGATGAGTCAAGTTATTTTTCTTCATAATTTTGAATTCATTGTAATAATATATATCACTGATTATTTTAAAAGACCATACGCTGTACAAATATGGCACAAAGAAGGAGATGATGTGTTGCCCAGGACTCATCATGTTAATGTTAATCATGTTAATCTTTAGCGTTATCATTTATATATTTTTGAAAAACGATTTCCATCCGTTTATATTTTCAGCGAAATTTATTATGAAAGCCATGTTTCACAGTCAACATGGCCCGGGACAAATTTTATTCCTATACTCAGGAAAATCTTCAATTCAAAACTAAAAGATCAAATGGCGTCATCCGAAGTAAATCGTGATTATGTCAGGTAAACACTTTAATAAATGGTGGTTATGTCAGGTAAACACTTACTTAAAGCAAGATTATGTTTCGCAAACACTCACATAAAATATCGGGCAAACACTTATTTAAAAAGTATATTCAGGCCACGGACATATCTTATTCATTAATTCAATTCAATAGATAAACCTCATCAGTAAATCGTGATTATGTCAGGTAAATACTCATAAATGTGATATGTCAGGTAAATACTCACTTATATCGTGATCATGTCAGGTAAATACTCACTTAAATCGTGATCATGTCAGGTAAATACTCACTTAAATCGTGATCATGTCAGGTAAATACTCACTTAAATCGTGATCATGTCAGGTAAATACTCTTTTAAATCGTGATAATGTCCTTCTTTTTTCCTTTTTTCCTTCCTTCCTTCCTTCCTTTCTTCCTTCCTTCCTTTCTTCCTCTTTCCTTCCTTGCTCCTTTGCTTGATTGCTTACTACAATCATTCATTCGTCGGTCGTTAATTTTTTATGACATTCAAAAAATGCATTCGTTAAAAATTAACTCATTTTATTTACTTTAGCAAGCACCAAGTATTGCTTTTTATAAAGATGAAGAAGATAAATCATATGGAATTCATTGAACTAATTTCAGGGACAACCTTGCACTGGTGAGAATCTATCTGTCATCGCTGTCCTACCAGGTCATCAAGGAAGAATATGCTTATTCGGTAAATAATAAAACTTGTCGTCAAATTCTATTTACTTTTAACTTATAAAAATATAAAAAAATGTTTCTTTTTCAGTAACAGTTGTTGTTATTGATAAACATTTTTGCTACTTACTTAGTATACAGTAGGTTTAGTAAGACTTCGTGAATAGCCACTTTCCAATTAGGAGATAGTTTAATTACTGCAGTGAAGTCTGCTATGGTATTGTTTGTATTAATCGCAGCTCCTCGGTCCTTTCTTTTGACTTTTAAATGCGTTGGTTTTTTTATGTTGTTTTTCTGGGTTTTTTTTAATTAGAACTTCTTTATTACATACAGGAAGTTGACTTTATCAGTGACATTGGTGGACAGCTTGGATTGTGGGCGGGGTTTTCTGTTCTGTCCTTGTGCGAGATTTTAGAGTTAATTTTCTTACTATGTGCAAGTGGAATGAAAAGGGAGAACACCAATCCGGACAACACTGTTACACCTCTAGAGAAAAAATAAAATTATTGTTAGAAACATTTTATGTAAAAGCTGTGATAAAGAATGTCTTATATATGTATTGTACAATTCTTTAATGTATTAGATAGTTACATTTTTATGAATTTTCGTCTTTAGGGCTATATTTGACATGGTGAGTACTTCCTCAGATTTGTTATCTGGAAGGTATAGATGCACAAATCACAGCGGACCAGTGGTTCAGTCTGAACTAGTTATCTGTTTTACTCGGAGTAAAAATATTGAAATATAGTGTGGTAGAAATGTATATGGTTCTTAAAAATGATACATTGTTGTATTTTGCTTTGTTTGTTACATACTTTATAAATGTACTATCATTTCCAATGTGCCTTAAATATAAAATTCATTACATTGCCCTTGAAAATTGTGCATGAATTCACATTTTATATAATTGTTTATATGAGTGATTCTGTTTGAAAACTTAAAAGATAAGATGAATGCGTACATTTATGTCTTATAATAACTGCGATAACGAAACTGTTCTCCAACATTAGATCTTTTTATTAAACTTTGTGGCTTAAGCTCAATTATCTAAGTACAAAATAAGGCATTACAGTTATGATTAGTAACTTTTAAACAACAGCGGGCCATAACATGAATGAACATTTTATTTCTCTAACAGTAAATAACATAATTCTGCTCATTTTTACATAAGGAGTTTGTTTTTAAAATTTTCGTTTGGACAGGAGAAATTTGTTTTTAAAATTGTATCTCATACACGAATTACCTTAAATTAAAATTGATTTACTATTATATTTATATATTTAAATTTTTGTTTGTTCGTAAAAAAGATTTTAGATTTTTGTATACATGTTTTTTTTTTTCTTTTTTAACTAATGTTATCCTTTTTATTATTGTTCAATGAGAACGTTATATTGTAGTAAATATACATGTTTCGCTTTTTATGTAAACTTAACTGCCTTCTATAAATAAAGATTTTATTATAATCATTATTGCATATGTATTTTAATTTTATTATCATCATTATCATTAACAAAATATTCACAAACCGCTGGGAGTGTCAAATTAAAGAAAGGGGGAGCGGTAGTAAATAAGTCTGCCTTTCAATACATGGAACGATGGTTCGAGCCCTGATTTGGTCATGACCATGTTCTCTAATATTAGTATACAACAATAATGGCTAATTCCTGGATGCGGACCGAGAGAGTTAAACGACTTATTGATAGATCCCTACTCTGACTTTTTTATTTGAATAACAATACATTTAACCACAAACGTCGACATGTGTTCATGTGCTTTCACAATTATGTTGTGGCGTCATATTCGGGCTGAAACAAATATGCTTAAATGAAACTGAAAATGAACAAATTTTAATGTACATGTATTTCTAAATTATATCAAAATAGTGTATAGTTGAAAAAGATGAATAACCTGTCGGCCCAGTAAGCAATTTAAGTGGGACGAGTCGTTAGTGGCGTAAATCATATCAAGTTATATATCAATTTTTAGCTAAATGGCATTAATTGACGTTGACAATAACATTTGGGTTCCCACTTAAACCGTTTATGAACAACAAACCAATATTTCGGATGGAACATCGCATTTTTGCTAGGTCGACATCAACTGTGCAACCTGTCAAGACTCGATTTTCTACGTGTAAAAACGTAATTTTAAATCACGTCATTGTACCACCCACAATAAATCGATAAAACAAAACCAAAGAAACAACTTACCGCCTTAAATCGATTTTTAAAATGTTTTATTACATCTGTAAACAACTTATTTCTAAATGCGAAAATAAAAGTTGTTATCGGCATCCATTATCGATTGGAAACGGACTATTTCATTGGTTGATTTAAATACAAAGCTGAACTGGGTCACAGTATCGTCCAATCAAACGGCGTCTTACAACCGGAGCCGAAAATGTATTATGGCTTTAAAAAATTATTTAAACAAAAGAGTTAAAAAAAAATGAATGTTTGTTTAATTGACTGATTTTAAAACAATTTCCAGCAGTAAGTTTCTTTGGTTTTGTTTTATCGATTTATTGAGTGTTGGAACAATGACATGGTTTAGAATTGTGTTTTTACGTAGAAAATCGAGTGTTGACAGGTTGCACGGTTGATGTCCACCATTTTTATTATAAATTACCATTATAACATTCTGCAAATGTGTTTTACAGAAAACATTCAGTAACTTGAACTATTTCTCCTCGAAAGGAAGTTTGTTTTGCGATAGTGCAAATATAAATGTATCACTTAATCTAATAAGTACGTGTGTCTAATATAAGGTCATGCTTTAACTAGGTTTACGTGATTAGAAACTATGAATCTCAATCTAACCCCACCCGTACCACCATCCCCATCCCGCGGATATTGTGTTCAAAGAATAACGATGGGACCAGTAAAGGTAAATATTCAATGAGCATGCGTCACTTTAAAGCGAGCACTTGATATATTGTAGCTAGCATTGCAAGTATATACATGTAATAATCTTTGCAAACTGTATGTCTTTGCTAACAACACTAAGTATGATTAACATTCTCGGAAATAAATACATGTATATATTATATCAATTTGATGTCATGATAAACGCAGTTCAAAGGGCGCCATATTCCAAAGTACGATGATGCATGCAACAACAGTATTATTTCTGTAACGGAAAACTGGAATTATCATTTACTTCTAGAATAATCTATAGAAATACAATTATATATTGTGCTAAAGATAACATTTTGATTAATACTACATGACAAAACAAAAAAAGAGACTTCATTGCTCTCAAAATAAATAAGCATTTATATTGCGGACCCCTCGAGAAGGAGTTGTACGAATATTTACTATTGTATTCATTTATGAAAAACGTAATTGTAAAGAAGAACCTATGTACATTTAGCTTACAGCTATCATATAAACATTAACCTAATCAGTATAAATAGAAGTTCAAAATAATGAAATTCCTTCTTCTCCTGGTCAATGGTGTATGCTGTTTACTTTTATCTCAATCCCAAAACAAAGTTTAAAAGGTTAATAAAACATTACGACATTAATGGAAGTATGGACTGGAAGCTTTTAACATTTGTCGTTTGTTGTTTCGGATTTTTCAAAGATCTTCGACCGTCGGAAGCATATTTGACAACATTCTTGACTAGGGAATGGAAGAATTTAACTTGAGATCAAGTAAATAATGAAATATATCCTTGGTGGACATATTCATACGCAATTTGGTTTATTCCGGTGTTTACGTTCACAGACAATTTTCGTTACAGATCGTTACTAATTTTAGACGCAAGTGCTTATATAATGACATGGGTTCTCATTCTGTGGGCCGAAGGAATACCAGCTATGACGGTCATGCAGGTTTCATACGGTCTTGCCACTGCTGGAGAAATTGGATTAGAACATGCGTATAACAATGTTTGTAGACTGGTTCTAATGTTTTTAGGATGTATATGAGATTAAATAAACTCAATTTGATACGCAAAATTTGATGCCTTCAGCAATCAAACTCAACACTGTGGAAAGGTCTGATGACCTCTACAATAAGCTTCAGTATATATGTTATCAACTATAAAATTTAAAGCGCCTTTTCGTAATTGCCTATGAAATTACATACGGACTGAAAATTACAATGTCCGAAAACCCTGCCAGTTTTAACTTCACTTGACTTATACAGTAGACAAGCTGGAACAATCACAAATTGTTTCTCCAGCTAAATATTACATTATATCTACACACGTTTTATAGGTTTCATAAAACAAGTTATATTTCTTCAGTTAACACTCATTTACCAGAATTACTAACCACGAGGCCAAGCTACTAAATCTTTATTGTACATGAATTCCAGCCAAATCCAATGAACCATACAATGTATTTCATTTCTGACACAGCACATTTTAGCTGATTTCATTATTTTCTACAGAAATTAAAAACAAATAGAAATAAAAAAAAGTTGGAAAATATAATTTTCCAACCTTTCTACGAAACTGAATCACTTTCTCGGCTTTTGGCTCCGCTGTGACGAAATTCAGAATAACATCACAAGTACAATGCGGCAATCACGTTGGTCTCTCCTGAAGGTGACTTTGGGATCACTTTGTTTCCAGAATTTTGTACTTCACAACAGCAGGTGTCAAGTGTTGTGTGGCAGACGTAAAAACTTGCCCCGTTCACTTCAGTGTTGTTATATTTTCTGGTCCTTCGGGATCATTGATGCCAACACTATAAAGTGTTGAGAATTGAGTACCGCTCAAGCCGGTGCTAGGGGGCGTGAGGGATGTTGCACTTATTCATTTTCCCTCATGTACAGACTCAATCAAACCGAGTCTGCAATTCTTATGTTATTTTGTTGTGATTAATGCTTCCGAGGGATCACTTTGTTTCCAGAATTTTGTTCCCAGATTTGACTGTAAGCATGTCATAAAATAGATTCGGAAATTTTCAATACTATGTGATTATGTTAAGTTGATTTAAAACCTTAGTTTTGCTCAAGAAGAATTGCTTACTTCCGGTGTACTATTGGACATCATGGTTTCAAAAATATTTCAAGACAAACTATTTTTTCTGGAGAGTCTGTAACATTGTTATTGGATACTAATAATTGATTTGTCACAAAGAGATAGAGTACATCAGTTTATTAATTCGTAAGTATTCATATTATCATTATTATGAAATATGCAACCTCCAAAAATGGTACCTAATGAAAAACATACATTCAATGGATTCATTTATAGTAAATGTAGTAGATTGATTTATAATAAGCACACTTTCTAGTACTTTAAGTATTGATAGAGTATTTGAAATGTATCCAATAGAAATTCATCATTTGGATATTCTTATACATTATAATATGATTTGAAAAAGTCATGTTGTTAAAAGCGCCTAAGAATAATATCTTCTCGTAGAATAGTGTATTATCTGCTATATAAATATTTGTTTTATTGTACATATTGGATCATGTATCTCACACTTGCCAACAAAATCAATATATATTTCTTTGGTAGTTTGTTTTGTATTTGTCGTGTACTAAAATAAGAACATCTTTGTTGACATGTTTTCAATATTTATAATTCAAAATAATGTTTTTATTTATTTTCATTAATTTTTTAGTACTTAGATATGATTATATTGAATACAAAAGTCAGTAAATCACTTTTTTTAAATAAAAGTAATTTATAAAAATGTTGGAAGCAAATGGGTTCGTAAAGGTCAATCTCGTAATCACGTGATCAATCTTTTATTTCCCTTCATTCAGCTTGTTCAGATTTATTTTAACAACTATTCTATATAACAAAAAAAAACGTATTGTGTTGGTGCTGAAAAATATTTATTATTCAAAATATGCAATTGATGTGCTTACAAACAAATTATTTTTATTATATTTTAACATATTAACATAACTGAGCTAAATTTAAAAGAAACAAGGCAATTAATTGCAAGTTATTCAATATAGACTTTATAGTTATAATTTAGACTTTATAGTTAAAAACTTTAAAAGTTTCAATCAGGTGTTTCACACATTCTTTGAGCTTCGTCATTGTCAAATCTTTTTATTCATCAAACTAAATGTTTATTTAAGTCTTTATGGTATCCATCTTCTTGCAGGTGTAAAATCCCATATTTTCTTTTGTTGTTTATTTTTGTCGTTGTTTTGTATTTCATCGCTGAAATGCAGTGAATGAATATTCAAGCTCAAAAAAATGAATGAATAAATTATAAAAACAAATTGTTCCTAAAACTGATTTTGTCAAGTTAATTGAAAGACATTCAAATAAACAGTATCTATCCAATATTTTACAGTGAAACTACATATGTTGCTAGATATTTCCGATATTTCACTACTGTTCTAGTACCTTTATGCTTGTCCTGCACACTACATTTTTACCTTATAACGAAAGGAGGAACATTTTTTATCTTAATCAAGTCAAACATCCATAAATGATATATTTTGGACAGCACAATATGATTTTTATCTACATCTTCAAGATTATTATTTATTAAATTATGTTCTTTGACATATACATACAATTTGAGGCGTCTGGGGTGAAAAACGTATTAAACTAATATATAGAAAATAAAGATAAATAGTTAAATATAAAAATCTGAAACTCAGAACACATTTGCCACGGCATTTCGCCCTGAAATTTTTCATCATCAACAAACCGCTGCTCAATAATCATCGTCTATATTGCATTAGATTAGCAATTCCTCGTATTATGACCTAATAAATGCATTCATCCTAAAGCATATATCTGCCCCTCTCCCCTTCTTTTCTACAACATTCGTTATACTTGCACTATCCTATCCACCCTTATACCAAACAAAGTATCTGCATCTCATTGCCTCCATGAACGTCCTTCTTCAAAATCGCACCAACTACACCCTTCACAGTATTCTACCCTCCTCAACACTCAAGCTCTTCTGATGCAAATGCACAAGCAGCCTCTATATCTCTTACAGAATAAGTAGCCCTCCCATTCACTAGTTGTAACAAAGATTCGATCGCCTCTTTATAAACAATCCTTCCCCCATCCCCGTTATTTTATCTCCACTCAAATCCTTTATTACAATCAAAAATTCTTTCAATATAATCATTATTTAAAGCCGATTAAACTTACTCTCTACAACCTCGAAACCTTAACAAGAATCCCTTCCCAAACAAATGCTTTTACTGTCCTTATTCTTTCCCCCGAACACATAGTCGGTACCATCACTGGCAGTCCGTCTATCAATATCCACCCACCTGAACGTATTGGTACAAATTGAACCCCACATATACCTTAAACGAATGAGTGTATGTTGCTCATGATCTAAGAAAAAGTCAACAATAATTAACAGAATGATTTATTTATTCACTTACTTTACTGCATCCTGGTTCCTAGCTGCTAATGCCATTCTCTGAAATAGAGGAATTATGACATGAATGCAATGAGACTTCAAAACAAAACAAATAAAAAGTATGAATTTTAAAAGCGTGAATGATGAATCGGTCAATGATCAAATAATATTAACTTTTTCTCAAAAGAGATGGAGTTTTCAGCACCGCTTTGGAAAAAACACTGAATTAAACCATTTTTTTTTCAAGTGCACGCCTCTGTTCACATTCAGTGATAAATCTCACTTAGAAAATTATTTATAATTTATAATTTATTTATATTTATTATTTATTCATTTTAAAAGGAAAAAAAAAGCACATTTAGAAAATGACATGCTTAACTGCTTAAGTAAAATATTTGTTGATTGCGCGAAATGAATCAAGCACGGATAAGCACATATTTTTATGAGGTATATTGCATATCGGTAGCTTATAATACTACCTTTTTGACATCGCCGCAAACGTTTTCACACATTTGTTCATCGTCAAATTCATCCCTACAATCGTAGAAACACGTGCATGATTGGTAACATTCGTCATCCCAGCCACAACCCCCGAAACACTGATATTGGTTCATTGGTTTTTTTTTTTCCCTTTTTTTTTCTTTTCTTTTTGTTTTTCCTTAGGGGGAAAAATATTAAATTAATTTTAAAAACCCGGGTTTTTTTATGTTTTTTTCATTTACAAAACAAAATACCCATATATATATCTTGTTTTAATTTTCAACAAAAGATCTATTAAAAATAGTAGATGTATCTGTTAATTTGAAACTGAAATCAGTAGGTCTCGAATGAGATTTAAACATAAGTTTACTTTTACCCACGTGATATTGAAGTAAAAATGTCGCTTATACAGGAAAAATAAGGAACTACAAAAGTAAATGAATTCGAGATATATTGGTTATAATTGCTTTACATGCAATAAATTGAAAATATGTTTAGTTAGACACTAAGAAGGTCAATGCTCAAACCATGTTAAGAATAGTTTGAGCTGATATTAAAACTGGAAAGAACATTTTCTCCAATTCTTACCATCGCATCCTCTAGGGTTTGTAACAACCTTTTTTCTACGTCATTCAAGTCGTTTACGTCACTGTCAGCTTGGACTGTGAGAAAAATAAAAATAGGTTTGTGTTCCTTTTTAATCATATTTTTTAAGATGTTTCAACCCCCTACAATGCATCAGCTGTCCTTATTTTCTGATTCAAATAGCGGAAACTATTGACATTAAGGGCAGTGTGGCGGCCGTAAATGGTCGTCGTTATTTTATCGTTGACTTTTGATATGTTAGTTCTGTTTTGTTCTACGGTTGTTGCATTTCATTGTAGAAAATATATTTAAACTGCGTGCCTTAAAACTGCATGCCACCAGATGAGCCAAAATAGTTCAGGAAAATTAAACTTCAGAGCAATCTTGTGTTATTTTAAGAAATGCGCAGTAAAAATACTTTATACTAAAGTAATAAAACACATGTTTAATACTTAATACTAAAGTGATAATACACATGTTTGGTTCGATCAGTTACTGATTTTGCAGTATTCAGCACCATATATATACTGCGTGACTAACGCAGTAAAATTTTTATCTTTATTTGGTGAGTACCGTTTGCAATGTTTAACTGCTTATTTTGTTCACTTCATAATGTTTTACTTTTTTCACTTCAAAATTTTCACAAAAGATTCTGGCGGCATGTTACTTTAACAGGTATCAGGGTAAAAATATGTATTAATCATATTAACATCCAAGCAAGATTAACATCAATTTCAGATAAAGTTTTCCATATCGGGTGAAGCTATTCCTCTGATATAAATGACTTTAATTTAAAATAATGATAATTCATTATTAAAATTCAATCATGACACAAAATGCAAGACAAAACCATGCATTGAGATGAAGTTAGTTTTGAAACAGACAAAAATTCATAAAACTAATTTACAAATTTAAAATGTACAGATTGTGTAGTTCATTTTCTTTATTATTATTATTATTATTATTATTATTATTATTATTATTATTATTATTATTATATGACTCAAGGACATACCACCAAGAACTTTATCATCGTGATGATTTAAGTCCTCGACACAGTCTGACAGACCCAACGAACAGAGTTCATGTATATATGTACAAAGTTCTATGGTTCGTCAAGCAAACAATTGATCCAATACACAAAATATATGATCTGCTCATTTTAATGGTTTCAAGTCACTAGTCTTACGTATACATTCTACGCATATTTCCACTTCTGATTTGTTTACTTTTTTTTATTCTTCAGTGATAATGAAAATGATACAGAAAAGAGAGAATCTGTGGTATATATGACATCAGTGAGGACTATAAGTATCGGTCGGAGAAGTTCATATCTTTTTTCAAAGAGAGGATCACACTCCCGATATGTTGCATGTTTATCACGACATAGACGTGTCGAGAAATTTTGAGTTTATTGTACATGAATTTAAATTTGAAATTTTTTTTAAGTGACCGAAATTTAATAGAATAAGAATAAATAGATATAATTACCATTTTGATTCCGTTTTGCAACTGCAAAGGCTAATAAGCACACTGCCAGCAGTTTAAACATGATTGCTTACGAGCACGAGAATTAATTCCCTTCTGTTTTCCAAACTTCTTGCGTGCTCAAAAATGTTCCCAGTTTTGGATAATGATATCAATGTAGCGAACTTATATCTCAACTACCTGCTTATCACTGAATATATTCAGAGTTAAAAGCTTATTTAATTACATTAACAAAATTTACATAATAATAATAAAGATGCATTAAAGGCAAATAAGAATAAAAAATCTTCAGACAGCCTTCATAGCCATGATTTATTTCAGATATGGCTTATTGCTTCGTTGCGCAAATAAGATTTTGCATTTTGTGTCCCTGGAAATAGCCCCTCCAAAAAACCAACTTGATTTGATAGTAAAACGTATAGAGAAAAACGATCGTGTTAAGTTTTACAAGACGTTGTTTATGCATTAACATTTAGCTGAGGAAAAGAATGCTTAAAGATCGCTAATAATGATGACTATTTCTATAGAATAGTCTCTGTTATTTTATGCTTTTCAGTGGATTACTGATTTATCCGTGGAAATTATATTTGATAATTTCACAGTGAAAATTATCAAAATATAATTTCACACTTTTCAATGACGAAACTACTTTTTTAAGATTTTCCCCATGTGGTACCTCAATTTTATTTATGGTGACTATTCCGACAATGTCAGGCTGTTTAAAGAAAAGCAAACCTGAAATTGATAAATAACTTATATGTAAAAGGTAATAAAAAGAAGAAAACTTACAGTAACTTACTTCTATTCATTCAAATTACCAATCACCAAATATCCTCTCTTTAATTTTTTTGTTTCATTTTTACAGTCTGAAAAATACATTCCTTCCACATGCAAAACTGCTCTTGACGACATTTGGGAATATTTAAGTATCCTACGAGCAAAAACTGCCGTATGCTTTATGAAAACCTTAAAAAGCAATGGCAGCTTTCAGTCGAAGAATATGTAAAACAACCCAGCGTTCGTAAGGCTTCCAAGTTTTCCAATTTCCTATCCACTTGTTTGAATGTTTACACATCTGTCAACACTTATTTATTGTCTGTTACAATCCTCAATAAGTTTTCTTTCTTTTAAAAAGGTGTATGACTAACAAATCCAAATGATATCCCTCTGAATCAAACACAATTATTTTCATCCAGTGAAATACACCACTTTAAAAATGGCGGCCGCTTACATTTAACATAGCAAGGACTAATATAAATTCGCAGTCAGTAACAGAAATATGGATGGATGGTTGGACTTTTTCTACTACTAGAATTGTTTGTTTTTATTATTTAAACAAGCGATTAGACATATTTTTTAATAAGATGAATACTATCACCACCATTTAACGTTGATTGTGGATCTTATTTTTCAGCCCATAACTTCTTGTATTTAATGAGAAATTCGACTATTTTTTTAGGCTCTAAATGGGGAAAACAGATTTTGATATTAACGTAAATTTTATTTTAACTTGTTTTTAAGCATAAAATAAAAAGAAAATTTGTTTGTTTGTTGTGTAAGATGTAATTTTATTTCATCTCGTGAACTTTAAAAAAAACAGTATTCTCATCCGTGGCTACGCCTCTCGTGAGAATACTGTTTTTAAAGCCCACTCGATGAAATAAAATTTCATCTTACACACAAACAAACAAATATCCTCTTTTTTGGGGGGAACCACTTATACCCTGCCCTGGTTATGACGTAGGTACTGTATCTACGTCATATCCTTTTAACGCTGGCGTCGAATGTTGTAACAATGGAGGAAATGAATTGTTGAAAAAACCCACCCGCCCTCCTAGGTCAATTATGAGTGTGAAGTGTCAAAGATTTGAGCTTAAATATAATACTAGCGTCATGCTTGTTTCGTTGTTTCTGTCCTCTTTTGATATGTTTTCAGATTAGCCAACATAAGCGACGTGTTTCAAGACAGCTAGCCCTACTAAATACCACGGAAGAGGTATCTTTAGGGAAACTGCTTGGGCCAAAACCACCAGCAGAGAGAATTCAACAACGGTGCGACTCCAGAGATGTGTTCTATGAACTTTCAAATACTAGATTTCACTTGTTGTGTCTGCTAAATTTTCATTTTGCGGCCGGCGAATTCGACAACGGTGCGACTCCAGAGATGTGTTCTATGAACTTTCAAATACTAGATTTCACTTGTTGTTTCTGCTAAATTTGCATTTTGCGGCCGGCGAATAGACATTTTGTGATAGGCCTACTGGCGATACTGGTTTCTGCTTCCCAGAACCAATTTCGCGCAACAGTGTCAATGCTGTGTTGTTGCTCATATATATTTGTGAAAATTGACTATTTTGTGAATGAAGAATTGAAAGACTAGTATTGCTTAAACTGCTTTGATCAATGATTTTCTAGAACATACTGATCCACAAAGCTTTACAGTTTGTTCCATTTGCTTGTTTTGATTTTGTGTCTTTTGTTTGCTTTGCTATGGATGCCCTAACAGGGTTTTGTATGCCTGGTATCCCAACCCTTTTGGCTTTTATTAATGGAGTCGTGCCCATAAAATGCCAAATATTAACTAAGACATTACTCAGTGAGATAAATTACATATGCCACTATGTATGACTATAAAATAAAATTAGTTAAAGTATGATATTGCTTTGTTGTTGTCCCAAATAACAGTCTGAGGTAAAAGTATACTAGAGTGTCATATGAAAAATCTTCGTCGCAATCCACGAATACTGATTGCGCAGAACTGCAGTCATCATAAATCACGTGTTTACGAAACGAGTACGCCTGGTTAAAGAATTGAACTGTGATGAGAAATGGATGGATGCTTCCGACGGGATTAATTAAAATCATTGAATTTTTATAACCGCTTAAGCCGTTGTTAGAGGGTGCGTGAGGGATGTTATTCCCTTGTGTACCTGCAACTTTCATGTAATTTTGTCGTGATTAATGCTCCCGAATGATCACACTTATCCAGTTTATTATTCTTTACAACAGCAGTTTTCAAGTGCCACGTATTTAACTTAAGTTCTGTTATGTTTTTTCTGGTCCTTCGGGACCATTGTTTCCAACACTCTAAGTGTTGAAAATAGAGTTTCGTTATTATAACAAGAACTGTCGGAGGATAGTAACGCTCGACTATTCGAAAAGTTGTCACAAGGATGTTTAGTTTAAACATATTTATTTCAATATTTTACATAGATTACATTTTATATATATATAATTGTTACATAAATTGAAAGGGATTAGAACGAAAGAAAACTTATATAGTTCCTCTCCCTAGATAACAAATGATATTTACACAAACATATATGGCAGGATAGTTATTTCATTTAAATTATTAAGTAAGAATATTGCAAGATTAAGTTTAAACATAAAATGAAAAAATAAATAAATAAAAAGAAATTAGAAATGCAACTAAATAAGACAATTTTCAGATAAGTACTAAGCAAAAGAAAAACAGACAAAAATAAGTATTTTTACATTTAAACTGGCGCTTAAAGCACATTTAGCAAGAGTCTTGAAAAAAAAACTTGTTCAAGCTAACCAGAAAAATATTATATGTATATTATATATATATTTAAAGAAGAGAAAAAATATTGGAAGGACCAGACTAACGAACAAAGGTCAAATTGGAGATATAGCAGTATTTTAAATGTTGGCAGTATAAAAAATACATCTAGTGGAAACGTCCGCTGCTATTTATAAATTCAAATACTGCATCTAATATCCATGTGTTTGTTTGATAATCATTTGACGGATCTCCATATAGAAGGGTTCGAAGATCAATTGGACATATTGGAGTCAATGTTTGAAAAAAGTGCATTTCTTATTTGTGTGTAATTCTTGCAAATAAAGAAAAAATGGTGGTTGTCTTCAATTAGGCCACAACTACATAAATGGAGATGATACTATATTTTTTAAGAATAGATGGTGGTTAAGAGAGCTGCATTTCGTTCTAAGTCTTGTATGAAGAATTTGTGACCGTCTATCTCCATAATAGAAGTGTCGGGGAGTTTTAATTTTGTCTACGTTCAAAGAGCTTTTTGAAAGAAATTCAATGACTGTAGCTGACGGGTTTCAATTGATAAGGAATTCCATTCACGAAGTGCCGTTGTAGAAAGGAATTATAGTATAGAGTTGTTCTTGTACGAATTGTATCGATATTTTGAGAATTACGTAAGTTATATGTAGTGTTCAGACCAACAAGATCTGGTACAATAGACGATAGATAGGATGGAGTGAGACAATTTTTCATTTTATAAAAGTTGAATAAGCTTATGCTTCCTTCTTCTGTCAGAAAGTGATTCCCAATTTACATCATTGTATAAATCAGCTAACGATATCAGCTTTTGTTGCACCCGTCACAATACGTGCTGCTTCATTTTTGAATTTTGTCTAATTCTTGTTTTTCGTAGGATGTACAATTGTCCCATATTATATCAGCATATTCAATAATAGGACGAATGAAGGATGTATATATGATTTCTAAAGCCCTGCGGTCTAGTTTAAATTTAAGTTTACGCATTATGTTTATTCTATTCCATGCCTTTTCCTTTATATAATTGATATGGGAATGCCAAGAGCCATCATCAGAAAAAAACACTCCTAGATGTTTTGTGATCAGAAACCTGGGGGGATTTGTTGGCCATACATGGTGAAAGGTGTGTGATGTGGTTTATTAATTCTTCTTGATATAATCATTGACTCGGATTTGGATGGATTAAAATGAACAAGCCATTTATCTGCCCAAAGACAAATTTTTTGTATGTCATTTTGCATGGTATCATGTGTTTCTGTAGGTGTTTCAACTATCAGATGGAGACTAGTGTCATCTGCAAAAAGATTGATGTTGGAACCAATATCTTGAACAATATCGTTGATATAAACAAGAAATAGAAGAGGCCCAAGTATTGATCCTTGGGGGACTCCAGATGCAATTGTAAACACAGTCCGACATGGTACCAGGAAGAACAACCTGTTGTCTACGATTTGTTAAATAATCAGAAAGCCATTGATGTACATTTCCACGAATTCCAGATTCATGAAGTTTCACTAACAAACCTTGGTGCCAAACTTTATCAAATGCTTTACTGATATCAAAAAATACGACCCTCACCTCCAGGCCATCATCTAAAGCCTTGCAAAAATTATTGTAAAGATACGCAAGTTGGTTACAGTTGAGTCACCTGGCAAGAATCCCGACTGAGATGGAGTGAAGAATGAAATGTCTCTGTAAAAGTTAAAGATATGTTTAAAGACTACTCGTTCAAATACTTTTTCAATAGTGTTGAGTAAAGATATAGGTCTATAATTGTTTACTACAGCAGGATCACCTTTTTTATATACAGCACAGACATTTGACAACTTCCAGGATGTCGGCATTTTCTTGGATCTTAGTGAGAAGTTGAAGAGCTGGTGAAAGGGATAAGAAAGTTTTTGGTAGGCCTCATATAAAACTCGATAACTGATAGTGTCAGGTCCAGATGCTTTATCGGTGTTTAAAGATTTCAGTACATCCTCAATTTCAGAAGGAGATATATAAATAATTTCTAAGGTCTGTTGATTGTCAGTGTTTGAGGGTCTGGGGGGATCCCTGTTAGAGTCGTCAACCATTGTCTGGTTCCTGAAAAAAGTGTTTAATAGATTAGCCTTTTCACGTTCTTCAGATACAATGGAATTAGTAAGTGGATCAATAAGAGAAGGAATACCTTTTTTTTGATGAATATGATATAAAGGATTTGAGGATTTCCACCAATCTTTTGATGATATGGAAGTTGATTTAAGATTGTCAGACAATGAAAGAAAGTAACGAGATTTGCTGTCTTTGACTAGCTGAAACTGCTTCATTTCTGAGTTTGCGAAATTTTAACCAATGATTTTGACTTTGAGAAGTTTTTTTTGCTTTTCTATAGGCGCGCTTACGTTGCCTTATTTTTGTTTTTATTTGATTGTTCATCCATGGAGGGTCATTAGGCTTGATTTTTACATTTTTGTTTGGAATACAAAGTTTTGATATGTTAATGATAGTGTTTGTAATATTCTCAACAAAGGTGTCAATATCATCATCTTGAAGTTTCGTCCCAGTTAACTAGATTCATCTTGCTACGCAGCAAGTCATAGTTGCCTTTCTCATAGAGCCACACAGTTCTATCAAAAGACTTAGCTTTGGGTTTTATGTAGGTAAAAACAGCAAAGATTGGGCAGTGATACCTGACATGTTGCTGAAGAAACGGATCACCAACCCAGCCTTTATAACATTGTTTATGTTGTTAGTAAAAAAGAGGTCAATAAGTGACGAGGAATTTTCTGTAAAGTGTGTGTGTTCATCAATGAGTTGGGTAAGTCCATATTGTTGACATAGTGCTTGTACTTTTCGGGAAGAAGTCTGAGAATCAATGTTCAAATTAAAATCACCTGTTAATATCACATCTGAAATGCCAGTATCTAGAGCTAGTCCCAATGAATCTTCAATCAGAGAATAATAGATTATATCGGAACTAGGGGGCCGATAGAAAACGCCAAACAAAACTTTCTTAACGCTAGACAATCTGAG